TGTCGTGACCAAAAACATTATGAAAATTTTCAAGTAGACTAAAATTTTTGCTCTTAATGCGAATCTGGAATAAAAGATTTTGTACAAAAACATTTAAAGAATTTTATCAAAAAAGTTTAAGTTAAATTGGTGTATACCCTGATAGTAGAAGGGGCGTGGTCGTTAAAAATTTAGAAAGACAACGCCCATAAAGTCCAATTTTCTAAATTTTCTAAATTTTCAAAATTCTTTAAATAAACTCTGGTGCGAGGAGAGTTTAAACTGAAGCTGTTCGTTGCGAAAAGTCTGGTTTATCCGTACTCGTAATGAACGGGAAGTCTTTCCTTATCAAAAGTTGTACGGCACCGTGTAAACGCGATCTATCCGTATATATCTTTTTATCGGATCAAACGTTATCCATCATCAAATTGCTCCACAAAAACGTTCTTATTTCGAAATCTTGCATCACTCGCAACAATACTTTCGGTCAGAAAAAGGGTCCCAAGTCCTTTAGATCTGTCCGGGCCTAACATTAAATACGCTATGTTACCTAGCAGTTCTTTACGATGAAGCTTTCAACATAATCAACAAACTTCCCAACTGCACAAACCTTTTAAAAAATTATCTTGTTTTTGCTGCGTACATGAATCGCAAAGGTGAACGCACTGATAGATGATCGAACTGCAATCCAAACGGCCATCTTGTGTTTGAAAAAGCGCGCTCATAAATGGCAGTTGCTTGTTGGTTTAGCCATGGTTTAGCGATGGTCAAACCATGATTGCATGCATAAGAAAATTTAAATCCAAAGGAAATAAATGTTTTCTTATTTGAAAGCAAGGAAATAAAAGCTAATCTTGGAATACCCAACTTAACAGGCACCGCATAGCAGGGGGGGGAAGGGGGGCTGCTAAAAATGTCAAATATTAAGTAATAAACTACCAGGAAAGCCTCTTTTTAAAAGGTTTTAGCCCCCACTTCTTTAAAACCCTCACTGTCTCAAAGCTCCCTGGTGCCTGTTTAATAATGAAACATATAACCATGCAAAAAATTACTTATAGGCAAAAATTTCTTAGTAGGAAAGGAAGAAAATACCAGGATTTTAAACAGTGGAGATTTCTTGTAGGGACATAGGGGGTGGAGCCCATCTTTATTGTTAGAAATTTTCTTCACTTTGAAGGGGGCAGGGGGCTTGATCTTGCTTTTGAATTTGAATTTATTTTAAAAATTCTTTGCCATTTTAAGAAATTTCAATTAATAAATTGACCATGGTTCAGCAATGGGTCAGCAATGGTCAGGCCAAATTTTCATAAAACATTTCAAATTCAAAAAAAATAATTTTTCTATGGCTTAAAAACAAGAAAATATGTCCACAAAACAAATATAGTATAAATCAAACTATTTAATCTAAAAATTCTTTGCCATTTCAAGAAATGTCAATTAATAAATGGACCATGGTTCAGCAATGGGTCAGCAATGGTCAGACCAAATTTTCATAAAACATCTCAAATTCAAAGAAAATAATTTTTCTATGGCTTAAAAACAAGGAAATATGTCCATAAAACAAATATAGTAGAAATCAAACTATTTAATTTAAAAATTCTTTGCCATTCTAAGAAATGTCAATTAATAAATGGACCATGGTTCAGCAATGGGTCAGCAATGGTCAGGCCAAATTTTCATAAAACATCTCAAATTCAAAGAAAATAATTTTTCTATGGCTTAAAAACACAGGGAAATATGTCCACAAAACAAATATAGTAGAAATCAAACTATTTAATCTAAAAATTCTTTGCCATTTTAAGTAATGTCAATTAATAAATGGACCATGGTTCAGCAATGGGTCAGCAATGGTCAGGCCAAATTTTCATAAAACATCTCAAATTCAAAGAAAATAATTTTTCTATGGCTTAAAAACACAGGGAAATATGTCCACAAAACAAATATAGTAGAAATCAAACTATTTAATCTAAAAATTCTTTGCCATTTTAAGTAATGTCAATTAATAAATGGACCATGGTTCAGCAATGGGTCAGCAATGGTCAGACCAAATTTTCATAGAACATCTCAAATTCAAAGAAAATAATTTTTCTATGGCTTAAAAACAAGGAAATATGTCCACAAAACAAATATAGTAGAAATCAAACTATTTAATCTAAAAATCCTTTGCCATTTTAAGAAATGTCAATAAATAAATGGACCATGGTTCAGCAATGGGTCAGCAATGGTCAGACCAAATTTTCATAAAACATCTCAAATTCAAAGAAAATAATTTTTCTATGGCTTAAAAACAAGGAAATATGTCCACAAAACAAATATAATAGAAATCAAACTATTTAATCTAAAAATCCTTTGCCATTTTAAGAAATGTCAATAAATAAATGGACCATGGTTCAGCAATGGGTCAGCAATGGTCAGGCCAAATTTTCATAAAACATCTCAAATTCAAAGAAAATAATTTTTCTATGGCTTAAAAATAAGGAAATGTGTCCACGAAACAAAACTAGTGAATATCAAGCTGTTTAATTTAGAAGTTCTTTGCCATTTTATGAATATCAGTTGATAAATGGACCATGGTTTAGCAATGGTTAGACCATGTTTATGTAAAACTCTTGCCATTCAGAATAAATGAAGGAAATTAATAGTGAGACAAGGAAAATATAATCTTTCAATTTGAAGGTATCAGAAACCAAGCACATAAACCCCCCCTATTGACTGAGTTGTGTCTTGAGACATGGACCATGGTCTTGACATGGTCAGACATGGTTACATGGAAAATGATAAAAAATACAGAAAACTGTTACTTCTTCTTATATTTCTATTGAGGATAACTTTTTAGACAGTTGAGGATTCATATTTTCCAAGAACCAACAAATTAAAATCATTGCAGGCAAAATCTTCTTTCATTGCTCAACCATGGTCACTAACCATGGTTAGCACTTGTCAGGATCACGGCTCAACCATGGTATGACCATTGCAAACTATGGTTGGGCCATGAACCATGGTTGGGTTTTCGCAGGGGTAATAACTGTCTGAAGATTTTAAAGTTATCCCTCTAGCATACACAGGCATTAACTGGTGACAAATGAATTTTTCCATTAAGAGAATGGGAGCATTCGGCTGTTAACAGCAAAATTTTCAAAACTGGGACAAAAATACCCTGTTGAGGACCCCCAAGAAGGAATCTCTCCGGAAAATCATTGACAACAACACCCTTGTAAGAGACTTAGGCGTAGGAGAAAAAGGGGTTGGGCTGCTGTATCCCCCACAATCAGGAAAAAATTTGTCAAAATTTAGGCCAATTCATGCAATCTTATCTCAATTAAGTAACAATGTTTGGGCAAGACCTATACAAAACACCATAAACATTTACCCTATGCCATGCCCATATCTATATTAGTTGAGCAGACATGTCATATCAGCAGACATGATGTCATAATCACTTTATTCTGTCCTTGCTGGTTCAAATTTCAAACTAATGGTTTCTAGACAATAACATCACTTGATTTTGTAACAAAAGCAGAATTACTGAAAAAAGATTGCAAAGTTATGTATGACCAAAGCTTACCCGAATACAAATAAAACAACACAGCTTTGAACAATGTGGGCACAGTCTGGCATCTCTCACCCTTTCCATGCAAATGAAACACCGAAACATTTCTGCTAAGTTCTGAAATTGGAAATCAATTATTAGATTTTTGTTTATTCACAGCATTAAGTTATAGAATTAACACAAAAACATAATTTAGCAAACCATAACATTTGATTAAAAAGCTTTTAAAGACCAGTCTCTAAGTATTTATCTGGACACATTTGAAAAGACAGAAGGCATATTTTTCATCGAATTCCTCATAAAATTCTATTTGCAGATGTATCATTATACCCTCATACTATCCCAAATTACCTTACCCCAATAATAAACCGGAGCCTAAAAATAAATCAACCATACCTAAGTTTTATTTTGATTTTCAACTGTTTGAAGCTTTAGCATTAAAAAGTTCACTAAAAACTCACCTCCATACTTGCTGATGAAATAGCTTCTTCCATGTTTGCACTTTCTGAAACTGTTTCTGGAATATCCCAAGTAACAAAAAAGCAGTTCACGTCGAGAGGTTCATCGGGAGATCGAGAAATTAGGCCCAATGGGCCTGTGATGAACCAGAAGTTGGTCCCAAGTTGACGCTTATCCACGGGTCTGGCATGCAAGAGCGAAAGAGGAGGGTAAAGTGCAACCACAATACCAAGAATTTAAAGGATAACAACAATTTAGGGGTGCAAACAGCCAAAAAACGCCAAACGACTCCTACCTGTCCAGCAGCTATGGAGGAAATTTATATACCTAGCCGAACTGCCGTTTTGTTTGTGCCCTATGTTTCAAACCGCTGAACACGCCAATCGGAGCCGGGCTGCTGGAATAACAAAGCGGGGATATGGATAGAACAAAGGGGAGATATTCGTATGGGTTGTTTCAATCGATGAAAAAGGCTGTTTTCATAAAAATCTCATTGTTAATTAGGTCGAAGAATTTATCAGTGTGCAGAAAGCTTGGTAAGCAAGGCTCGCAAATACCACATTTTGTCTTCTAAAATCGCGGTAACACAATATGCTTGTTTCTTCGTCAATGAACAATTCATAAAATGTCACTTTGGTGTTTAACCTTGAAAAGGAACCATTTGCACTTACGTGTGAATTTCGACAGCTATTAACAAAAGATAAATTCTTTTCTTCGGTTTTAATTTTGAAAGTATATTGAGTAAGCAGGAATGACTACCGGAATTCTCAGATCGCTCCTATCCTAGAAGCCTTGGAAATAAAATCTGCAAAGCCCCATTCCAATTTCTCATTAAAATAGCCCAGTTGGTAGTGAGGGGAAGGCAAGAGGGCCTACGCCTCTCCCCCATTTTCTAGCGTTCCAAATGGTGTAGTCCCCCATTTTTCTATCGCTCAACTCGCCTTTGCCCCTCCCCCAATCTCACCACTCTACTGAAAAAGCTCTTGTGGAGCTCAATCAAGTAATCGTGCCCTACAGAATAAAGCACGAGTTTAGTCCATGGCAAATCATAGAAATTGAAGAAAAAAGAAAATGAAGAAATATTTTGGAGAAGGTTATAAAGTAAAATGGTAAATAAAATTTAGCTAGAAAGGCTAAAAGCTTAGAAAAGAGCTATTTGAACGGCAGCTTTAATAAAATTTAGCCCCCATCTCAGATCCTATGTTTGAAACTGTTGAGGTTCTTATCTAAGAACTATCTAAGAATTATCTAGGTGATCTTTTTCAGCAAAAGGTCGCAATAAATCTATTCCCAAATAAAAGTCTGCAGAACTGATAAACCCTCTTTGGGTAGCCTGTGTTCCAGACCCCTAACTTGAAAATAACAAAAGGGGTCTGGAGTACTTTCAAATTAGGAGTCTGGAGCACATGCTAGCTTGGGGCTGATTCGAGGATTTTCGCGATTTTTATTTCAGCATAACTTCCAAACGAAAAGAAATTTAACGAGCGGGCATATCGATTAATTCAATGGTTTACTATTTTCCGCATGGAAATCTGTAATACGAAAGAATATGTATATCACAGAAATAAAAAGCAAATAAAGGCTTGATGCTGGAATCAAATAGTAATGTTAAAAAAAGATCTATTATGGATCGTGAAATAAAGGATTCTATAATCACAATAAAATCAATCAAATCAATAAAAATAAATAGGAGAGATACGTAAAATTACACGAAGAATGTATATAAAAATTGATGCATAAAAAAATTACTTCTTTTATCGTGTTACTTACAGATAAGTAAAGATGGGGCCTGTTCCTCTTAAAAGAAAACTAACAGTACTGGAGTGTATAATATGTTCTTTAAGGTTCAATGCTGGTTACTCAAGAAAATATCTTGCATCTAGATTTTAAAGCTTCGTATCAAGTGATATTTTATCACGTTTAAAACCTAAAATGGGAATACATATTTGCATTAGCTCAATCCAATGAATTTACATGTTTGGGAAAGCATAAAATCTTTCAGAGCTTTTGAATGGTTGACACTGTTCTGTTAAGCATTAAAAAGAATTGGAATGCCTTAACTTATGGCACTATCAGCTAGGTTATCAGGATTAGTGGCACCAGATGTTTAGCTCATTATACCCAGAAATTCACTTTATAAACGGTTTTTGGTAAATCGGGATCCTAATGTACTGCGGAAGAATATGTTTGAATACAAGGCCAAACCAAACAAATACAAATACAAACCACTTACCACTTTATTTACCAGCTCAAGTTACTTGACAGCCTATGTACAGACATTACAAAGGAAACTTCTCCTAGGTACTTGAAAGCAACTAAATCTTATTCTACTGAAGTTTTCCGCAAAATTATACAAGAAGACATACAACGCTGAAAGCTTTTGATAACTATAATCAGTTATATTCGAACGCATCAGGACTCAGTGTGAAATGGTCTATAATTTACATAGCAGTACTGGTGGCAACTTTATGCTGCAAAATTGAGTGAAGTCGTTCCAGCTTGATATTTTCCTATGCAAAAATGAAACAGCATTAGTTAAAAGGTATGGCAGAATTTCTAAGATACAAAAGATCCATGGGTCGAGCCTAATGAGATAATGCACTCGACGAGATAATTCATATTGTCTTGTCTTAATAATGTCCCGCCTTTAATTAGCTATGATTTCTCACAACTACGATATCACTGCGGTCACAAATATGCTAACTCTGTGCAACATCGAGATTGGAAAGACAATAAAACTGTTAACATAATATATGAGCATACTTTGAAATGCGTTGAAAAACGCACCAAAGAGAATAAGTTTGTTTCGATTAAATTTTTATCCCCACTCAAACAGCATAAAGCTCATTGATAGTGGTCAGCACTGTAACAGTTTGCATAATATCAACGAATATTGCTGGTTAATTGATATTAGCGCAGGAAGCTTAAATCCCCTAGATAATATTGCTTTCTGACACATCTTGAAAAAGCCTGAAATACTTAAAAGAAGGAAATCATCCATAATCGAAACATCTAAAAACCATATTCATGACTATAACATTACATTTATAATCATTATTTGTATATTCCAATATTAATCTTTTATAACATTTATAAAATGGCAAAAAGCTTCGTCTATAGCAGAAATTCTTCCTCTTTCAATGCACCCTACGCATCTGATAATGTATAAGAGACAGAAGGCTTGGAATAAAAATAAAACACATTGGGTCACGGTTGCCGAATCTGCTTACATGAAGCAATGCAGTTGGGAATACCTGTCGAGCTTTAGCCTTTTTTCTGGAGCTATACAAAATTTATATGACTTACCTTTGAAGCTTGGGTCAACATCTTTTGTAGTTTTGTATTTTCTGCAATCTTCTGGTTTAACATGTTGGCGTATTTTTGTGCTTGGTCTTCAGCGCTCTACAAAAACCAATGAAAAGTCTTGAAACAAATCTCTCCGTGAAAAAGGGGCAAACAAATTGGTTGGGTACGATAGAGAAGCTAAGATATACAATATATTTTAATGAGTTTTTTTCAATTTTGACCAAATCGTCTAAAAGTTAGTGAAATGTTTAAAAAATGGCTGAGATAGAAGACATCAATTTTGCTAACGCATTACTGGCGTTTGTGACTCATAAACTTTTTAAGCAAGACAAAAACACAGTAATTTGGTGGACAAGGAGCTGATACTCATGTGGCTAGAATCTCAAACAATTTTGAGTAATTTTGATTTTTCACACATGTGACTGTTTCATGATGTTTTTTATATTGCATGGTCCAAAGTCTAAAATTGTAAAACGGATTTTCATGAAATCATTACTAGCATTGTTGCGGAGATGAACAAATGAAAGGCTTCTATTAAATTAGCAAACCCCCGTATTTAAAGTGCAAATGTATGCGAAATAGCTACTGGGTTTCTGCGCATGCTCCTTGGCTGTAGAAACGAAAGTTGGCTTATCCACAAAATTACTTCGCCTTGTTTGCCCAATCGCCCTTCCCAACAAATAAGAAAGAGCATCAACAGCATAGAAGCAAATATAGATAAGTCAAGTCAACACATTGCCGTGTTCAAAATAGAATAGTTCTGAGTCGTTAGTAACACGCGAAATGCTATCATTTAATAGCTTTTTCATATGGTAACAATAAAGTAAAACATACAAAAATTGCTATTTTCTGCCCAGCTACACAGCTATCAATGACGTGCATTATCAACGAACTGATTTTCACGTGATTGGTAAATATAGTTTTGGCCAATCACAAAAACCAACCTGAAGAGCTACTTCTAATCTTTGCGTTTCCAAGGATGTTTTCGGAAAAGAGGTATTCATCTCACTCTAGAAGAAAATAGCAAATGTTTAGTGTAAGAAGAAATTGAAACTTTTGCAGAAATAACTTAGACCAAGACCCTCACGTTGAGAGAAAAACTAAAGGAAAGGAAAGTAGAAAGACTCAAAGTAGAAAGGAAAAGGTTCCAACACTTTTGTTTCAAGAGTTATTGTTACCGTCTTCGCATCAGCTGGACTGAAAGACAATTGGGTTATTATCAACATTAGAAGCTCGTCCCTGCTAAAAATCAATGCAAGTTAACTGTCCTTTGTTGGACATGTGGTCCGAAAGAATTGATTTGAGTAATGATCTTACGATATTTCCCTTCTCTTTTTCCTTTCTCATCGTTCACTCAAATTGTCCATCATTTAAATTGAATTATTCTATGATCCCTACTTTTGATCATTCTCTATCATAAACTCTTTTCTCATCACAGAACGTTCGCCATCACGTTTTCTTTCCTCAATCAAAACAATGACACGTAGCCATGCCCTATGTTTAAATTACAATATTTCAAAAGACAACGTGTGTATTTTGGCACTTCGAAACTTCGTGACCTGAACAAAGAAGTTTGATAGCAAAACGATGCAAACTATACCGTGTCTTGGGTCACTGATTCATTTGTACTCTCCAGTTCGTTTTCTAAATCATCGCTTCCAAAGCTCTTTTTCATTGATTCATTTCCTTGTCTGAGCTGCTTCACTCTTGACTGCAAATGCTTTAGGATTCTTGCTGACCGTGATTCATCGAATGAACCGTTCAATGTTCCTTTAGAACCGTCTGGTGTGTGCATTCTGTCCGGCGTACGTGCCCTGTCCGGTGTACGTGCCCTGTCCGGTGTTCGGGATCTTTCTATAGACGAATCGCGGTCTGACTTAGCTGTCTGAAAACAAACAGGAACAAAAAATTGGAACACAGTGTTAACTTCAATCAAGATAACAATTCTTTTTACAAACAATAGCGTTAGCAATCTGAAGCAAACTGAAAACAGCTTTTTGTTGACATAAAACACTGCTAAAGGAAAACTCAAAAGTCTCATTTTCGAGTCATAAGCAAAGGGAGTGATGTTTTGTTTATTTTTCGGGGGAAAAATTTGGGTTTACTATTCTGTGTTAATCTTCTGAAAGGTATGCTAGCCCCTCCCATCTAATCGTCTCAAAACACTCCAGTTACAAAAAATTGTTTGGTTTGTAGCAAAAGCATATAGTGACATAGATCGTTGGCAAGCTCAAAGGAGTAAAATTGCAAAAAAAACAAAGCAGGAAACGGTCACTGTATTCAATATCTGTGTACTGTGTGCTTATAATTCTTAAGTCACTGTAATACAAATACCATACCTGGTTGAAGCTTTCATCCGAAGTTCTGGATTCTTCAAACCTCTTTTTATATTTCATTACCAACCTTCTCAGATCATTGTTGGACATGCGTAAAGCGGCCTGTAAGGATATGGGGAACGCAATAAAGCAACGTGACTAGCCCATCTCGATTTCCGATCGGTCGAAAAACAACTGCAAGCTATTTTCAATGGACACTTTGTGAAAAAAGACCATAGGGCCATTAACTAGAGTATATGGTTAAGCAAATTATGTTGACATCTTACTGAACTAAATTTTGTATCTAACGATATATAAAGCATTAAAAAATGACTTTTCGTTACAAGGCTATACATATCAATGGGTAATCAATTATTCTGAGATATTCGTAATAACAAACTTCAAAAATATGTGCAGATCATTTACAGAAAGAGCGTAGTCTAAAAGAGCATATGTATACTGTGTATGCTTAATCTCCATCTAAAAAACTAAAACTCTCTAAAGGATAAGAGCTTTATCCTATTACTGATTTAGAAAATTCTAGTATTAAACCTGTGATTATTCGAGAATAAAAATCAAAAGATAAATAATAGATACCAATGCTTCTCCAAGCGGACCCCCGTCTTCTGCATCAAATGAGCTGCAAAAGATGACAAATCACGGGTCAGTTCAAGTACAATTCAAGCGATATGTTAGTCAAACAGGGGGTTCGACTGATAAAGCTGGGGAAACGAATCCCAACGGCAGTTCATATTATGGTGGGAAAAGTTCTACTATGAGTCTTCTTAAAGTAGCATTGTTGATGCTTGTTATAGAAAATCATTGGCATTTAAATCTAATGACAAAACGAAGTTTAAGATTGATTGCAAGTTTCAGGCTAATGGTGTATTATTATCATGAAGATGGATAAAAGAGGAAGGAGAAAAAGATACAATTCTGATCAATACATGTACAGTTGCATTCAGGATTAAGTGAATAAAACTTCTTTCGTTGACACAAAGTAGGTTTTTTGACAAAGTCTTTGTCACTGACACTTTCAATGTCCAATTCAACCACTCCTTTCTCCCCTTTAAAATAGTGTTAAAGGGGAGAAAATAGAATTTAAAATAGTATACTGCATAATAACCCTTTAAAAAATAGGGTTGCTGCAGGGTAATGTGCGGTGTTAAGGATCACATTTTAACTTGTATGATAACTATCAACATTGTTATTTCTTGCAGAAGTAGAAGCAGAAGATGTAGCACTTGAGGATAGAAATGAAATAAACAAATACGAAACCAATTTGTTAGGAGTTTCAGAGATTTTTTCAGCTATTACATAATATGAAAACACAGAGACTACTCACTAATTCCGCTTAACAGTAGGGTATGATGCGCCGGTAACAGCACCCGTTTTTAAGCATTCTTCATTAATCTCCAGGATGATTGTCTGCTCAATTTTCTCAAGCTGAAAATCGAATCACATCTTTATAAAATCGGAGATACTTTCGGCAAAACCATGCAAAATCAGTACAGAATTGTTTCAAAAACTTTTGCAGCCTAATTTCTCTAGCGATTTCTGCTAAAAATAAAATGAGAAGAATATGTTTTTAGCAGCTATTAAACATTAAAGACCAAAATATCAGGAAATTTCTAGTTGAAGACTAGTTGAAAATTTAACGCAATTAAAAGAAAATAAAAATGGGAAGAAAAACAGACGCTGGTATAATGAAAATATTACGCACTTTGGAGTACATAGCAGGATGGGTCTAAGTTACTAGTCCAAGTTTTCATGTTATCATCAGGCGATTTGTGTGTGTTCAATATCATATCAATAGTTGTCAATGTTTGTCAGAAGAATGCAACGAAACTAAAGAATGGAATAGCAACCTAAAAGGGTCCTGTTTTATACACCAAAGCGTGCACAGATCCGTTAATACGACACCCTGTACTCTACAACAGATCGGTTATCAGTAAACTTCACGAAATAAGATGTTATCCAGTTTCAGTACCAATTAACGATTCCGTACAACTTTAAATAGAGTTCTTTGAAAAGACTTCAAATTGTACAAACAGATCGAATTTACAAAACTATGAAGTCTCTAATAGCATTCAACTATCGTCAAATTGATACAAATGTCAATTAAAACGAGAAATATTGAAAATATTGTATAAAAATAAAAAAAACAGGAAATTTTGTATATTAAAGGCAGACATTTGAAAATGGCATACGGTAGACTTATTAGCCAGAAAGTGATTACCTCTCTTAACTTAATTTTTAGTCTCTCAGTTTCTTCCCTCATTTCGGCCCTTGCCTTCGATACAGCTTGGAATTTTTCTTCTCGAGTTTCATAATTTTCTTGTCTAGCATCGTCTAGTTCCTGAAAGTGAACAAGAAAATTGATAGTCAGTTTTCATTTTAAAAAACTCAAAACAATCAATCAAATTAATCAAGCATCTCTGAAACAATCAAGGCACGTAAATACCGGTGGGTGTGTTTGAGGGGGGGGGGGGTGGTGGTGGTGTCAAACTTTGAAATGCTTCAAATTAGTCAAAAATTCGAAAGCCATCAGGAAATTTAAGTCATTATTTCCATGCTTGATTGTACCAGAGAATAATATTACGTAACGGTTATGCCGAGAATACTCTTAATTTAGAAAGAAACTGACAGTAAGTAAGGGCTTATTCGTCAGTTGGAAATTTCGTATCCTTCATCCCTCCATAAATATTCCGTCAATTTACATCCCTGAAGACAATCTCAATTACCAAAAATAATGAAAAAAATTACCACAGACCTTTTTCAATTTGTTGATCAGATTTCTGAGACGGGCATATTCATTCTCTTTATTTGCATTCTCTGCGTTATTCCTTGACGATGCCAAATCCCTCTCCTCTTTCACCTTCTCTAGCTCTAATTCGGTTTCTTTCAGCTCCTCAAGGCGTGACTGGCGCTCCTTTTCAACAGCCAAACAAATCTGCAAAAATTTGTATTCGAAAAATTCTGCATTTAGCTAAAAATATACGAACATTGCAAATATGTATGACTATAAGCTTTTTCTAACATACGGTTGCTAACCATTGCATATTCAGTATATTTCTGCTAGTTTTTCAGTTTTACTCTATGAACATGCAAAAACAGTACGTACTGTTGACATAAATATTACTCGACATTTTTTATGCATTCGACATTTTCATAAAAGCGAACAATGAGAAATAGACAAATAGCCTAGTTTACCCCTTATTCGGCGGCCATTATAACACAACCTCAAGGCCAGCACCACACAGATTCGTTCCCAGTCTTTAAGCTGCACAGCGGTATCATATAAGGCTAGCGTGAGGGGTTGTATTACCATGGAACTGGGTTTATGCCTTTAACTGTAGCTATATCCTTTACATAAAGTTGAATCATTAATGATGAATTCCTTCTAGTCTAGACCTTTTAAGCATAACTAACTAGATATAACAAAACAAATCAAACATTACTAGCTTTCATTGTTTACAAAGGGCCTATAAGTTCTTCGAGGAAACATGGCTTGATGCGACTGAAGAAGAAACGAATAAATATATACCTAATGCAAACATGAAATGTCTTATCTGAAGAAACTTAGTGTCATTCATGAAAGGTTAACATGAAGGTCAATCAAAAATAGCCAAGAAGCAACTTTTACCTGATCCTTTGCTTCACTTCGCAATTTTTCTCCGAGCAATCGTGTTGCCTCTGCTTGTTGGTTCAACAAAGTTTGCAAATTATCAACTTCTGACTGTTTTGTCTGGAGTAATAGAAAAATTGAAAAACTGTGTCAATAAAGAAACAGAAGCAGGCTCGATAAAATATTCTTTTGATTCAGATTCGATCATAAAACTATAAATTTGTGTTTCATTCAAGAACAATGGGATTTGGAATACATTTACCTTGATTTGTGTATCCAATTCTTCGATTTGTCTCTTATGTCTATGTGACAATATAGAAATGTCATTTTCGTGTTCCTAAAATAGATTAAATATCCTCATGAATAACTTGATAGAATAGGGTTTGAACGGAAAATAGCATTATGCTATAAATAACGACGAAATTATGATTATGATTACTCAAAAACTGATTATGGAACAACAAATCTCTCGTTTGCAACTTAAGTAAAAGATCTCACTAAAATGAAAATGATAAACATGTTTTGTTTTAGGACTAAGGTCAATCCTTAAACATTCTTAAAGGCTCCTCCGCAACCGGCACGCTTTGCGACTATAATTCAAAAGACTGGCCTAATATCGTACTGCATGAAAATCAGTGATGAAAATACAAAACATAGTCAATTTCTCAAGACAACTGCCGCTAAGCATGCCGGTTGTGCAAAAGCCTTTAAGATTCTCTTCAGCATATCCACAACAACAGATGAGGCGAAATTACTGCTAGCAAAGGACAGCTGGCAAAATAAGAAACTCCATTACTGGAGATGCGTTTAAATAGAGAAGGTTACGATCGATAGATAGTTGCGCTTAAGGATATCTTATAGCTATAACAAATTTTATGAGTTTGAGTAGCAGCTGTGCTGTGTTGAATGTCTAGATACGGTTAACAATACTCACATTTTTCAACTTCTTTTTTATACTTTCGATCTCGCGTTTATGGTTATTATCTGACTGTTCTTGTATCCTATTCAGACGTTCCGAGTTTGAGCTTATCAATTTCTGGTTTTCATCTTCAAGTTCCTAGAAAAATTGCATCCATAAAAAGATTAGATGAAAAACTAACAATTTGAAATCCTAATTCGAACAAAATATATTCCTTCAAAATCATTTCGTTCAGGCTATCTTTTGATAATTTGAAAACTCGAATAAACTTTTGCCATTACCGTAATTCCTCTTTGTAGCCTACTGTGGGCTTATTAACTTTGGCTGTTCTAGATGATGGAAGAGCTTATAAAAGTTGCCATAGTTTTGCAAATTTTGGAACAAAAACATAGTGACAATGCATCGTTTATTTTATGTTCTTCAATTTTTCGATTAATATGTTATTTATAATAAACTAAAATCGTTTTCTTAAAGATGGCATGTCAGGGTACCGCCTTATTTGATAAGGGGGGGGGGGGCTAACTAAAAACTTTCATTTCCAGAATTGGGACTAATTCGATAGTAAAGAAATTCAGTGGACTGGATAGCAGTAAAGTTTCGGAATATTTTTAACAAAGTTAAGTTGGGAAAGGAATCTGTATATATCATAATATATTTTATTTGCTATACCGAATAATAAATAATAAAAATAGCAAACTACAAGGTATAGCATCCTAGCAATAAAAGAAATCATACCTCGATTTTCTGATACAATCTTTTTATTTCATGTTGAAAGCGGCTATTTATTGATTCAATTTCATCCAGCTTTTCCTTTAAAATTATGAATCCAAAAACCAAATGAACATTGAAAAGTAAAATGGAAGTGAAATGACATGCAATAAAAAAATTAAAGACAGAAATATATTTGAATCTTCCAATTGAGTCACAAAGCATTGTTTTTTATGAGCCAAAGTTGTCTTCGTATGCATGGAAAGTAAATAATTTGTACAGTTTGAAATGACATCTACTTTTTGAAATATCTTTTTGCAATGACATATGGTGTAGTTTAAACCCATAATCTCTATCTACACCCCTTTTACTCTTAGTCCCGGAGAATATCGACATAATAAAACAAACTAGCAAAGAAAATATAAATACCTTCTCCAATTTCTCAATTACTGCATCGACATCCGCCTTTTTCGCCTCCATCGTCTCTTCTCTAATTTTCCGCACCGTGCTCATTTGTTCGATATTCGCCTCCACAGCTTTCCGCCGTTCAGTTTCAAGTTCCTGCAAAAATAGAGCTTGATAAATCACCGAAAAATATCAGTGGAGGATTAACAATACTGTAAAAAAAGAGCGATGTCCTAAAATTTAAAATTGTGAATTTCAAATATTTCTACATGTCAGGAAACAAAATATGGTTAATTATGATAGAAATATATATACACATTTCCCCTCAAAGAAAATTAATATTTAAAATCAAATAACAATCGTTTTGTGATACAAAACTCGAAAACGGCTTTGAAATAAATTTTGTTTTTTTATCTATGCGTATAACAATTGACAATGAACACAAAATACAAAACGATACCACAGGAAGCATGGAAGTGCATCACAACCCTGTGGCCATTAATAATCAACTACAAGTCTGTCCTAAAATAGAGGCAGAATGATGCAAGCTGAGGATCAAGTTGTTGGGGCTGCATTCAGAGCTCTCCGTTGTGATATGCATCTCCTGTTTCGATTCTGGCACAGACTTCAAACAAAAATAAAACGTAACGATTCCAAAATTACAAACAACTTAAAAATGTTTAACGAAGGGGGTAGGACAAAAGCAGGTTATCAAAAACGATACGATGTGAGGATGTATTATATTCTAAATAAGTTGAATAATAACAAGCTTTTAAATGCCTATACCTTCAAACAGTAAAACCATATTTCTGTCCTTCTAATATAAAATAAGCTACTAAACATGCACATATAGAAAAATATAATAGCATACAAAGAAGTACAAGGAAAACAAACTACCTCACGAATTGCTCTGACTTTTTCGCGACTTGAGTCCTGCTCATTATAAAGTTGTTCTTGTAAAACTTTCAATTTCTTCATTAATTCCATGTTAGTGCTGTTAACGTGATCAACATCTTTAGTTTTCTCTCGCAAAATTTTACATTCGCGTTTCAGCTCATCCCGCTCCTCTTGAAGTAGTGCTATCTGTAAAATCCGAAAATTTCAGATGAGCGTGTTTGGTGGAGAGTACTTCATGAAAAAGACTTTTGTAACTGGCTTTCATACCATATCGAATAAAGGTAGTGGCAAAAGTCACCAACAGCTGTCAGAAACTCGACTTCGATCCTTATAAAAGGCATTTTTACAGTCGTCAGGTCAGACTACTTTTTTATGTACCACTAATCAAAAGGCTTCATATTGTAAACAGCTCGTGAACTTATTTAGGATAACATTAAACTCAAAGGAAATCGGAAGAAACATGATGTAGAAATCACGAACAAGTGTTTTTGATACCCAAACCCCGATGAAGCAATTTGACCAGTGAAACCAATAGCAAGCTGAATAGCATCATCAAGAAATGCTACGATCCTGCAATCTGCAGTAGTTTTCATACACAGTAAGGCCACATCACATATCAGCAAACAAATAAATAATGAAAGGATTATATCATACATATTAAAAATATTAAAAAGCTATGGCAAAAAATTCACAAAAGTAGAGACAAATAGGTTTTTATGATTATATTTTAATGTGTTTTCTACCTTTGCACTGATGTTTGACTGCTTCAGCTCTTCCTGAAACATAAACTAGAAACTTTACAAAAATCGAAGATAATACAAGAAAACAGCATGTACGAAATAGTTTAACCACAGTTTGACAAAGGGCACGAAATGTTCCAGGAAACATTAGCATTGCCAAACAAATCGTTGACTCTAGTTTTCACATCTTGATTCAAACATGCAAACAATTATCAGGGGAAGACCCCATTTACCTTCCTTCAAAATTTCTACATGACACATTTTAAACCACCCGACCGATTTAAATTAGCTGCATCTTAAAAAAATAACAACTTACCATATCTATGTTGCCTTCAGTACAAAAATAAAATGCAAATACTGTCTTTCGATAAATAAAGTAGTAACAAACACCTCTTTATAGAAGGCAGTTGCCCTAGCCGGATTTCTAGTGTGGACTTGAAATAAGCTCCAGGAACTTGGAGTTGCGAATTGATAATTGATTCTAAGTGGGAATAATGCCAGACTTTAATTCACTTTATAGACAATCGAAAAAAACTTCTTTGCAATTTTTTACCGGCAAAGACTCCAATTCCTTCTTTTGTCTTTTCAAATCCTCGGCTATTTCGTTCAGTTTTCTTTGGCTTTCGTTCCTTTGCTGCTCTAAATCCATGAGCTCCGATCTATAAAATGAAAATTTACAAAAACTCTTTGTCTAAATTGAACTCTACACAAGTTTAATGATCCTCAAGTTATCTAAAGAAAAGGAACCTTGAATTGGCCAACAAAACTAATGCTAACAATTGTTGAGGAAATCTTACATTATTTGCTTGATTTTTAGACATATACTTCTTTAATGAAACTCCATGTTAAGCAAAAGGTTCATACTAAATTGAAAAAATTCCCATTGAAAAACCACACTAGTGGAACAGGTGAGTTTGGCTAGTGTGAGACTTAAGGGGCTGATAGGATCACATTTTTTGCTAAAAGATGACCTATTTACTTCCCAAGTCACTTAACAACTTTAAATCTTGACTAGAGCTGCTTACAAAAAGGATATTTAATCTAAAAGGTTTTGATTCCATGTAACCCTACGTTTGAGGCACAATAAAAAGACTATCAACTGTAAGCAAACCACAGAAACACATTCATAAACAGATAACGAAAATTAAAAGCACGTACCTTGTAGCTACCGTTTGTTTTCTGTGCTCTTCTGCAAGTTGCTCTAGAGACTGGATATTCTTTTTTACCTGAATAAGCGACTCTTCTGCTGCGTTCTTTTCGCGCACAACTGCCTAAAATCAAGTAGATATTGGTCAATAAAAGTGAAAAACCACTCAAAACGTAGCGATGTCTCCTTGAGTGTCAAACATTTAATCGTCTACGTAATCCTTAGGGGGAGGCACCCAACTGGGTTGACTAAATTAGCAAAAACATCTTCGACTTTCAAAACTCTCATTAACAAAATTCGATAATATTACAATGAAGATTTGTTCTGATCGAATCAATCAACCTGGTTTCTTGATCCATTTCAAATTAATAATATATTGCTATAGTCTACCTCTTTCCTCAAAGTCTCTTGTTCAATTGCAACCTTCAGTTCCTTTAGCCTCACTTCGGTCTTAACCAAAAGATGCTCTGATTCCGCAACCTGGAAAAGTTAATTCATAACAGCTTGGGTAGGTAACAGTCGTTAGAAATGTTGTAAGGCTCTGTTGTCAACGAAAATTTGCATTGCTGACAATATATTTTGGAAATAATCCAATTTCGACGGGAAAGTCTGAGAGTAAATCATTTCCATCTGAAAGTTCTTATGGGCAAAGAATCAAGGGTTAGAGTTAGGGTCAGAATCAAAATTAGAGTTAAAACGCCTTTTCAAGTAACTATATGCCTCAAACATGTATCAAAGTCTGTTTGAAACCTAACACAACCTAATTTCTAAAAAGCAACAATTTTTCCTTTTCTTAGAGCTGTCTTCATGTAGGCCATTCATTTGATACGTAACATAGATAAGTTTGTTTTGAGAATGAATGTTTTTGTCAACTTATGTCTCTTTTTACCTCGCGGTTTGGTGGTCTTTTAATTGGGGAAACAGGCCAACTCGTTTTATGTGGCGTCGAAGTAGCTATCAAGACATCGGCTTGATTCCTCTGGTGCTTCTCCGAAGAAGACGACCTACTTCGGTTGTTAAGATCGTCTTCATTGTACTGTGAAGATGCAGTACTGCCCCTTGAACGTTCACTTCTGTCACTGAATAGACTAGTTGCACTTCTTGCATCTTCCTTTGCTCGACTTTCCACTGATCGGACTTTTGTCCCTCGCCTCCATTCTGTTTTAATTTCCTCTTTATATCTACCTGAGCTTGCAAATGAGGTTCTGCTTTCAGATACTGGGCCATCATTGCTGCCTATGCTTCCTCTTTGAGGTGAAGTAGTAACTGGCTTCTCCATAGGTGCAGATACAGCAGTATTCCTCGTTCTTTGTTCTACATTAAAACAGCCTTTTAAAGTCCATATTGGTCATTACGATTATTCTATGTCACATACACAAATACCACCTGCTATGCAACAAGAACAATTCAAAAACTTTTTTAAAACAGGTAATTCCTAGTGAGCTTTGTTACAAAATATAAACAAAAACAGATAATATAGCATATGTTATCAAGACGCTTTCAAAATAACATTTAAGTTCACATCTTATCAATTAACATAAATGCCAAAGTTCTTTGTTACAATATTGGGAACACTGGTAATTTGATCCGAACAACATTAAACAAAAACACTATGTACCTGCATAGGATTGTTTCTGTTCGTTCTTTATTGTGGAAACTGATTTCCTGAAAGAGGTAAAACAACAATTACTATATAATTCTAATAAGAAATTAAAATAAAATCAGAATTTTTACCAACTAACAAATTTGCATAGAAAATGGAATCTCTGTTAAAAGAGCAGTTTGATTATGATTGGTATCATAATATGTAGAGTTAGTCAGTTTTTACATTTCCTGGGAGGCTTGTAAAAAATATTTAGCTCAAATGCCTTATTGTGTTCCCTAAACTATTATTTGGCAGAAACAATTACGAACTGGTTATAAGACAAGGGACAATACCTGAGCAACCCATAGCAGTGAATTTAAGCATAAAACAATATCCAATTCTTGCAATTAAGGATTACATCATGTCACTGTTATCATACATATATTGTGTGTAAACAAACATCTAATGGCATTTTGCATAGATGTTTCTGGTGACTGGTGAGATGAATTTACAAAATTGTATTGCAGTGTCTACATATATATTCACACTTAACTTAAAAAGAAAGTGGAACTTACAAGGATTCTGTTAAGGTTACCCTTCCAAGAAGTCTTGCTAATAACTCTTCCCCTTCTTTGACTTTTGGATCATACTCTACAAGCAATAAGAATTTATATAAATTTGAACATATCCTGAGACTGAATCACAATAAAGTGACAAATTTTAGATATTTCCGGACAGGAATTGCTGAAAATGACTTATTTGTACTTTTAAGTAATACATGAAGAGCCACGAAAAATGCATAGTCATCCAAACTTTATCTCACAAATTTGCAGTTTATGACATAAGATGCACAGTGCAGTGCTTGAACAGAAAGATAAAGGGTTTTTGTCCATGGTTATAGTTGTTGAGCATGAAGAGCCATTATAAATTGTGGCAGACTCTTATATATAAGGAGCAACAGAGCCAATTGATGATATTGGAAGAAGATGCCAAAAATGATTTGATTGAAAAAAAGCAAACTTTTTCTTAAATTTTTGAGACATTTCTATTTGCTTTGGATTGTTTGGTTTGGTTCAAATCTCTCAAATCCTTACTTATTCAAGCTTATGAAATCAGTTACGTTTGGCATTCTAAACAACATACATATATAGTGCAGACTTAAATCATCTTTAGTTTCAATTTATCATGCAACAATAACACTGACTAATCAATTATAATACCTATGGGCAATAATGATGCATTTCATCAAAGAAACACAACAGTTATGAAGCCAAATTAATAAAAAAAATAGTTCAATTGTTGAAACCTTCAGGTAAAAATAAAATTAAAAGTTGCCAAACAATGCAACTCTTTTCAATTGTTTTGTGCTCTTTATATGTGGTTTGAAACCATCTCACACCCAATGGTTACCTCTTGTCCTACAAATAATTGCTTTGATGTTTGGTACACAAAAGATTGAAAAGCCAACATAATTTGTTTTAAGCCTACCCAATCCCTTGGCACTTTTATATATATCTATTATGTCTCTCTAATGCACAGTAATTGTATAGACAAATAGCATTTTAAAACTTTGTTCAGTTTTTAAAAAGTTGTATTATTCATTGTTTATCAAAATTTAAAGCACCCCTCTTCAAATAAGTATCTCTTTGAATACCCCATCCTTAAAAAGTGCTGGAAAAAATAAAGGTCCTAGAATGCCTAATGAATAAAATATGATATTCACATAAAGCTAAAAAAAGAGTTCTTCAGAACAAAAGAAAAAAAATCCAAGTGATTACCAGGTAGATCTGCTGCCAAAGACTCAGAAAAACTCTCATTTTTCAAATTAACATTTCTGGTTTCAGCAACAGAGTCTTCATCCAGTGAAACATCAACTGATCTGTATTTCCAGTTTGTTGAAGAATTTTTAGAGCTTCTGCTTATACTCAAGGCATCTGATGATTTTTTGGCATCATCTGAAAATGTTTTGTCTTTGGTTGTTTTATAAGCACTATCTTCTTTGACTTCATAATCTAAAATCTTGAAAATTTTGTTGTTATCATTAGGCTTAGCATCTTCTATGTGGCTATTTCCATTCCCAAACTTGGACTGTTTCTCTTTTACAAAGGCCTGATTGGTGTTGTAAAAATCTTCCTCGATAAAAATATCTCTACTTTTTGCATGCAGTTTTGGATTGGTTTGTAACTTTGTGTCCTTTACAGGTGAAGGGCTGTTTGTTGTGAATTTTGGGGGGCTTGTAAGCTTCTTTACTCCAACTTCAGCATCATTTATTTGTTGTTGATATAGTAGATCAGTAGTAGTTGAACTTCTGTCATCAAGGTAACTGTCATTCAAGTTGCTTAATGAGACATTGTGGCCAATAAGAAAATCGGTGTCATCACTAAGTCTATCCTGGGAAATACCCGAAACAGCATCACTCGTATCATCCATGTAACTCTTATCCATTGTGGTCTCTATCTAGTCAACTTCATAGGTCCAAAAATCTACAAAGAGAATTAACAAGGATAACATACTTTACTGTGTTTTGATTTTTTTTCATATAGATCTGATAGAGATCTAGCTCAATTGCTATTTCATTTACTTTAAAACATGATCATAATTTTAAGCTTGCCTTTACAGATTCAGATGTTTGAAGTTTTTATAGATAAAATCATTCCTAAATGATTGAATATTTTAAACTATAGTCTGCCAAATATAAAGCTTCATCTGAACCTTGTTACACCGCTTTATAAAATCAAAAATAAATGCATGCTTAATGCAATGCTTTTGTAGCTGAATCATTTCAATAAATATTAGTTTATCTTGTATTTGTCAATTTAATCTTTATGAAGCATTTCATCCACGACCATTCATCTTTTTTTTCTAAAAATTCAACTACATACTAAAATTCTAGCAACATTATGGGAGCAAAACTGCAAGTAAACAATGTAGAACACATAGAGTTCGTTTTCACAAGCCTCTACAGTCAATCCAAAGAGCGCTTTCAAATCAAAGTCTTGACCAGCAGAAGTGAAATTTTGACATAAAACTGCCTAGCAACTATTGTAGATTAGATACTATCGATACAACAAATGCAATTGATCATTCGAAGCTGTTTTACTTTGGGCTCTCAACTCTGAGAGAAAGTTGGCCTAAAGATCCTATAACTTAAAGGATCATCAAATTTGAAAGTTTGTTGATTAAAACAAACCTTTATCATTCCATTTTCTGATTAAGGGCTCCAGCTCTGTACATGAAAGACGAAAAGATTTGCGAAGTCATCTCGATCGAATATCCTATTTACTTTTTCCGCTACAGCACTGCCACCATCTTTCCTTCTAAATTTGAGCGCGAGTGCTTTATCCGAGCCCGAGGTCGCTGATTGGTCAACTTTCACTTCATAATGGTTTCATACTACACTTGAAACCTCGCAGCCGTTGACAGTGTATGTATGCTTGGATTAACGAAAATCGCAAAGGGATTGTTTTAATAACGTGGAATTTAAACACTTGCTAATTAGAGCACTGCAACCATGTTTAAAACAAGATGCGAAAACGAAGATCATTGCTTGGTATGAGGTCTATCAGATATAAGCTTCTTTTCCTTGTTTTCCACAAGGCAAAAATTTTCGCTCTAACTCCAAAATTTAGGAATAAATTGGGTCACGTCGTCCTGATTGAGTATACCTAGATACGAATTAAAATTTTTCTACTTCGCGTAAACTTAGACATAAAACTTGGCACTGACAAAATCCTTCAAGCTCTTCTGATACAGTTCCGTCGGAACAAAATTCATATTTGGGGTGGGGGGCTGCCCACTGTTTTTCTTCTCATTCAGTACACTGTTATAAAGGAAACATACTACAGTTTGACAATTATTGGGGGTGGCCAAAAATCGAAATTTACAGGTTTCTTTTTGAGAATTAATGGAAAACAATTATCGAACTAAAACGGCCGTTTTAATGTACCCAATCAGGGCGAACTTGGGCCAAGTCAGTCAGCTTTATTTCACTCCTCTTTGTGGCAAAACAAATTGAAACCTGAGCGATTTATGCAAAGATTCTTACACCTGTCCTCATGCATGATATGTGCCTAAAATTGCAAAATAAGCAGCTAAAATATGCTCGTTCCTTTAAGAAAATAATTATGAAAAGATAAGTACCGAAAACATCCTACGCAAAATGGCAAACACATCCTTCTTCGTTTCAGGTGATTCATTTTTTTTCCAGTTATTTGTTCATCGATTGAGCAATAGAACGCAAAATGTTTACTTACCTTTAAAAAAGGGCGTATACACATAATTTCGTGCTTTTTTGGTCGCAGCTCAGCCCCAATCTTCCATTTTTTTCGCAATGGTTGAAGCGATGTAAATGTCACATTTCCAGGTACATACTCAATCAGGGCGACGCAACCCTAGTTTCCACGAAGGCTGATTTGGCGCCAAGCGCAATCTTAAGCATTTGTCAAATAGTAAGCAAATATGAAGCAAAGAGTAGTTGAAGCAAATTTATTCTCAAGGTGATCAGTTTTTCTTATCAACTCTCAACTAACTTATGCGGTCCCTATTTTCAATCAAAATAAACAGCAGTCAAGGGTAACTTCAAAACTTTGCAAATACAAGTAAGATTAACAAGTAAATAAGATGGAGCAGGAACAGAATATCACATTACAACTACCACGATTCTCCCCTTCAAATCAAACATCTAATACTACACTCTTTCTTTTAAAAACCAGATGCTCAATGGCTCAATGGCCGGGGCTCAATGGTCGGTTGTTTTTATCATTATTCTTTTCCAACATGAATTTTTCAACATCTAGATACCATATATTGTTTCCAAGGCCATTGGCAGTCTCACAGTTGACTTCCTGGTTAAGTCTGCTCTTGTCATGAAGGAACTTTGTTTTCCAAAAAACACATTGATTTTTCTTCTGATTTTTTATCTTCGGCTGGGCCTGTTGCTATGATGTTCTTATTTCTGGGCAAATCAAGCCTCGGTGTTCTTATAAAGAAGAAGTACTCTGAGCAAATTGATATATGACTTTTAATATATTGATATATTGTTGATAGTTCTGTAGACCTTTCTTCTGTAATTTTCCGTAAAAAGATTTCGGTTCTCTTTATCATCAATTTTGAAGACACTGCCTTTAAGGCAAGACTTAGTCGAAGTTTAAATCTTATTTCCATTGTTGGAAAGGAGAAACTCACGAACAGAATACACTCTACGAAGCAAGTGTCCAGAGAAACTGGAGCTCACAAGACCGATGATTGAAAGGAACATGATATGAGAGTATAAAATACCATAATCAGCCCGGGCCTATCTTGCACTGCTTGAGGAAGATTTTAAAAGTTTTGGCTTGGAGCCAGATGCACACTTTGCCTCTACCACTACTAAGAGTCTTAAATTGAAACCAATGTCATTTTGACATGTTTCAAAACTGATAATAAGAATCTGGATTTTTGGACTAGAACTCTGAAAGTTTTAATTACACTTGGGAGAGCGATAAGTTCAACTATTGATAGAGCTCGTCCTTAAGAAATCCCTTTTATGCAAAGTATTCTCAATTACATTTTTCTCGTAGTATTCTTTTAGTGTCATTAATCTTAAGTTTGTAGTAGATGTTGCTTTAGATTAATGTTTTGCATGTTTGAATTGCGTTAACAGGATTCGAAATTAAATGAACTGAACTGACTTGGGAAAAAGTTATATTGAAAATATAACATAAAATAAGCTTATTTTAGTTACGCTTACAAAGAAAAGGAACAGGGACAACGGGGTTATAGAAAGTTGAAGACTCCACTGGGTATATACTCAAACAAGCAGAATCACAGAACTACGATCTTCTTCGTAAGAAATCGTACATTACAAAAATTAGAAAACCTGGAAAATTCCCAAGCACATATGTATGTAAACAAACTAGCTTTGTGAGCATTGGAAACTAATGGCTAAGCAGGGGATTAAAATAAAAGGAAAGGGTTGGGAAAATGTTGAAAAAACTAAGTGGAGGATGAGCTTATGATTTCAAGAGACCCTTTATAATAGGAATTCATATTGAAATTTTTTGCTGTGTTAATTTTAACTATGTATTAATTCGGCGGCTCTCTTTGAATAAATACAACGAAATCGCCATTTCTTGAATCAAAACTTCAGTTGTGATAACTTCAGTCCTAAATTTCTCACAAATTTGAACGGAGAGAGACTTGGAATAAAACACCATTTGTCATTAGATCATCAAAATATAAGTATATTAATAAATATCATAGAGCGTACGTATCTACAGAAGTTAGTTAATCATATAGATGCAAACATGAGTACTTACAATTGATAAAAATAGTGTAATTTGCTCAAATATTTTCTAAAACAGATATTTAAGAACATTCCAAAAGATTTCTAGCAAAATAACAACGCTTTATGAATAAAATATGTGTCCTCCAGGAAAAAAATCCAGGAAATATTTTTTTGCAACTAATGAATTTCAAGGCACCTACAATCTCGCGCCCTCAAAATCAAAATAACAGTCACAAAAAAGAGATAAATTCGAACAGAACAAAATTTAAAATTCATCTGGAAAGGTCTCAACGTAAAAGGATAGTGGTTCTTTATCTCGGATATATTTCATATCCATGCCCTCGAAATAAAAGGGAAATTGTTGGGATATTAAACGGGAAACTATCACAGAGTGATGTCCGTTGCCAGTATGACTGAATCTTGCTGAAGCAACCGTCTGTATCCCCTTTGATTGCAACTGAGGCAGTAATCTCGATGTCGAATACGGCGATTTGTCAGTAGAGCAGACTAACATAAAGAACAGGAAGAGCTTAAAATATGCTAGGAGCAGTTGATTGAAAGGTAAAAAACTTATGACTTCAGCCAGGGATGACTCTCGACCGCAGATTTACTTCGCTCACCGTAATCATATAAAAGTTCTTCGCCAGATTCGATATCTCTCTTTGCAACCAATATCAACCTTGGTTCGTCTTTAATAGGAAAAATTCTCGTACAAACATTGTTTTCTGTTTTACTGTGATTGAGGAGTCGGCCAAGGCGTCCTGATTCTTTCGTTGCATCGATGCTGAAAAAACAATTGGGGTTTAGTTTATGAGCTTATTATGTGTTACGGGTAACACAAGCTGTCTAACGGTGAACAGTGTTATTTGCAATAGAGCCAAGTAGAAACCAAAATAATTTCCTTCAAAGACACATACCTCTGAACCAACTTACTAGTGTTGCAAGCGTTCTCACTAAAGCAACCTTGCTTACAGCACACAGAACTTTTGAATAATTATTGCAAAGTTAACAGATAAGAGTTATCAAAGTTTTGATCAAAATGCTTTAGACAAATACAATTTTAGGATGAATCGGCACAAACTTAGGTATGTGTCAGTTACTTCGATATGCAGCCGACACGGAACAGAGACTCAGAGAAAATTAAAATACTACATTGTGTTTATATTTGAAAATGTCTAGAAGACGGAAATTGCAATATATGGCAAGTAATGCTCGAAAGAAGCTTGTTAGAATTGCACATCCTTGAAATTGTCAAACAACAAACAATGAAATAGGACTGGATTTCATCTTATCACAATTTACTAAATAACAGTAACAAGTAACGTACCAGTACTTCTTGTTTTGGTATTCAAAGAAATAGCTGTAGCATCCCAATTCTGGGTTCAACGAATACTCAGCCTCACGTAGCAGTCCAGCCTCGCAATCAATCAATTCGCCTGCATACTCACAAATGAGTTCTCCTCTCTTGAATGCATTCACGGCAAATACCCCTCGACCTTTTTCAGGTAGAACTCGAACCTAGGGACAAAAAGAACCTTTATGTGAATAATTGAATATTAGGAAATGAAGAATTTTTGGGGATTTCAAATACAACACCCACTCTTTGAAATAAGTCAGATTTCGATTTCAAAAAATTACAATTCTAGCCTCGACTGCAAAGCTGAATATGTATTTAATTAAAGACATTTTTTGCACAGAAAACAGAACAAAGTTTGAACCGATATCAGCATAAAACCATGTATTGTGATGAATGACAATTGCAATGTTAAACTTATTGTCCAATGTTTTTTGCATCAGATAATTTTTTACCTATGTTCTGTTTTCTACAAACTCTAATAGCTAAAAATTTTACATTTCACTAGGGTGCTTAAGCTTCAATAAAAATTTTAATCATATTACCAGGTGTTATACAGATCGGTGCTTATCCAAAACTATTGCTAGAAGTTAATATCATTGTGACAAAAAAAAAAGATTGTATGACACTGGACAGGAATGCTAATAAAAACTTTGATTCACAGCTAACCTCCAAGCCACTTTCATCTTCATCAAGCAGTTTTTGCGCTATGGCTTTCTCCTTTTCAACCTGATAAAACAAATACAAGAAACAGAATTATCAACAATGCAGTAAAACACAAAATTTGAAAATTAATCTAGTAGTCAAAATATAGGGGTACATAAAAGAGACAGGTAATAAACTTCTTGGGAAATTCGATTTTCATTTACAAAACTGAACTGTGTGATATAATATATCATGACATTGATATGCATTTGAAGACCATGTTAAAAACATGTCAGGATGTGGCCTTCGTAGTCCCAAGGCATGAAAACCAACCTGATCAAGCAACTGGGCAATTGTACGAAATTATTCATGCATAAAGTTCTGCAGGATTTTTTTTAGAATATATAAACCCTTTTACAAGAAACACCTTTGTTTCTTTATGCTCATCAGAGGGAAAAACACAAAGACTGGTGCCTTGAGCAGGTTAAAATGATTTTTTTTGCCCTTGAGAATGTTTTAGAAATTCTTGTTTGGGAAAAACTTACAGTGTTTCACCTCATTTAAGAATCCTTGTTACAAAATTTGCAGAATTCTTGTAAATTCTTTCAAGGTGATTTTTACTGATCAAAATAAAATTTCTCTCCTCTGGGTTTTTACTTGGTGGTGATTAAAAGTGACTAGTGGCCTAAATTGATAGCTGAAAAATTTTCATGTTGTCTTATTTTGAGTGAATGCCCCCATTATAAAGGTTTAAATAAAAATCAACTGTTAAATACAAAAAAAAAATCCTCTTGAACCCCCCCCCCCCTCTCCCTGTCTTCCTTACTAATCCACCACTTGGTGGAAGTAGGCATTTATGGCACAAAATGGAAAATAAGGAATGTGCTTGCAGGATGTCAATTGCCTGTCTGTTTCAGGAAATTTTGCTACGTTTCTGGAAATTAATGCAATTTTTTTGGAAATCAGCTTCTTTCTTAAATGTTAATAATGATAATAGGGATAGAAATGTTAATAAAAATATAAAGATTTCCAGATTGAAGTTTAATTTAAGTTTAAAGAGTTAGGTTTAAAGATTGAAGCAATATAGTATGTGAAGAAATTTACCTTCAATGTAGACTTGCTTCTTCTGTTGCTACGTCTGACTTGAAAATGTGATGTTAATACACTTTGCTTCAGGCCATCATTATGCTCACTTCAAAAAAAGAAAAAGATAAATTTTCCACTTTAACTGTAAATACTCCAGCTAACAAAGTTACTGATCTATAAAACTGTTTGCATTATGCAACATAAAGAAATGTATGTAAAGCAGGGAAAGAAAATGCAAAAACTATTTTTTATGAAACAGTAAGAAAAAATGCCTTTTTTCCTCTAGATTCTCTATTTTTAAAACATATTTGAAGAATTGAATTTGATCTCCAAATATGGACAACATGTTGAGATTATGCATTTATCTGGAGAACAGTCTCATAATTATGGACTTTTGAAGGTCTATTCAAAATTATCATTTACATATATAACAACATGTGATTGAAATGCTAACCACTTTGTATAGTAAATAACACTTAAACATAAGAATACAAATATATCCTAAGGGATAAATATGCAATTCTTGAAGACACGTTTATTAACTTTATAACACATAAGATGTTAGTCTAGAACAAAGATCGTCTATAGGTAACCAAAACTTTGGACCCTAAGACAGGGTTGGCACTTTCTTGCATACCTGTTTCCTTTCTTTGTTACTTTTTTGTCTTTAATTGCTTGGGTAGCTGGTTCAGCTTTTTTCTTTCTTGCTGTACTGCCTTTTTTCTTTTCCATTTTGGGTGCCTTGGTGGACCTCTCTTCCAAAATTGATATTTCATCGTCTGGCTCTTTGACTGGAGGCTGTTTTTCTTCTGTAGATCTTCTAATTGTTATTATAAGTCTCTTGTTATTGTTTGTTTCTTTGAGATAACAGACCAAAGTCCCAGTAGAACCCAGTGGTGTTGCTACTTTGTTGTTATCTTTTTCCTACAAAGGTAAGATTAAGGTTTCAAAGGCTGATAAAAACATGCATGCTGAGAAAAGATTAGGACCTCAGAGTTGTTATGAAAATTTTTGATAAAGAGACAGCATGACTCTAAGTTCAAAGCAATAAAACAGTAGCATTTCACGTTTCTTGCTGATCTGCAGATTAAAGTTGCTGCTAATGAAAGGAGAAGCCAGTAAAATGATTTCAAATTGATGCCATTACATGTTTTGTGCATTCTGGATACTGAAGTATAAATGTTAGTCAACAGTGAATTTAAATTTAATTGTACTACAACGATAGTAGAACAGAGACCAATTTGTCATTTTTAGTTTATTTCATTTTGTATTTTGTATATACACTCCCCTCACAAAAGTATTGCACCACCTTGTACTGTGGCACTTTTTGTCAATATTTTTACAATACAAAACATTTGAATGCATGAATTGGGTAAAATAGGCATATTTTATAGCAAATCTTGCTGTTGCCATAGAATACCTAGTTAGAAATATGAATTTTACACAAAAACATTATTGTTTGAAAAATGTAGACCACGCCTAAGGGAGAAAATTTGTCAAATGAGATGCGAGTCCATATAAAACTTTTACAGGAAAGTGGTCTTTAGTTTTTGAAAAATTGTTGACCATGTTAGATGCAGCCACACAACAGCTTCAATAAATCAAAAAAGGTTTCTCGAGAGTGCTTCAGTAGTAATGAACTGAGAAGTGGGTGAACAAAAAAAATTGATGTTAGAGTGGTAGCAATTTGTCGTTTTATCTCACTATGTTTACACCAAGGGACAGTAAGAGACATGAAACTTGATGCTGAGCAATGTTTTGCAGCAAAAATTCTTTTGAACAAAACATAATGAGTGTCTTACACAAATATAAATTAAATAAAAATTCACCTGAGTAAAAGGAAACCATTTTTACAATAAGAATTCAAGTTTTTCTGTGGCTTTGTTCAAGTCCAAATTTGTACATCATTGAAAATGGTTGGCTTCGTATGAAAAACATTACGAGCCATGATTTAAATGGTTCTTGAAGAAGCAAAGAATCGTTAATTAAAAGAATTCTTCAGATTTGGAATGAGATTCCACAATAATACATTGCTCAATTATATGCAACCAATTCAAGAAGGCACAAAGCGGTCTCAAAAGTTCATAGCTCATGTCAAAATATTAAATTTGAAACTGTTAAAAGACCTTTTGAAACTATTATTTTTAAAAAAAGTGCTCTAAAAAGATTGAAGTTTCGATTAAGGGTTGTTTCACTTCTGACACACTCCCATTTGCCACTTAAAAACAATCAACAATAGCTTTTGATAATTGTTGTGCCATTTTCCCTTCTTTGAGATATGTCAGAAAATCTTTTTTGAAGTGAATGACTCCTTAGACCAGGGGTCGGCAACCCGTGGGCCATATGCGGCCCGCAAGGTACTTTTGTGTGGCCCGGAAGGCCCTTCTTAACCTGTAAATAACTTGGCTTAATGCACGAATGTCAGCTCGGATTCAGTGATCCTAGATTCTTGTCTAGATTAGCATTCCTCGTTAACATTACTAGTCACTCGAACAAGCTGAACAAGAAGCTTCAAGGCCATGGTCAAATTGTGAATGTCATGTATGAGCATGTTGTCACGTTCCTGCTTATGCAACATCTTTGTAAAACTCAGCTGAATCAATGGAACTTGGATCACTTTCCATCTTCAAATGGAGTTGATCTAGCTGCAGGGTACCAGTGAATTGAAACAGAAATACAAGGAAACTCATATAATCCAGTTTTATATGGAGTATCTCCATGGTGGATGATGGTTCATATCCAGGTCTGGTGCAGCATGCCAAGAAGATGCGTTACATGTTTGAAAGTACTTATCTTTGCGAAAGTCTCTTCTCAAAGATGAATTAGGCGAAGAGTTGACTGCGATCTCGAATGACTATCAACATAAACATTCGGCTGTCTGTCAACATAAACAATTCTGCCAAATGTTGAGAATTTGGCCAAGGACATGCAGCGCCAAGTTGCGCATTAGCTTCTTGTAGCATAACATACTGAACAGTGAACATGTACTTTACATCTATCTTTGTATTTACAAACTGCTTCCACGTTACAGTACATTTACCGATACATACAATTTTATTGATAAGATTAGCAGTTAGGTAGAATTGGTATATAATAGAATTTAGAATTATACTGTATTTTGAGTTGCGGCCCTGATATGCATGTCAGAAATCAACTTTGGCCCCCTGTTTTATAAAGGTTGCCGACCCCTGCCTTAGACCAACATACTAGAAACACACCCAGCTGTCTTTATTCTGTATACAAGTTTGAAAAAAAGCCACATCAATAAAATAAAACGAAGGATAATAAAGGCACTTAATTTCGCCCTTACATCTGTACATCAATGCATAAAATTCAACTTTGTCTCCCTAATTCTTCCTGGTTCATTTAATCTTAAATGAAATTGACCTATAAATCAAATATGTGCCTAACCTTCCTCATAGTACCCATTTTCTTCACAAACAAATAGAATGCTTTTGACCCAAGAAGAAACCCCTGATGTGAAGCTCCAAGTGATAAGACAAAAGTCTCTTGACAGAGGTCTCATCATCACATACTTTGGCCCTGAAACCTACAGGATCGTTCTGTAATTTTCCTAGTTTTTAGATACATCATTTGACTCTAAATTACATCAGATGAGCTGTTACAAATAACACAAACTGATATTCAAAGAGCTCAAATAAAATAAGAACCTGAGCTTGAAAGATTATGATAACTGGCCGAACAAAATAAATTAACCCTCAAGCAGGGCCTCAATTTATGTGGCCTTTTCTGAAATATTCGCTTCGAGGCGATAAATCGTGCACATGCTATAAATAATGTTTTATAATGGCAAAACTTGCATTGGTGAATGACAAATAAACTATTATTTGTATTCCACCAGCTTTCTTTGCAGTATTAAACAACACAACAGGTTTACAAAACAGTTATCGTTCGGCGCACTTTTTGTAGCCGCTTTCAGCAAACTGTCGTAACTGTTAGCGGTGGTCCTGCTTCATACAATTTATTTTGAAACAGAATTAAATAAAGAGCTTTATCTTACCATTATCAAACGCTGCACTGCAGAAACATTAGGCTATAAAGTTAGGTTTCCTTATTTGTCCGGGACAGCTATCACTAGCAGTAACTTTCATCCGTGTACCTTGTTGTCAGAATTTTGAATTTGCGCCTGGGGCCCAGTCTTTTTCTTCTCCTCTGTTTTGTTTCAAGACGAGGTTTTTGGTAATGGCGGCATTTTTCGTTTAAGGGGTTCTTTCAAAATAGCATCAGTTCTTGATTAATGAAGAAAAATATGATTTAAACATGCAGTTGCCAAGGGTTTAAAATGAAAATCCGATTTTTCCTTTGCATCTAAGCGATGCTCCGACGAAAAAACTGAGTGAGGTTGGCAAAATACGACATCGACATTTCCCGAGCAGTCCATCATTTCTGCGATTTGGAAAACATCAACGATGACGGAGAAAGACGTCATTCAAAGGTTCAGAAAGTTGCATATGAGTGATGATGCTAATGATCAGTTTCGGATGAATGCAAACAGCCTTCTAGATCAACTCATATCGCTTGCACACGTATCCTGTGCTGCTGATAAACCACAACGAGGAGAGGGATCACAGCATATGACAGAAGAGGTTATTTTCACTTTGCTTTTGATTTAACGTTGAGTGATGTATTTTTTCACTAGTAAGTTATCATTAACAGTCATCAAAACATGTAAAAACCTAAAAATATGGCAAAATTTCTTGCACCAAGGCTTGGTTTGCAATATCATTGACGAGAATGTCAGCTGTCAAATGTGTGGTTTGGATTTATTGTGGTGGCATTCTGATGGCAGAAATTGGCATTTTCCCTACCATTCACACTAGTAGAAAATTCTAAAGCTACGTATGGTATGTTTCAACTCTTAATGGCTCCAGTTTAATTGAGCTGCCATAATGGATGGCAAGAATATTTTGGAAATTTGTTTAGGCTACATGGTGTTAAAAAAACTGTCCATAAAGAAGTCACACAGTTAGAATTTTAGAGGGTGCAACAATTTTCTTTTGGGAAAGAGAGAAAAAGCATGCAAACATGGAGCTTGTATGGCCACTTAGTCCAACTTTTACTATGAAATGCAAAACTATTTCTGTACTTTGATCAATGGTTCATTCTCTGCTTCATCCTCTTGGAAACTGGCCATGATTTTAAAAGACATTTTGCATTTGCATGACTTGAACCTTGTGACTGCCCAGATTGTTCACACATTTTTCAGTTTTACCCTTTGCCTTCAGAACAGTTATGAGAAAAAAACAGTTTGTGTTGTCCTGTTCTCAGGACTGTTCAGGCAAATCTCAGCTGACAACCAGCAGGTGCACATTAATTTGCAATTTTGACCATAAATCAAAATGGTAATTTTCAATTTTAGGGTTATTCTCCCCAGTGTGAAACAGGCTTATCAGAGAAAATTTTTTGAGCTCACTATAAAAAAGGCCAGAAATGTTTGTTGAATAACCAAAATATTGTACTTGCATGCTTTTAAATGCAATGGTAAAATGGCTGCTTACATAATTTGTCACCTTCTTTGGCTATGCAAGTAACAAAATTAAAAGCTTTTTCAGGAATCAGGTGATTGACCTGAAAATAATTCTTTTGTATATCAATACTTCTCATAGGTTTCTTGAAAAATTTATAGTTGATATTTGAAATTGCTTATACATCCTTTTATCAAATGTTAATTTTGAAATTTTACAAATTTATACTAAATCTTTAAATATTTTCAATTGATTTTTTCCAAATCATTGCAGAAACAAGATTTCACTGAAAGACTGTCAAATCAAGTCTTGAATTTTCTTCTTTTGTTTTTTCTCTTATCAGTCTTTTTTCTTTATATGTTCTGATGAATTGTAAATTTGGCAGGACTTCCTCTCCTTCATTACATATGGATGCAGGATCTTAAAAGAAAAACACCTGTTGCTGAAAAGCAAGTTTGCAGATGCAATGTATCTTATTCTTATCAAGCAACAAGTAAGTTTCATGTTCAGATTTTGCTCTTTCAAAATCCTCTTTTATTTGCATTATATTTTTACAATTAAGAATATCTTAAGGAGATTTCAAGATTTCCAGAACGTGAAAACACTGAAATATGTTTGGTATTTTGAAGTACATGAAGTACCAGATAATGTTTTATGGATGTACTTCAAACAAGATCATATCATCAAAGGGGATCTTGTTGTTCTCACTTATTAAAATATTGCTAACACACAACCCTTAAATACCTTATTATTTAATTTTTATGCAATCAAAGGTAATTGATGTTGTTAGTTTAAAAGCAAAGAAGTGGCTATTGAAGATGCGTGAGTGATATGTATTGATGGAGAAACACAACATTTCTATTCAATAAATTCTTCAATTCGACTTTTAGAGGACATTATCTCCAGAAGTTCTCCCCATTGTGTTACCATTTATCTTATCAAGTCTCATGGAATCACCAGCTTCACTGAAAATAAACTTCTTGCAAGCACTGGGGGCAGTGGTATATCAGAATGGGTCATATATTGACTTGGTAAGCTAGTATATTTATTTTTTTGTTGGTCTCATCATACCTTATGTTGATAAGGTTAACTAGATGTTCACCAGAGGAATTCACCCAGTAGTCTGAATGAAAATCTAACAGAACAAGATAATGCCATTTGATTGCCAATACCAATACCATTGGAATTTTTCCATATATGCATACATTCTGATTATATTTACCAGCCTGTCTTGTTCAAAGAGTTGGTATCCAAGACCTATGACAGAAGTATTGTTGCAAAATGAATTCAAACAGGACACAATGAAGTGTCTAAATTCGTAGCTTTCACTGTTTTCTTTTTTAAGGAACTACTGGAAGAACTGCTGAATCCATCACACTTTATTTGGTCACTCCTAAAACCTTCAAATGGTGATTTCATCAGTCAGATTGAATGTATACAGTGTTTGGGTAATCTATGTGCAAAGTGAGTACCTTTAATATAGCATAACTTCTTTACTCTCAACTATTGCTAATATAAGTTTGAAATTTGCTCCAATGACTAAGAAAAATAAGGCTTCTGATTATTGCTTTCAGATCATCCTCTGGTTCATACATAGACAAATCATTCTTTAAAGTCTGCTACCAGAATATCATGGATTATTTAAGAGCCTTACTGAATATTGAAGATATGGAAAATCTTGAGTTACATAAGGTGTGTATGAAGTTACTTTGAAACCTTATTGAAAGTGATTAAAGTCCTTCATACCTTATTGCTAGGGGTCTTAAGACTGTACAATCAGGGGCAGATTCAAGCGACAAGGATTGGGGGGGCTGTCAGATTATAATTATATTTCGGTAACACACACTTAAGATCACTGGAAAATGATGGAAACACCCTTTTTCAAAATCATATTTAAACTCTAAGATAAAAAAGATAGAAAGATCAATAAAAAGTAAAATCTTGGTAGAATTTGATTACTACTAACCACCAATGATTTTTACCTAATGGAAGCAACATTTTTCTGAAGGACACAGAAATATTGGAAAGTGTCACACCCCTACACCCCCACCCCTGCTGTATCTGTTCCTTTGTACAATATAAAAATAGAATTGAATTTCTATATCATTTACATGTCCCTATGTTACATTATTTCCTTTGAACCTAAACTTTACTTAACATGAGATGATATAAGATTAAAAATGTTTCATGTTGAAGTAAAGGTATCAGCTGCTACATTTCTAACCACTATAAGCCAAATTTTCCAAAAACCAACTCCTGAAAGACATGGGATGTCATCTTACATTTCTTTTAAGACACCGCTCTGTTAGAAACCAGCAAAATTTTTAAACTTTTTCCCCATTGGAGTTTCACCTCATTTTCAATAATATTGTCTTTTTTATTTGTTATCTAATGATGTCTTTTTAGGACCATTTTCCTAAAAATTCTGCTATTTTTTCAGCTTATTGCCAAGACATTAAAGGTTCTACAACAAGCTGTAACAACAATTGTTCCTCAAGATGGAATAGTGGAACCAGAGTTTGCAATTGCACTTTTAAGGGTTCTGAAATTTTTTCAAAACACCAATATAATAGTTTTGATTTTATGTAATTTTTATCATGTCATTGAAAGCAGTAGTCTTACTGATACTATCTCTTATAATCGAATCAGCTGGTTGGATACAAGGGGAAGAAGTATCAGAGTTTTGTCTAAAGATTTATATAATAATTTTCTCAAAAATATAACCCCAAGTGTTTTTGTATAAAGTTCAAGAATGCTACCCCCTCCCTTCCTGCTTGTCTTTCGATTCTTTGCGGTGCTGCTGTATTTACAAGTACTGCAGAAAAAGATGCCAAAACTTCATGTTTCGGTATTTAGGCCTACTTAGGTTGATAAATTTGCTTTTACTTGTTGATCTTGTCAAATTTCGATGCCATGGAATTTGAATTTGAATAGCTAACCTCCAAAAGTGACTTTTCAAACATTAACTAATTTAGTCATGTTTATCCAGCCCCATGTATCATATTCACTAATTGAGCTTTGTTCTAACCTAGGTATACCTGGTTTACGGATTACCTGCATCTCAAAGTATCATCGCCCATCTTGTCAAGAACCTCCCTTCTGCTAGAACAGGTTTGATACCACAAGTCGTCATTTGGTTCATGAACCTGCTACTGCAGCCAAATTACAACTTCTTGTTTTTTCTCGTGATAAAGATGACACTAGAGTTGCCTAATGCAATATGCACATAGAATACTAATAAATATTGTGCTAGACCTTATTTTGCAGCAAAAAAGTGAACTTGTAGCAAGCAACAACTATGTCACATTAAATGAGCAAAGGTTTTCAAACTGCCGTTGCATTGATAAGACCTACTTTCTGGGTTATTCCGAATAATCATTATGTAAATACCATCTGCTTTCAATACAAGTGACACATAAAATGTGTTTGAGCTTTTTAATTGTTTTCTTTCTGTCCTCTCCTTTCCTTATAATTGTCTTAAGAAACCGTCTTCTCTTCCGGTATCTAGCACCAGCGTTTGACAGTGGAGTGTTGACCAAGAAAACTAAATGTCCTGTTGCAAAGCAAGTTCTGAAGAAGAAGCGAAAGGGGAAAAGGTCTAGCAGCAGACGGCATGTGAATTCCCAAGAAGATGAAGAATCGGTTGAAAACACTGTATCAGATCTTCAGTCCACTGCAATGAAGGACGACAACATTCTTAATTTTACACAAGAGGGGTATACAGTTTCTAGTCAGTCAAGTTCGGAATCTGACTTTTCTGACCCAGAAACTGGTTTTAGAAGCAGTGTAAGGTATGTATCAAACAAACCAATACGTAATGCTTGAAAAACGAGCCAATAAGGTGATGAGTATTTTTGAGTGACCAAATCTTCCTAAACAACATCCAGTAAAGCCTTCACGGGTAACTCTTATCAAAAAATTAAATTTTCATAGTAGAATCTACTGCATTCAATGTGAAAATACATGAAACAGAATTTGCGGTGCTCCAAAATCCAAACTAATTAATTAATAACAATAAAGTAAATGTTTATTAAAGAACCATATATTTGATTAACCTATATGGAAGCTTTTACATGAAGGTATCGAGTATGAAATGCTTTTGTTTTTAAAGACTGATATAGAAATTTATGATCAAAGCCGTATTATTTCTTTGGATTTGTCGATCTTCATTTTAGGAGAACATGCTGTCGGATAAGACAAAATGCAGCAAAATGTATTCAAGATATTCTCAAGGTAAACCGATTGAATTTTTAAAATATTTTTTAGCGAAAAGAGTGAAAAGAAAGCATTAAAAATTGTGTGCTTTTAGGTATTCTTGGCCCTATTTTTGGCTTCACAACTGAAGCTGTTCAAATAGTAAGGGAAGAAAGATATGAAAATCTTTAGTGCATTTAGCAATATGTGCAAGTTTAAGAAATATAATGATTTGTACATTTCGTTATCGGAAGTTGTATTTGCATAACATTTGGTTTGCAACGAAATTATCATAAACTGTGGCTTACTGGTTTGGATGTTCCCCTTTCATGAAAAAAACTTCTTTGATTATTCAAAGATTTCAGACATTAACTTTTCCAATTTCAGGTATCAGATCGACGTGCTAAACTCTCCTCTTGGCTACTGCTTGTTCCAGAAGCTCTTTCCCATCTCGAACCTTCTTTGATGTCAAGTTTTATTAACGATCCCACTGCCAAGGTTTGTTCTATCTCAAAGAGGTCATTCGTTTACATATGATGGCCATTATGTTGCTTTGCAGTATCATTCAAAAGAACTTTTAATTTTTCATTCTTGGAAGTGGAATGTTTGTTCTCATGCACTGGTAAAGCGTTTTTCTGGAAATTAGTTACTTCAAAATGCATTTTCTCCTTGTTTTATAATGGTCTTCCTTGATTCGTGCTACCACTGCAACATTCGAAAAAACCTAACAAATGTTCTTTCCAAAGTCCGTTTATTTTCCAAATAAAATGACACCGTATCTAGGAGGACTGCTGTAGGACAATTTGGGATGAACGTCTTCAAAGCTCTAGTTCTTGAAGGAACCTTTGAAGGTAATAGGTTAAAACGTGGTGCTTATTGCAATATGTTTTCTTTTGATAGGTCCGACTTTCTGCGCTATCCACGCTCATTGAGCTTATCAATGACTCCAAGCAATATCTCGAAGCTGCTGTTGACAGGTGAGGTGTCACGTGGTTATGAAATCGTTTCTTGCCTAGCCAGTATTTGAAATAATAGCCTTTTCATTACTTCGGTAAGTTTCATGGCCCTCCGTCTCTTTCCCGGTCTTCTCTACATAAGGTCATTTAGTGTAAATATATAAATATATATATATATGTAATCATCTTGTTTCTTTTCCGTGATCTGTCTGTTAAAATTGAATTTCAGGACCCAAAGTCTGCAGACAATCGCACGCTCATTCGTTCCATTTTCAGTGAAATTAAATCAGTCATTGGTGCTTTTACATGAAGCATTTCTTGAGCATCTGAATGGCAGAAAGTCTGATTTTGCCAAGGAAAAGGCGCTGCAAGTAATTTTTGTTCACATTTGTAGTAATTTGTGTCAATGATAATTTCTCAGTTTGTATGGCAAAAGTAAGCACATCGATAGAGAATAATCTGAAGGGATATGTTATGCGCTTTTATTTTCGTAATAGTGCTTTCTCTGAGCCCGGATGATTTGCTAATGCCATTCAACCAGCTCCTTTTCATGTATGACAATTATTAATTAACAGATTAAATATGAAAATTTGCTAACTTCGCCTTTTTTATATATGAATATTTGCTAAAATTTGACAACTTATTACGGTATGATTCATACGATGTTGAAAATTCATGCGAGAAATTGGGAATTATAGAAGGGAATAGAAAAAATGATGCAGTATTTTTTGGTATTAATACTTTGATATATTTTTCACCAGTGCTTGTCGATTTTGGTATTGAATACTCCCTATGAAAAGATAGGAGCAGAAAACCTACACAAGATCATTGCATTAATCCCACGATTTCTTTATGTATCTGGTGAGTTTATTTTGTGCCTGATTTTTGGCTGTTCACTTGCTCCTCTGTTTGGTTGTTACAATTGTGACATTCAAAACATCACTGGAAAACACTATTTATGTGCAGAAAATGCAAGAAAAGCTCTCGAAGTTTTGGCTTTTGACTGACTAATGAGTCGAAGCTTTGGCTTTTACGAATTTATAAGTTTTATTTTAACTGCAGCCTGCAGTTGCAATAAAACTGATAAATTCGTAAAAGTGCAGGCACAGAAGTTCCGAGTTATATTTACATCGTATTGAGGAACGGCGCTTTGCTGGATCATGCTATTTTGCATATGCCTCAGAAAAATACTGCCAGATAACTGTTGATCCAATTGACATTTAATTTTATGGCATCCTCCTTTTTAGTGCAGACTTCTTTTTATCTTCTTTAAGGTAGATATTCAATTTTGAATTCTACAAACTTATTGAATTGTACTTTTTGACGACTCGGGTTTTGCTGTAGCCGTCCGTCCGATCAATCAGCCGAATAACTTGGTCTTGACCTTGCTAACGGTACCCTTCGGTGCATCTCTTCTTCATAATATCAATTATTTTTACTTATAGACCTCAATGTCACTATATCTACACTTACTTGCTTTGCTGCCAGTCTGTCTGTTAAGCCAGATGATGCGGCAATCAAAACGTTAATGCTGAATACCCCAAAGACAATACAAAAAATGCTACCAGAAATTGGGAGTCGTGACGTCACTTTCAGATCTTGGCTCGTTAAGTATTGTTACATTGAGCTTGAGCGTGACGACAGAGATGGCTCAACGACAGGTTCGTTTTACTCAACTTTCTTCGCTTGTTCTGAAGAGTACTGATCAGCATTTAAGTCATCTGCTATACTTTTCATGGACAGTCCTTGTAAATAAACGTGATAATACAACGTGCTTTCTGAGCTATTTTCTTAGCCAGTGCGTTTGTATGATGTGCTTGTAGCAGAAGAAAAGACAGTCCGATATATTTGCAGGGTCGCTGTGATGGCAGGTCAGCACCTTTAGACTAAAAGCTCCATGCAAAACGATCAGCAGTTGGTAAAGCTGCAACCTTATTAACTGTTTTTCTCTTTTCAATGATGTCTCTCATCTTAAATATTATGCCTTGGTTCTTGTATCCTATTTCTGTAGATACATTTTGGTTTTATATCAAGCAATGGGGATTGATACATAATTCAACGAACTCCACTTGTTATTTTGCAGACTCAACAAATCAAGAACGAATCAAAAATCAATGTCTACAGTTACTGAAAATTGTGGTCCAGTTCTATCCTTGTCTTGTCTCAAAGTATGAACTCTCCTTCAATGGCTTAAATCAGAAATTTTATGAAAACCTCTTCACGTGTACGCTACAATTCGTAACTTCTCAAAACAGGTTAACTATATTAAAGAATCTCTGACCCTCCAAAAACACTTGGCCTTCGAGGGCCAAGCTCGAATCCATAGATTCTAAATGTTTAAATTGTTTTGGTTCTTGTGTATAGTTTAACTCTTCAACAGTGGAACTTTTTGCGTTTGCCTGTCTATGATCTTCCTTGTTCTTTTTCTGCAGCTCAGAGCGTAAGGTGTTGCTCTTTTTGATTTGTAAAAGATACGTCAAAATGATGGAGTGCACGCTGTCTGTTCATGCTATCAAGGTATTAATCAAGCAATAATTACATATGTTACGTGTTGCCTGATCTACCATTCGAGAATGCTGTGAGGTCTAACCTGCTAGCTGAAGTAAACAATACTTATCGGTCTAGTGCAATTGCAATACTACTCACCTTTATCTGTTTTAAAAACGTTTCTGTTTATAACCAGGTGCTTACTTTTGGTGACATAGTCATTTTTGCTTTCAGTTATTGGAAGAATTTGGAAAAAGCCTCTCCAAATTAAGAGCGGATGTCAACAGCAATCTAGAAGAGGTAAAAAAACTTTTATAGCTTTTAGCACGATTTCTGATCTTTATGGTGTATTTGTCTTAATTTGAAAACGAAAAGGAATTAAGAAAATTAAAGAAGCAATACACCCACTCTTGATTTGAAAGCTAAGCTATTCTTTCATTTTCTACAGCAAATTCTATTCTGGAAAGAGGTTTTTGATGGTCCATTGATTGGACTCTTTCAGTCAGCAACGCCTGTATCGAAAATCTTATCAGCTGCTTGTGATGTTCTTTCAACGATCAGTGACGATGTTTTTCTTGAATTACACGTATGTCCCTTTGACAACTTTTTAGCATTTTGCCCTTACAACTTTATCTTTTACACTACCACTCAAATAACTGTATTCATTGTGCTTGGACGCAATGTTCTCTGGTTCGACGAATGAAATTTCAGCCCCTTGAAGCGTCGCACTTAATAACCGTTTGACTTTGGTCGTTTAATTAATAACTGTAAATGTATAATTGTCCAATACGAATGTCTCTTATAGATGAGGTATCAAATCATGGTAAAAACTCTTTTACTTGGGGCAGCCGATGATAACGACAATCAAATAAAGGTAAGTTTAGAAGGGGATCAGACTTTAAATCCTTACAAATAGTCTTGGAATACTAACTTCAGTTGTCAAAGGCAAATTCAGCCTTCTTCCTCTCGCCCTTGGAACGAGGTCGGTTTACTATAAAACGACGCAGCCTGAAACGTCCAATCTTCAAGATCCATATTCAGAGGGCTAAGGTGTATGCATAACATTCAAAGTGCGAAGAAGGGTAGAAGATAAGGATGAGACTCGCTCAATGCTGTAGTGATCGCTCGGCTTTTATTCTTTTTTTCTGTTCTAGTCTGCTGCCATCAGGGCACTCGGTATACTCGTCACATACAGCTTTGTAAAAGAGGTAGGTAAGAGGTCGTTTTTAACAAACATCTTTCATCATGTCTTTATTTTCAATTAGTAACTGTATAAAACCTTGCCAAAGCCAGTCGATTTATACTGGCTTTACCGTTAAACACGTTTTTTATTTCCATGAAGAGCTTTTAAAACGAAGCGGCCAATTTTAGAAGCACGTAGACTAATCTTAATTATACCGACAGAAAAGAACACTGCAAATGACTGTCCACCGGACCCTTGCTGCGCCGTGAAATTCATAGCTTTAATCGACGAAGAACACTCCAAAATATTAGAAATGATTTAGAAAATGAAAACGTGAAATCAAATTAAACCTTTAAAAATCAATCTTTACTTTGCACAAGCACCACATGCTGAGGTAAAATATTACTGTATCTTATTCTTTGTATTCTTCTACCACTATATTGATTCTAAACCGCAGATTTATTGTTTGTCTTATCATTAAGCTCTACGTCACTGAGCTTCTTTCCCTGTATAAGCCTCTCATTTTTGGCTTTTTTATGATGTTTGTCCCTTTTGTATCTCAGGATCACTCCTTTGTTGTTGATGTTGGTGAAGTAATATTCAGGCAACTCAAGTCCCCCTCTTTGAATGTCAGAATCAAAGCTGGATGGTCGTTTGGGAATTTGACAAATTCGCTCATAACTAACTGGTACTTTTATTACATAAAATCTGTATTTGTACTAGCTCTTGAAATTACTTAATTCTCGTTTTCTCCTGCCATTGGATTGTAACAAACCTATGAATAACAACAAAGGTAGCACCGAAAAGAATAAAATTCCTTTTTTTAAATTATAGGAAAGATGACGCTAGTTGACATTACGATTTCATGAAGTTGCTTTTTAATGATTTGTCAGATACATTTTTATCTATTTAAACTTTGTACTGGCTATCGATGATATAGTTTATACCCTTTGCTGCTTAACACAGATATTCTTTTTTACTCTCGCTTTTGTATTGAAAATTGTTGTATGATTTCGTTACCTCGCTTTTTAAACTCCTCTGCACCTTTTCGACGGTCAATTTTTGCTATAAACACGATCAAGAAATCCCCATTTATTATACAGCTTCTTGTATTAACTTCCTCGATACAAACTGTGACTAGGATATGAAAACATATACATAAGACTTGACAATGCAATGGGGATTGATACATTGAAGGCTGATCGATTTCTCTCGTTAGGTCTTCGACTGAAAGCAATTTGGAATTCTCCAGCTTATTCATTTTAGAACTTCTTGAAGCTTGCAAGAAATCAGCATCAGACCATGACAAGGTAAGCTTAGTATTTTAGAAGGTGGATCTGCTATATCTATAATTTGCAATACATTAAAAGATGATGCTCTAGACAAGGAGCGCAATAGGAGATAAAATTCAGGAAAAAGAGATAAATTTTCCGGCAAATATGGTGTTCTAGAGGGACGTGGAGGCTACATTCGGCAAGCTATCCCCTCCTTCTGTCACTGCTCTCGTACTCCAAACAAATGGTATCTGCATGAGTTGCCTAAAAACATCAAGCATAATTTGTGGCATACTATGTCTTACATTCAATTAAGTTTCAATTTTCAACTAGTATTAATCTTTCCTGAAAACTTACATCTGGTTTTCAACAAAGGTGACAATCCTTAAAGTTTTTGTGCTTATGAAATTCATATGTGCTTATAAAAGAGTAACGTTTTTATAAAATTAATTACAGATATGGTTTCTGCTTGATTTGCTGCTTTTCCATTGTATCAAAACCTTATTGCTTCTCCACTTAGATCAAACCAAATGGAGTAAGAGCAATTGGAAATGTGCTTAAGTGGCTCCCGGCAAAAGTTTTTGGTGAGCGATCTTCTCCAGTGTCTAATGATATCAATTTTCGCTTCAGTTATATTTATTTTGAATACGATTCTTACCAACACGAATGTTTATTTTTTAGAGCAACCCAACGTTAAGAAGCTTGTCGAAGAAGTGATTGCAACGTTGATCCAAAATATAGTGTCCGGTCCAATGAAGGTGAAAGATTTTTGGGTTTTATTGAGCAGTGTCCAGTCTAGCTTTTTAGGTTGTAATGCCCTTGATAAAATCTTAAATCAGTCTGCTATAAATATGGCAGGTTGTTCAAACGTCGATACTAGCAATTCTTTTAAAGGAACGCTCGAAGAGCATAGGCGTCAAATCTTGATTGGCTGCGAAAGGAATCGCCAAAGCGGGAAAACCTCATCGATTTGAAACAATCAAATTGTTTTCAATGAAGTTTCTTCGGGTTTTTAGCTATGCATCTGTCATTTGGCTCTGATGCATCAAATCTATCAATCAGTTTAACATATCATAATAAAAAGGATATAGCTAATTCAATTACCAATCTAATTTTTCTAATTGCTTGCCATTGTGAGCAGTTGTATTATACCAATAATTTCGTGCTCTCTGTAGGGCCGATGGAATGCTTGTTATGCATGCAGTAACATGTTCCAGGGCAGTTCATTACCATTTGACCAAGTGCCTTGGATGGTGAGACTATTCATTTGTATTCCTGCTTATCTAAATAGCCCATCCCTTATCGACATAACACATACAATAGTTCATAAGAGGATTTCTGATAATTTTTGTAACTCCAACTCATTTTCGTACATTCTATTCTTTTGAGGAAACATTTTTATAAGCTGCCGGGGTTTAATGGTTATTGACAAACAGTTTTGATATCAATATCGATAGTTTGTAGACTACACCATATTGAGCTTTTTCGTCGAATTCTTCTTTTGTTTTGAAGGGCTATTTGCCTATCATGACCACAATGCTACGTTCTATCAAGTATTTACAGCCAAAGATCTATCAACATTCCACCAGAGTTACAACTTAGATTACAGCAAAATCAATCAGTTACCCGCCCAACAATCTTTAGCTATCTACAGGGCTGCAAAAAGGATCAAGGAAAATGTTTAAAAGGAGATTTTAGGAGAGTAATCAAATAAATCACCACGAGAAGTTTAATTTAGACTATATCTTGAGCTATGACAGCAAGGGATAATGCACGTTTGAAAAAACTATCGAATCAAGTAAAAAAATGTTGGTAAATACTTTGTGTCCGATTTTCGCAAACCTATTTGATATAATATTTTGTCTGGGAAAAAGCTTCTCTCATTTCATAGGTTTCCATAAAGAAAATATTTTTTTGCCGCCACATTAATCTTCCTTGAATATTAGAAAAATTCATTGATTTTTGCGACAACCGTAGTGAGTTAATCATGAAATAAACCTTGTCAATTTTTCCCAAATAAGGAGGAGATATTAAAAGCTTTGGGATCAGCAATGAAAGACTGCAAAAATTTCAAGGTAAATCTATAATAACAAATATATTTAAAATATAAATATAGAAATTTTCAGTTGATTTTCATTTTCTGGTTTTGCTAACTCATTTCTATTTGCTAGCATATTATAAGTATAAATTTAATTTCAATATTTGATTTCGCCTTTACAGATTTACTTTACATACAAAGAACCTTAGGTGTTTAACCTTCGATTCTGTGGCCAAAACTTAGTCAACTTTATTTGCCTTTGAACAAGTATATGTTACCATGGCTGCAGAATCATCTCTCATCATATTGAGCACAGTATTAATGGGTTGTTTAGTTTTTGTTTAAAGTTCTTTGATAAGTTATTGAAGCTTTCAAAGCTCGGTACACATGTACATATTTTCACGCTGATGGCACACATAGTTAGCAAAATATGAGAGTATCGATTTCACCAACAGAAGAATTTTCCCATGAAAATGAACGTGGCTAGCTTTAATCACCTTTTTTCATTTTAAAATGTCAACAATTATGACATTAGATCTGTATAAATGTTTACATGCTTGTTCCCTTGGTCAACAAACTAGAAAGTCGACATCCTTTTTAAGTAGAAGCTTTAAGTTTTTCATATATTATTCCATGTTTCTGATTTTGAAATTTAGTATCTGGTTACTCATATCTATTTCCTGAAAAGACTAGCCTTATACGATTTATCAACCTCGGTTTCAAATTAGCCATGTTTTCTTTCCATCGACTCTGTCATTAAGCTTTCATTTTTGTGGCAATTTCACTCCTCGTATTTTCCATCATAAATCTTTTTCGGCAGTTCAGACCAATCTGATATTATATATCTCATTTGGCTATGTTTATGCTTGTTTTTCATTTCTACCCAACTAATGCCATTAATAAATGAATATATTGATTCTTGCATTAGGTTCGCATAAGTGCTGCCATTGCTCTGAGCACTCCAGACATGAGATCAATCTATGGCGATGAACAACACTTTGTCAACATTTGGGTTTATTCTATCGATGCATTAATATCTTCAGAAAATTTGTCAGATTTCACTGAATTTAAGTTCAAGAAAAATCTGCAAAACAAGGTAGGCTCTCGACTGATTAGTAAACTTTTGATTTAAAAACATTTTTATAAACTCTACTGATTTTGAAGATGGACTTTGTTGCTAAAAAACTATGCAATTTAATAGTACTTGAGATTTTATCCTTTTCTTACAACATCAAACCAAGTATATATCAGAAAGCAAAACCCAAAAATCTAGCTATTAAAGACATGCCAAACGAGTGCCAAATATGTTGATCTTTTCTTCGATTTACGTCAATTATGTATTCCATTCTCAGACTGATATGTGTTGCATATAAACTGAACTTATATCAGAAACCTTTTGGGGTCTTTATTGAAGTGGAATCATTTGGATCTCGTCCCATGAATGTTAAATGTAAAGTCAAATTAGACTAAAGATGGATGTTTGTTTCTTAGTAGCCCATTGACATAGAAATCATACCATAAACTACGCCAACAGGAATCCATAAAACAGCTTCCAGACTGTAAATAAAGTTCAGTTCAGAGAAGAACTATAATCGTCACCAATTACAAAATTACCAGTTCTCAATTTTAAATTTTTCTAGATTTGCCGCCTAATCTGCCATTTGCTGAGTCTAGCAAGTTCCTCTGACCTGGACAAAATGCAACCAACAATTGATGACAATGTCTCCCTGTTAAATGAACATTTGTGGAGTTTTTTCGATGGAATATCAAAAGAAGAGGTTGGTTTCCATTAATCGTTGTTTAATTCATTATAGGCTTTGTGCTATCATTATTCTGTTCAGCTTGTATTTGTTGGTTTGTACAGCTTGTAGGGATTTAGTAGCTAAAGGATTATATTGAATGGACGCTCGAATACGTTGTTTGGCAGTTAGGGGACGTTGTAGGAAGTTATTCAATATGGGAAATGTTAACACGGTGACATTGCAACATCTGACGGTATTGATAGACCTAAGCATAATCAGTTGCATTTCAATTAGACTGAGAATTGTAACAGAACGCTAAATGCTAAAAGTATTTTAATAAGACTATGATAGAGCACTTTTTGAAAATAGTTTTAGTAAATGATTTTTAGTTATATCATCCCTCATAGGCATATGTGACAGAGTTGAAGATCTTGCAGATATTTTAAGTCCATCGCGTGCATTTTCTCTAAAGAAAGGGAGAATGGGGGTCTTTACGATGAAGCACCCCCTAAAATTTTGTAACCCTCATAACAGAACAAAACAGATTAAGGGAGATCCAAAAGAGACATCTACCATTTCAACTGCAGGACTAATTTGACACTGTGTTTTTATAGCTTTAACTAAAGATAGATAGACGATAGAAACGAAATTTTTGCTGTCAATTCTCTCTATATGTGCTAACAGGAAAATGAAGAAAAGGAAGAAGAAAGTTGCATTTCAAAAGAAGGTAGGCAGCAAGTATAGTGTTTTTTTCTTATGATAACTGGAAATTATTGCTGCAAATCCCTGGGGGGGGGGCGGGTATCTTAACATGTTTGAAGGTACGGAGACATGCCATTATTTAGGGGTACCTTTTTTCTGAAAAGTGCGGAATTATCGGTATCAGTTTTTGAAATTTGTGCGGAACTATAGGTACCATTTGAAGAAACAAGCAGAATTATGGGTATCATTTTGGGGAAATGCTGCAAAATTATTAGGAGGGAGATTTAGCATCAACAAAATGATTGTCCAGTTAAAGACAAAAGTTTGAAGTATGTGTAATATTGAGATTTTGGGGCATAGGACATGCAAAATTTGGTTGATGATTTTTTATGTGCTTTAAAAATGTCATTTGCTCTACATTGTATTCGCAAGGACGTTTCAACATATTGTATTTGCCAGAATTTTTTAACATGTTTTCGGGACACTCGTGTGGTCTTTGAATCCCTTACTGTGTTATTCTCAAAGTTTTAAATTAGGTACATCCTTAGAAACATGTAAGGCTTACAGTGCGGCCAAGAAGAAACTAAGCTCCAACAATATATATCAGCAAAAATTGACTAGGAAGTTTTTTATTTGCAGCTATTTTGAAAATGCAATGCACATACATCTCTTTGATAAGCCATTGAAAAAATGCTGCTTTTTCTCCGTAGGAATCGACGTCAAAGCTTTAATACAGAATCTGTCAAAGTTGCAAAAAATTTCCCCAACGTTCGGAAATCTTGAAAAAATTCTGGCAAAAATATCAGCGATCTGACAAAGTTAAACAGATTTATGAATGACGTACCATGAAGATTCCCAACTTTGATTTGGTGCCATTGGCCATTTAGAAACGAAGTAAGCAGCTTCGTTGATGACATTTTAGAGGACGCTGATCAGTTAATCTTAATTAATTCTTATACAGCCCAAGCTCTATTATTGTTATTTTTTATGTCATATTGGAGAAATGTTATAAATCCCAAAGAGGCTCTTTCAGCGCCGTTTTATGTTCAATTATATTTCAGTATATTTCAGATAAGATGTAGAAAGATTTTATTATCAAAAAAGCTTTAAATTTAAAGCGTATTTCTTTGGGAAATCCCCTTGTTGCGAGTTTGGAAAGATCTGAGAGAAAGTGGAGAAAAACTGTTTGGAATCGGATGCCCACAACTTTAAATTGACACGTTAAAAATATACAGGCTACTAATGAGAAACCATTTAGCAAATTGTGTAATTATGCAATTGTGTAAATTGTGGCTTAAGTCTGCGACCTTTACTGCTTAACTGTTAATATAAAGTATTACTTCTGAAATATCCATAGTAATGCAGTTAAGTATCACAGTTGTGAAATGCAGCAGTTGGGATATATTCTTTTAAAAATGGCTTTGAAAAAAGCAAACATTAGGCAAGCGGCACTGATTGGTCGACCGCGACGATTATGTTTCTGATTGGTCTATTTCGATCCACAACTGGGTATTTATATTTCCTAGCGTAGAGTTTTCGATCTACGTTCTAACTGTGAAGAGTGTCAGACGAAATGCTTTAGTACGACTGAAATGTTTGGTTTTTTCAAAGCCATATTCAAGTTTTGCACCACCAAACGATTGTTTTTATATTTACTTTTATTTTTCTCCTCCTGTTCTTTTCGTTCTTAATTCTGTTCTAAGTTTGTTGTAGAGAGCCGAAAGTCGTTGCGAAATATGAGATAAATCATAAATTTGACACTCACATGGCTAATTAACCTGTCTTCGCTTGCAGTTTCAATGCTGCTAGAAATGGATGTGCTTAGCATACAATCCTGTTGACTCAATGAATTTTGCCCATGCTTTCATTTTACCGTCTTGTTATTCTCATTTTGAATCAAACAGTGTATTTGTAATCTCAACAAATGGCTGTACACAAGTGCACTGTCCTAGATAAATATAGAGAAGGTCCTCAATCAATAGTGGGCTATCCTTCACACTGAAACCCGCTTGATTCAATGCAAACACGCGTACCAGTGCTTTGTATTTTTGCTTACATTTCAAATCGCAAAAACGAGTGTTTGATCAAGTGGCCCTTTTCAAAATCATTTGCGCATGCAAACATTCTTTTATTAGAAGCGCCAGTAAAAAACCCATCTCAACTTGCCTCTCTTTTAAACGCTCTTGCTTCAGAGCTTCAGAATGAATTTCGGAACGAAAATTGAGAGTTAGTGATAACAAATTATGTGGTTTAAATACTGAATGGCCAGTTAGCGTACTAAACTTTTATTTGATATTGTTTTGCGTATATTGGAGATATTGGCAGTCGAACAACGCCGCATTTTTGCCACTCTTTGGGGCTGAAAGGGCTAAATTTTGAGTCAGGCTTTGTGATTTGAAGCAGCGGGTAATAACAATGCAGACCTAGGAAGGACTCACTACCTTCTTGCTACGACAGTACCATCTAAAAACGTCTGTCAAGGCAGGTGCACCATTTTGAAGTGACTCTTTCAAAGTCCCACTATGCTCTTCATCAAAAACAAAAGCTAATTACTAAGAAATAATTAGGAATGGTCTTTTTAGACAAGAAACGCCTACCAAAAGTATCCGAAAGGCCAAAGGACTGACCCTCCCTACTTTCCTTCTTCTTCAGTCCTTGCCTAGCTTATTGAAACACCTACATATGATATGTTGCTAAATTTCAACATTTTATGGTTGGTGGCCAAACCCTGTGGTTAGTTGCGTTGATGGTCGGATATATTCGAATCCTGAGTTTTACAACCTTTATACTGAAATTTAGCGGTATCCAGCTATTATTGAAAAGGAATGTAGACCCCCTATATCATTTTATTCTCCCCTAAAAAAGATGTTTCTAAAATAACGGATAGATTTATAAAGAAAGAAAAACTTTTTGGTTTTTTAATAAAATGACCTACGCCATGACCTAAGGAGAAAAAAGACAAAAATAAGTATTAAACAGAGCTCAATTAAATGCTAACAATACACGCGAAAGGACATACCTCTGTTTATCATTAAGCTCTTCTGATTATCGTGTTTTCTTGCAATATTTTGCCCACTTTCTTCTTATAAAGCAGCCTTGTGGTATTCTAGTTCAAAGCTGGTCCAAAGTGTTCTCAAAGCCCTGAAAAAATATAGCCTGATAAAAGTGCAAAATTGAACATGAAAATGTGAATACTCTTTAACCGTTAGCAGTATTTATTTTAGCTGCAAATCTGCAAAAACAATGTTAAAAAGTATATAAATCTATTAAAGAGCTTAAAAATAAGTTGGATTACGAATTGAGAAATAAGAATTTCCAGACATGCATAACTTAAAAAAAATTTTCAAGAAGGTAACATATAAAAAGTATTTACGTATTTTTGAGCAAAGATTATATTAACAAAGAAGCCGGAATATATTAAGTGGCATAATAGCAGACACCTCAGTACAAATTGAGGTGGAACCAGGGGATACCTGTTGCGAAATCAACCCCAATCTTGAAAATTCTGACAATTTTGCATGTTATGTTCCACTAATTATAAAGGCCTTCCATCACCTGAACTACCTCGGCGTCTTTGTAAGCCTTTCTGCCGTAAACGATCTATTTAAAAGGTAAATCGTTCGCTACAACTTGTAATCGGCCCTTAAATCTTTCCTTTTCTTTACGGGTGGGCTATTCAGTAGCTGAGTTGATAAAAGTACCGAAATAACATAAAGATATTAATTATTCGCTTTGAGTTGACCATACGGCAACTTTGATGGAAATCTTTGAATTTAGAGCCATTGAGCATTATATATTTGAAACCAATTTCAAATTACACGAGTAAAGATATTCATACACCAATCCCTTTCAAATTTCTTTGAACCACATAACTTGTAAATGCAAAAAGCGTATTTAATCTAATTAGACCTCAAAAGCCTGGGCTGTCCATCCAGACTCTGTGAAAGGTTTTAGAGAACTTAAACGTATTTTAAAGAAACTCAGTAGAGATAAGGTCATTACATGGTGTAAACGAATTCTTTTAGCCAATAATTTCCCTATTTATTGTGGTCTTGTATTTAATGATTGTTGGTCAGCTTTGTTTGAGAAAGCGAGTTTTAGATGCTAAATCTCAGAGCCATCCATAGGATATTGTGCGAACAATGACGAATTTACCTAACAGATTTCTAGTTTGCACAGTCAGACGCTGGACAATACAATTGAATATGAGAGTCACCTTGATTGAGGAGAAAGTTAGGTACTTGGTTCTGACTGTTATCAAAATTTAGATCGTATTGTGTCGTTGTGAAGGAACCAGAAGTACTGGCGTTAAAAAAGTAGACCGAACACACACCGATGTGCGAACAACGTAATGGTAACACCAGGAAAGGCGTCATTAGCAGAAATTGTAGTAGCTATAGCAAAATACGAAACGGAAGGTAAGGAATGCGTTTAACTATCCTTGTAATTAGTAGAAAAATCATGTCTAAGAGCGATGAATGCAAACCAGGAGCAAGACTGGTTCTTTGGAGCTTAATTGCGGTTTTGGTACGTGAACAAAATTATTACAAGCTAATCTTACAAGCAAAACTACGTTCACGAACTTATTAGTGTCAAACAGACTTAGGCCCACAGTTATTTGCTTTAGGGCTTCTTAAACTTCAGAGCAACATGAACCTTCTTGACAGAACTTGTCGAAAATCATCGAGCACAGAATTATTCATTAAGGAAAGTTTTAACAAAGTGTAGATCGGGATTAAGATACACTTAAAATAACACGAACGTCGACCGCAATAGCACGAAGTAAGTTTAAGATTATGAAATTACTCCAATCTTTTGATTCCCTTGGTTTTTTTTAATTGTAAGTCCTTCAATGAAACAGGTGGTAACTGATTCTAGAATTCCGCCTTGCATCTTATGTTATTAATTTTTAAACTATTTAGATTCGATCTTTTCATATCCAAGTTGCGAAATCGATTGCAAAGAAACGCCAGCACCATATCATTAAACTAATTCTTGCTAGGTAAATCAGATATGATTTTCTTTGTGTTTCTGACCTCTCGTCTTCCCCGTTTACAATCGTGCTAATATCAATAAAAATTTTCACATTGCATTAGAAACTAAGATACATTTGTTTCTTCATTCATGGATAAAAAGTTAAATGAAAAGTTTGTTTTGTTCTTAAAGGTATCTCAAAATTGCTGAAATTGTGAGATTCTTTACAAGCTGTTGATTGAAGGTTGTTTCGAAAAAGTATCGTCGGGGAATCCGCAGAATGCTGAAGTACTTCTTCGAGTCACCGGAAATCGCAGCGATCTTTGCAACAAAAGATTCGAATAGTGAGAAAGTAGATACGGGCAAGTGCGTCGGCTGCTCAAGGTTACGGGTTGGCAAACAAACGAGAAAACGCGATCCAGCCGCGAAGAAGACGATACGGAAAACGCGCGCATATCAACAATCGAATGCGATCATGTTCTCAGCACGCAAAGCAAGGGTGGAAGATGCCCAGAAGATCGCTTCGTTTAATGAAGAAAATGTCTATTATGATTACGATGATGAAACAGGGACTGTTATAGCCAAAAAGCACTCGACAGTGATGCCTTTGAGCGTGGAACGAAATTCATTTAGGAACTTGAAGGATCCTCCTGATCAATCGAAGCACGATGTTGACATAGATGCAGAGACGTCTTTACGTGAAATCAGCGAAGATTTTGGTGAAGCTAAAACTATCGAGAGCTATTGTCCCTCTGATTCAGCATATGATACAAACCACGATGAGTATACGGATTCGTTGGAACGGCTAACTATTAAAACTGACGCTGAAAAACTGCAAGGTTCAGAGCACAGAAAAGATAGGTCGGCTAAGAGTAAAACTTCAAAAAGCGAGTCACCTTACAAGCGTTGCAGGAGTAGTAAAGTTTGTGGACGAAATTGTGAACTTTGTCGTGGATTAAATAACAAAATACTTAATGGCGATCATGAGCAAATAAATGAAGAGATGTGGGATTGTGAAAGGCAAGAAATAAACAAGGAATCTCGCAAACAATTAAAATGCAAAGTAAATAACGTTGCAAACAGTGTTTCCAAGCATGGTTTATTTACGTCAAAAAGTCGAAGTGAAAATTATCTTACAGAGCAAAACACCAAAAATAACGAAAAAGTTAATGGCATTGAAAGGGATGTAAATGGAAGTGAAGTTGAGGGGGGTTTTCACGAGTCAATGAGGCAAAAATATATAGATTTAGACAAAAGACTGAAAGATCAAGAAAAGCAAAATCAAGGGAGTGTTTCTCCTAATCCTAGATCAACGACAAAGCAAGATCACCCAATAGATGACTATTATGGGGTTGATGAAGCCATCTCTCCAAGGGCCCACGTTCCATTTGCAGAACGGAATGTAGAACTGTCAGAACATATGGTTGAGGTGTATGACGAAGGGTCCTGGTATAATCACTTGAGTTATCCTACGGTAAACTTAGAATACACTGAGCAAATAGGATATTATGATGCATTTTCAAGTGGACCACATTTGTTGATGTTGTACGATTTCAAAGCGGAGCATGAAGATGATCTCAGCGTTTGCAAAGGTGATGTAGTTCTGTTGCTAGACAACCGCGATAGGGACTGGGTTTGGGTCATGACGCAGATGGATGAAGAGGGCTATGTCCCTAGAAGTTTGACGTCACCATTCCATGACTGTGAAGGTAAGGGGTTTATTTGTGTAATTAAAAGTAATCAGTGATAGCAAAATTTCGTGTCATTTGCCTGTCTCATAGGCCTGTTTTTCGGAAAAATTCAGCAAAATATAATGAAAAGCTATATCTGCTAAAAAGCTATAGAAATTTGGAGATCAAGAGCAGAAATATGAAACCTGGATCAAGTATTCCCTATTTGCAATTCAGCAGGGTTATTCTCTAGTGCGAATATTAAACAACAAGCAATAATCATTTTTACCAGCTGTTATTTCACTATTAAAACTCTCGCATATTTCTACTTCAGGAAGGTTTATTTAAGGCTTGTAATGAGAAAAATGTTTCATTGCTAACTTCACAGTCAATGCTGTTACAAGTAGGTTTGCTTCATCTCTATGGTCTACTTCTATTTGTATTTCATCCCAAGAAAACATTTATTGAAAAACAAATATTGATCTTCCTGAGCAAGTATTAGGCTTCAAATAACACAGGATCACTTTGTGATGTCAGAATGCCAGCAAAATAAGATTTGCTTTCAATGGCAAGTTTGGAGCGATAAATCTACAATGAAGAAAGAACAATGCTCTCCCTTCTGTTGAAAAAGGCAGTTCGTCAATAGGGTGAAATGCGTAGGCCTAGCCTGGATCAAGGCAGTCTTTGCGATTTAAAGCTTTTGAAAGTGTTAGAAATATACGAATATTTCTTAAAGAATATTCTGCTAACGCGATTAATAGATTTGGGTTTACCAGCCAAAGAGTAATTGATGGCATTTGAGAAGTTCTTAGATTTAAAAATTATGGAATTTTATTAATCTTATCGGTTGGTATTTTTGAAATAATATTTCTTCCTAATAAGGCAATCCAAAGCGTCACAAGCCGAGAAAACAAGGGGAAGAACAACGATTTGTTGCTTGGTCATGCTCCTTGCTACTCGTATATTGATCGTAATATTTTCCTTAAGATTTATCGCTTGTTTAGTATCGCTGTCAAAGTGCAAAACTTGAAATAAAGATCCTTACAATTTCAAAAACCTGAGGAGATGATCCTTACAATTTCAAAAAACCTGCCCTAGTTAAAAGAGGGTGGACACTAACCCGTTTTACACCCCCTTTAGCAGCAAAATATGCAATCTTAATCCGTTCAAGTATAGATAACCATTTCCCTTGTCATTCAATATTCAATCACTAAGATATGAATAGAAATAATCCAAGTTGGTTAGATAGGAAGCAAAATCAAACAGGTAAATCCGTTCAAGATGTATTCGTTGATATTCATAATCACATTGATCTGTACATGTCACGTTTCCAAATGTAACCTCCCACAATTCAAACAAATCAAATGAAACCAGAAAGAGAGTAAAACGCATCATCATGACAAACCCACTGACCAACTTCAAGACGTAGAGAATCTGCAAAACAACATCTGATGCATGCTGAAATCATGTCCAGTGTCGTTAAGCCAGTTTTCATTTGGATAATAAGCATTTTGTCGTAAATTTTAATTCATTGCATCTTATTATGAATTATCATAAGTCGACTATTGCAATCCAATCATCTCGATTTACGGGCTAACTTGTATCTTGCTTGTATCCTCATAGGAACTGAATCTATAGAAACTTTTACTTAAAATATTTGAATATTTAACCATTTACCACTTCCAACAAGCCACTGCGATCGTTCTTTTCTTTCATTATCTTCCAACCTGTATTTTCTTGCTACTCCTTTACGCGTAACCAATTATCATTCAAAACCGCCATTGTTGGAAAAGTCTCTTCGAAATGGTCGAATAGACAGAGCACACACCAAGTTGGTACTCTAAGAAGATACTCTCTCTCTCTCTCTCTCTCTCTCTCTCCCTCTCTCTCTCCCTCTCTCTCTCTCTCTCTCTCTCTCTCTCTGCTCTCTCTCCTCTCTCCTCTCTCCTCTCATCTCTCTCTCTCTCTCTCTCTCTCTCTCTCTCTCTCTCTCTCTCTCTCTCTCTCTCTCTCTCTCTCTCTCTCTCTCTCTCTCTCGCGAAACCGTAGAAAAAATAGCGAAGGATAGAAGGATAGACACTGAATGCTCAACAGAATATTTTTCCATTCGAAATTATTGTTGGCCTTTGATTTGATTGCTGCTTGTCCGCTAACTCGTATTGAATTTGTGTATCAGTGGATTCGTGCCTTGCTAGAAGTTGCAAAAGTTTGTAATATGATGCAATAGAATGCAATGTGAATAGCAATAGAATCAATGTTAGGATAATTGGCAACGTCTTCGTATTGCCATCTGTACGAATATATGCAGAATTGAATAAAGTTGCAGAGTCTTTGATGCCATTTTTGATGGCAAGGATTTCTTATCCTTTTTAAAAAAACATTCAAAACTAGAAACTTTTTGTAGGAACCTAATACCTGAGTGAAGATAAAAGAAAAAATATCAGGAAACTTTATTTCATTTGATGATTTCTAATAAAGAAGACCAAATTGATCAAATGTTCCAAAAATCCTTAATAAAAGTTTGGGTTTTGTTATTTCTAGAATGCAGACAAGAAGAAATTCGCCAACAGCAATTAGCCTTGCTTTCAAGGAATTCATCCAATCACAGCACTCCCAGATCATCAAGAACTGGATCACGATCAAGTGCAACAAACCTTGAGTTGAATTTGGTAAGTCCAAGATCGGATCAGATTAGTCCAAGATTGGATCAGAGAAATCCGAGCACGGATCGAAGACATCAAGTATCAAACGCAACAAGCCCAAGGTCAAATTCATCTAATCCCTGGCTTGACCAGATAAGTCCTGTGGTGGAATTGGCGTCAATGAACCTAGATCAAGACCGTAGAAGCATATCTGACGATCAACGTAGCTCAAATACGAGTAGTCCAATTTTACAACGGATCAATACCGCAGCCAGTAGAAATTCTTCTAATTTCAATCGAAAGCTAAGGACATCTAACCGAGCCAATGTTCACTCAAGCTCCAGTAGTTCTATATCTGATGAGCAGGCTCTCTTGTTTGATGGCAAGGTTGTAACACTGAATTCCATGAGTCAAAGTCGGGGCCAGGCTCCGGGATCTGAAATTTCACACGATGTTCTTACTGAAAATTACACAGTAGGAAACGCAATTTTAGGAGAACTTCATGAAACTAATAATAAACCACACAAATCTAGTAGAGAGTCCTGTCAGGTAAATACGAGATTGAAAAACGCAAATCATATATTCAGTGAAACTAATACTAAAGACTGTGAAACCAGAGCAGGGCTTAGCCCTTTGAGTCTTGGCTCGCCAAAATTGCAACACAAATTCAGTCAGACATTTCCAAAGGCCAATAAGCCAAATTACAGGTACGACAGAACAATCCAACAAGTATCAGAAACGTTTTCGCCAGACGGCATATCACACGAGGCAGGGAGAGCACCTAATTCAGCAAGACTCAATTCTGGTAACACGCCTTCTTCATTTTTATCTTCTAACAATTACGAGTTCCAAGGAAGTTTGGTGACTTCGAAAAAAAATGGAAAAATACCATACTGCAGAGACAATTCGCTGTCTTGGGTTTCCGATACAGAGGATACCGAGCTTGGTGCAAACAAAGCTTGGCGAACAAGTTTTAGCGAGTCTGCGGAACTATACGACGAGAACATCCCAGATGGAAGCATTAGATTGATCGCTTTATCGAGTTTTGAAGCAAAAGAGAAAGGCCAATTGTCGGTCACGGCAGGAGATGTGATATATGTGGACATAAAGATTCAGAATATTCCACAATGGTTATGGGCTTACTCGCCTAAATCAAAAAGTTTTGGTTTCATACCGGAAAATATAGTTGACCAACTAAAATCAAGCAGTGTTTGAAGTGGCTGGATGCAAGAAAGAACAAAAAACTTTACAATTTCATTAAATATTGTTCTTGCTATCACAAAGCTTGAAAGAGCGTCAAAAATCAAATTAAATTCCTGCTTTATAAATAAACTTTACCTAAAATATTGAAAATCATTATTTTTACGGTATTTCTGATTAAACCTTCTGACAGACAAACATCTTTATCAATGGCCATACTTTTGGGTCAATCATTTTGTTCCAAATCAAGTTACCGAGTCATACTCTAGAGTGGTTTTCATGAATAAAATATTTCATGAATAAAACATTTTTTAAAAACACTAATAAAAAATAATATATGTTTGAAGATGAGCTAAGAAAACAACTTTCTAGTTTTCTGTTTGAAAATTCTGATAATTAAACCCAAGTTTCTCGCAAAGTTTTGTTTTTGTTCGGTAATGTTGCGTCTGACAGAGTATTCATCTCCATGCTCTCCTAGAATTCGATCAACAAGACGCCAGTGTTAAGGCTTATATAGTGTGGACACGGCTTCGGCACTAAATTATGTTGTTGTGTTCAGGAAGATCCATAGGTTGAAGTTGTTTTGTTGTTTCTTCCTAAAGCTGGAATTTCTATTTATGCGAAAACTCCTTAGGCCTACCGTTTAACACGTCCATTTTATCAACATGAATTAAAACGCTATGGTGCACGAGTACGACACCGGGAACTTCCATGATTATAGGGGTAGGTACTATCCACTCACTAAATCTAGATTATATATTTCTTTCCAACAAAAACCTGTGAAAAATTCTGCAACCCCATCCCTTTCTAAATACCCTCTTGTTTGTCTTGGATGCCACAGCAAAGTTTTCCCTTTTTGTTTTGCTCACAATTTGTTGTTTTGCCTATGTAAAAACCAGCCTATTTTTCAAAACACAGTGTTTTTTCTGACCATTGATCTCCCTTGCCATCAACGACTGCAATTAAAAATAAAGGTAGCTAATGCTCCTGGAAAATTAAAGATACAAGTACTGCTTGGTTTTATCTTAAATAGTCTGCTAGAATGCTGCGAGGGTCATGAAAATACGACATCTGCAGTCACCATTTCCAATTCAAAGTTTTGCAGTTCCACAACAGATCAGAAACAATAGGTAGCCAATCAACTACTGGCTATTTTACAGCTCTTTTACAAATATGGTGTCATTTCTGAGTTCCAGATGCTGTTTTGACTGAGTTCCATCCGTGTTCCAAACAAAAATTTCATTGTTTCAATTTATTCACTTCTGAGGCACAAAACGTTTATTGCTGTTGTCTTCCACAGCGTCTGGATAATCGTTTCAAAATCACGACAGAGAATAAGGAAGGAAAAGCGCAAACAAATTATATCAAACTAGCAATTTTAAGATTTTGAAGAGACTGCGATAAAACTTATAATTTCTAGGTTTCACTTTTTTAGTCTAAATATTACTTATTTCAGGCAACACTATTTTTAGCTATATGTTGGAAAACTGACTGAGTTCTGTGCACCAAGGAACTTACTCTGGATCCACCTCTGGAGATTTGAGGGATTTATCAAGACCCTGCAGGTATTCCACACTTCTGCAAGCACACGCTGTTGCTAGATTTATCAAAACAGGCTTCTTGGTTAAACATACTGTTAATGTTTGATGTAAGGTTGATGCTGGCAGGTTTAGGCTGGCACATAAATCTAGATGGCTGCTATAGATGGAGAGATGAAACAGTGATAACACTTGGAGCCTGGCTTGATAAAATATATGTTTGAAAAACTACACTAAATTGAATCAATGCACTATACTTCAGATGCACTATAGAAAACTGGGTATAAAATTGAATTTCTAACTGAAATTCAGAGTATAATCCTACTGACCCTTCACTTCTTTCAGAATGTCTTGGTAAATGATGGTCCTATCTGTTTTTGGACAATAATGTTTAGCAATCTCATGGGTGAAATTTGAAAGAAATTCAAAGTTGAGAAGATTGCTGTTACCATTTGTGATCACATATGCAAAAGCATCTATGTGCTGCTGGTTGAAATTTGAATCTGTAAGGGCAACTTGAATCTTTTTTCTATCATAGAGCACCCCTTCATCTTCAAGATCATCAAGATTAGCCAGTGTGTGATCACATACTTCATATACCTCACCAAGTATATGCTAGAACGGAAAAGAATATCTGGTGAAAAAATAATTCAGATCATACCAGCTACATTCAGATTTAAAACAAATAGGTTGAGTACCTTTAGTCTGAAACTGTGAAAGTTACTTGCACGGTACCTGTTTTGACCTGTCTCAAAACAACAGACCACTGGCTTTGTCATCTCAAGAGTAATTTAGACAAAAAACATATATAATTTTATTATCAGGACCTTTTTCCACATATTTTTGTAACAAATTATTTACACTGGACTTCCCTATGAAAAAATATGGTAATTTTTGCCAAGATCTGAATTCAAATACAAAGTTCTATAATTTTACTCGAGCGTACATATCCTGTTTTTCTTTAAAATCAATAAAAACTTGATTTTTAATAAATGTGATGAAGGTTGTAGATAGTAGCTCGCCAATAACAACACTGTATATTATTATACAGGTCTTCAGTAAAAACAAAACATAATACAGCCAGTGGCAGACCCAAAGGGGGAATGTGGGGACTAGTCCTCCCCCCATTTTTTCAGAAAGCTGGTCCTTGAGATTCTTGCAAACCTGAGAAAACTTTTGGGGGGGGGGTATGTATGTTATCTAGATCTTCACATTTAAATGACATTTCTTGGGAGAAAAGAGGTGTTACCTCCGGAAGAAAATGCTTCAAACATGGTCCCCGACACACCTTTGTCCCCCCTCACTTATCCCAGTCTAGAGCCGCAACTGAATACAGCCAGCAGGGTAAAACAAACGATAAAGCTGAAAAACAAAGAGAAGTGTTAATCAATTGAACATGAGTGATTATTTCTCAATACGATGAAGGAGGCGAAAAATTATGTAGCTGGGAAATTTGCAGTTATGTTTGGAAGATTGAGAAAATCAAACGACGTTCCAATCAGTAACTGACAGAGATCTTAAGTTGATTTTGTACCCTCACCTTTCCCCTCCCGGCATAATCCAAAAGAAATGGGATGCCAGCTTGCGTTGCAGTTACCAATGGGTATTTCTCCACCGTTTCGGCGTTACTTATAAACTTGACGATCTGGGATTTACTCAGTTTCGATAAAAGCTTATGATTTGGAAAGCCCTGCTTCAGAGTACCGTAGACGAAAACTCGTGTCAGCTCAGCCATGGCTGTGATTTTGATTTGATTTGTTTTTGATGTCGTTGTTGTTGTTGAACAGTCCAGGGATCAAGGGGCGCATGGGCGCAGGGGGACACTCCGACAGGCAAATTCAAAGTTCAACTTGAAGTTCAAATATTTCATTTCACAGCCATTCGTTACATGTGATTTAGCATCGTAAAATATAAAGCTACATTTTTTATAAGAACCAGTCAATTAAGTTCAGATTGGCTATTCTTAATTTTTTTCGAAAATCTGTGCCTGGATTGTTCTTAATTTGGTCTTAAATTAAAAGGGTGGTGTTAACAGCCCTATTGCACTCTAGGGAGGGGTTCAGGCCTCATTTGCCAAAAAAGTGAGTGAAACAACCTTTATTCGTGTTTGAATATTCACCGAAAAAAGCACCGAAATATTGCTAAAATCCTTGTTTTGAGATGAAACGTTGTTAAAAATTGTGCCAATTTGTTTCCCCTTTTTTACTTGGTTCACATTAGAGAAATGAATTATAAACGTGGCGAAAAAGGCATCAAATTGTTTATGCGTCGATTGGACACTTTCTTTTCTCTTTTGAAAATGATCTTATGCGTTTGCAAAGAATCTGTTAAACTTAATTCTGGATCGGGCTTTTTATGAATGTTAAAAAACTGCGAGTTGATTGCGCAAACTTTCACCATAAACCACAGACTCGTAGCCAAGGGGTGGCAATGCCACCCTGAAGCAAGAGAATACCAGTTGTTTGTCACCCTGAGAATTTTGTCTCCAATTTTTTAATGGGGTTTTTCGTCATTTTCATTAGATTGCCATGGCAATTTGCAACAGGTTTAGGGTGTTTGCCACCCCTGCTCCACAGGCCTGGCTAGGGGCTTGATAATCACCAAGCAAAACCTAGCCAGGAATAGCACAATGTGTAAACCAGGAATTTCTGAAATTTGACAAATGAGATTGCGTCTGTTTATAGGGTACAATGAGGAGTGCAGGAGAATATTTTAATTTTCAACTAATGCAGTTTTCCACATGCAAATGGGATTTAGACAATCAAAGATGTTTCTTGATCTGTATTTGTTTGGGATGCTGACTTGCGACACCTGAAGTGTTGAGGCTATTGTATTGTACATATTACAACAGAAGAGTTGATCAAACACATTTTACCGTCGTATTTTTCCTCTCATGTTTTACCGTCATATTCTTCCTCTCATGTTACCGTCGATTTACACCTGGATATAATTTTCTGCTTATTTTTGGTAATTATCCAACGATTGCACTTTGAAAAGCATCAGACGAACAGTACTTCGGTAGTGCTTTGCTTTATTAATTCTGGCCATCTTTAAACATTGCAACATTAAGATTACTTAAACCTTTTCATAATTCTTTCTTAATTTCTTTCTTTGCATAAAATGTTAGTATTGCATCATTGAAAAGGATTGTTAATCAGTGCTGTTGGAACGAAATTCATATTGGGGGGCTGCCCATTGAATTCCTTTTCATTCAATACACTGCTATAAAGGAAACATACTACAATTTAAAAATTATTGGGGGGTCCAGCCCCCCCCCCCCCCAGCTCTGATGGGCCTGTTAATTATACCATCTTTCTTGCTTTGTTGTACAATTTTTATTGATAAAGGCATTTACAAGATGCTAAAGGTTTTTAATGAGTTTCATTTCTTTCTTTTGCAAATCTATGAGTTACAATAGAAATATATTTTAGAACGTTATTTTTGGTGGGAGCTCACTTTCAGCATTGCGCATTTTTTGGGTATAAAAAATCAAGATCACTTTCAGATTGCGCTAACACTTGGATTACGCCGAACTTTGTGGCAGGTACCTTATCATCAGAAATGATTTTTTTCATCCCATCTTTTAAACAATAATTTCTGAGCAGCTTATAAAAATGATCTATTTCTATGTCACAACAACTCTGCTAATGCAACAATAATAAGAATAAAGCATTTCAATTTCATTCAAGTCAATGAAAAAACCTTAACTTATTTCTAAAAATGTTTACTTCAACAGTTTTAGCTTCAAAGTCTTCTCCATCTATGTGGTACCATGTTACATCATTCATTGAAGGGCAAAGTTTTAACTGATCTGTCTGGATCGTCTTACAATTCTTAGACTCGATAATATTATAGTCATTTTTAATCCATTTTATACCATCAGCTATGAAGTCAGCTCTTGATAAATTATTGTCCCAAATTTGCATTTTGATTGATGGTTCTTTGGTTGCATTATTGATCTGCAATTGCAGACCAGTCATTGTTTGCAAGGGACTATCAATAAAGATTCCATTTTCTTGAACTGAAGTACCATCCTTTTCACTTATAGAGCTTCTTTGGGTATACGCATCGAGGCTTTCATCCACTTTACTTCTTTCTCCTTCACTTTGTGCAGCTATGTAGACCTGATTTAATCCTGAAGTATTATCATTACTTGTAGTAAGTGATGCAATATAATTGCTAGGCCAGTTTTTAACAGTTCTTAAGATAAATGCCATTTGTTTTTTCCACGGTCCAGCCCACCAATGTTTCTTTGCATCTATCTTCACTTTAACTTCTTGAAAAACCCCCCAACATAAGCCTGATAAGGCATATGTAGGTCGGGCACCTTGTGTTGATATTTCCATTACATCAACCAACTTTGTTTCTCCTTTAATAACAGCCATGGTTGCATTTCCAAGAATTCTTGCATTCTGTGGTCCATTATTGTGAAAACTCTTGAAGAAACCATTTGTTTTTCCCAATGGAATTACCCCCAGTGGGATTTTTGATATTGTTTCCTCGTTTTGCAGGCGAACAAGTCCAGTGACTACCTATAAACATGAATATGTTAATCTATATATGTTTATGTATTCATCTTATATATATTTTTAGGAGGTACAAAATTTGAAAATGGCTTTGAAAAAGCAAACATTTTACAGCACACTGAAAGCTTTTCCTCAGAGTATAAAACGTCAGGAAGAGGTTCCGAAAGAACAACATCTCATATCATAGACAAAGACAAAATGATAGGCCTATTAAAAATTAACAATTTGCAAACATGAATTCGAGATCATATTGGATGTTCAAATGAACAATAACTAAATGGCACAAAAAGAAATTTAAACATTTATATTCATCAATATTTTCTTAACGACAGAAAAAAGCTTATAAAGAATATATATATATAAATATTACCTCCATTAGAGTACCATCTCCCCCAGCCACAATAATGCCATCTATTGTCGGGTCTATGTATCCCATAATACTTTTTGCATGTCCTTCATAATCAGTTTTTATAAGTGTTACATCGATTGCAGCTAAATGCAATATTGGTGCAACATTTCGCTCGTACAACTTCACAGCGTCACCATTACTTGCTTGTGGGTTTAAGAATACGAGCATACGTCGTGGTTTTTGAAGTGCCTCTATGGGCTCCTCTCCAATCTTTCTTGCTTCAGCACAAATCTCCCGCCGAACAAGATACTCCCTAAAACGTCCACATGCGTAATAAGATCCATAAAGTGAAACACACCCAGCAAATATGGATTTTTTCCAGTGCTTCCTGACGGTGTAAAACATGGGTTTAGCCGCCATCTTCAAATTTTGAGCAGCAAACGTGAAAACATGGTTGATCACGAGGCAGGCACAAAAGGGCTGCTCTCAGAAGCTAAAAATGGTGTCAGATCCGTGAAAGCAGAGACCACTAACCACAGAAATTGTTTAAACAGGTTTGACTAAGCCACCAAGCAAAGAAAAGGTAAAGCCTGTTTTTGTTAACTTGTTTAATTTTATCGTGTTTTGATATCAGATTTTATTTGAAGAACATTATGTGAATACTAATGTGCAAGAGGGATGTAGAATATAAAATTAGCCTATACGAAAAAGCTGAAGAACTTCGAATCCGGACCGTATACGGCAGTTTCCAATGAGGTTTCAGATGTGCAATAGCAATATTTCAGAGTTGCAAATATGGACTTTGGTATTATCATAATGTGCACTCCAGCTATGCACATTAGTATTCACAACCATAGCCTATTCCAAGGGAAAATAGCTGCCGGGGCAAATCTTACTCCCTTCATGAAAGTATCTGTTCAGTTTCGAATTTAGTTGCGAATCCGTTGATAGATAAATTTGTTTACAAATTTCTAGATACATTTGTTTACAAATTTCAAAGGTAGTTTTCATGAAAATGTTTTTATCAATTTCCTCAATTTTTCTTGAAGCGTTTTTGGCCTTTAATTCATTTATTCGTCGAAAAAATAATGTTATCTAATGTATATGTAATCAAATTCTGTGAGGGTTTTTCCTAAAGATGGTAGTGTCTGAAACAAACGAGTTGACTTCTGAGCAATGTCTAGAAAAGTTTTTTATCAAAATGATGGAAAAAACTAATATTAAAATACTAGTATCATTGGGCGCACAAAGACTCCTGCTTTCAACTTATGCAAAAAAATTGAAAAATAAGGAGCATAAAAAATTTGTCACAGTCAAAAAGAGCAAGATTGCTTGCAACACAAAAGGCCAAACATTCTGCCCAAACCAAATTTGCATCAAAGCTGGTTTGCGTCATTTCGCAAAACTGTTTGCAAAATGTTCACAAACAAATGAACTTTCAAAAGCTATCGGTAAATATTGCAAAGAAAATGATAAAAAATTATAAATGTGCCCTCGTTCTGATCAATTTCAGAAAGATTTGCAGCGGTAAAGAAACAGTTGGCTATATGGCCTTGCACTGAATGATATGTCTGCTTTGCAAGACAGTTTATGATCCGGTAAAATTTTACCATATGTCTTAGGTGTTTTATAATCGATCAGTGTTTTATAATCCATGCAAATATTTTTCCCTTGGGAAATATTTCAGTTGGAACTGAAAGTAAACACGTTTTAATTCTCTTTATTCGAAAATATTGGTATCTCAAAACCAGTTTGTTAAAAATTACCATGTTTGCTTGGCCCATTTTAACTGAGTCCAAGTCACCTGACTTTGCTGTCCTTTGCTTATTTGACATCAGTTGATTTGCGAAAGGCTTGTAGCTTAAAGGTTGCTCGTTTTAACAAGAAATGATAACAGATAAAAAGTGCAGGGGTTTTGCAACATTTTAATGTCTTGGGTTAATTTGTAAGGGTTTCTCAAAGGGTTTTATCACCAGCCTAAATTTGTTTTTGTAAAGCACAATCAATCTTTGAACTGTCCAGATACTTTCATTAGAGGGGTGTATAAAGATGAGGACAATAGCCTTGGCACAACATCACCAAGCATCCCACAGCATTCCACTTTTGTTGTAGGATTACCTCTCACTAGGGTGTGCAATCTTCAGTTAATTTTAGGTAACATTTTATTGCAAGCAATGTTTTTTTTATTTTCCTTGTACATTTAGATATAGATAGTTTGTTAGTTTAAGAGGAGATTCAGATAGAAGTTTGGAGACATATTCTGACAGTAGAGACATGAAAGGCTAAACTGTTGTAGGAAGATACCCACTTTGCCCAAGAGGCTTGCGTAAGCTCTTGCAGCACAGTTTACTAGTTTACCTGTTTCATATAAGTTCTTATACAAAAACAAAGTAATTGCAAGAGGGCCTCAAAAACTTATGTTTGATTGTTTTGCTTTCAAGGAAATTCTGAAATTCCATTATCCATTAAAATTATTTGGTTTATAATAGCATCTACTCTAAGGCTATCAGGTCTTCTCTGTTTTATCCATTGCACACCTTAACTTTTCAAGGCATGCGATGATTAGCAAGAAGCTGACTTTAAGATTTAAGCAGAGTGACTATTAGCAGAGTTGATTGTATATTGTTTTTTTTGCAGGCCATCTCACACTTCGTATGATTAAAAAGAGATGAAAATTACTGGGTTTAATGTCTACAAAGTGGATCTTCCTTTGAATGAAGGAGGCTACAAATGGTCTGATGGGAAGTTGGTGACTGTCTTTGACACAACTTTGGTAGAGATACATACTGATGCTGGTTTAACTGGCATTGGTGAAGTTTGTCCACTTGGATCAAGTTATTTGCCATCGTATGCTAATGGTGTCAGAACTGGATTGGCAGAACTTTGCAAAGACTTAATAGGCTATGATCCTACTGAAATTAGCGTCATCAATGATGTCATGGACTATAAATTGAAGGGACATCCCTATGTCAAGTCACCAATAGACATGGCCTGCTGGGACCTCCTTGGTAAAGTATCTAAACTGCCAGTCTGCAAACTTTTAGGTGGTTGTTTCGGAGACAGTGTTCAGTTATATAGAGCAATAAGCAAACAGGCACCACTTGACATGGCAAAAAATGTTTTAGAATACAAAAAACAAGGGTATAGAAAATTCCAATTGAAAGTTGGTGGATGTATTGATGACGACATCGCTCGTATTCGTGAAGTTAGATCAGTACTAGATCCTGGTGACTTCCTTGTTGCTGATGCTAATACTGGCTGGATGTCACATGAAGCTATCAAAATAGTAAATCAGGTCAAAGACCTAGATGTTTACATTGAGCAGCCATGTGCAACATATGAAGAATGTCTTCGAGTGAGGCGGCATTGCAATTTACCATTTATATTAGATGAGGTGGTTCATGATATTGAATCTCTATTGCATGTGCAGAGAGATGGTTCTGCTGATGTTGTCAATCTGAAAATAAGCAAATTTGGTGGGATAACTAAACTCAAACAAGCCAGAGATCTCTGTGTGTCTATGGGCATACCAATGTGTATAGAAGATACATGGGGCAGTGATGTAGTAACCTCTGCAATTATTAGTTTGGCCCATAGCACACCAGAGAAGCTAAGGTTTTCAGCAACAGATTTCAATAGTTATTGCACTATTCATGTTGCAGAAGGTGCCCCTCAACGAATTGATGGGAAGACTGCTGCAACTAACAAGCCTGGTCTAGGTGTTGAACTGAACACAGATGTCATTGGGAAACCTTACCTAAGCATATAATTTTGTCATTAAATAAGATTTCAACAAAAATAAATATATTGAAGAGAAATGTGTATTTCTTTTGATCATTTTTTAGTTTATTATACATGACCAAATAACTTTCGCTGTCCAATAAGCACCTTAGAGTGTTTTTTACTGACATTAAATACTTCACCATGTTTCGTGAAGTATTGCACTATGAACGGGAAAATAATTCCGCCACAGGCATCGCTTTTGTAAAACCTTCCTACATAAGACACACTATTTAAACAGCTTTGCTGACCAAGTATGGCATCACATGCGTTCTATCTTGCTTGTCCTAAACTGAATGTGGTAGCATACTCTTTGAAATTGAGAAGCCGCGAGAAAGTGTGGAATTAACGAAGCAGAGGTTCAAAAGGAAATTTCAAAGTTTTGAAGCCTGTCATTTCTTTTTGATATTAAAAAGGTAATGATGAACATTTTGGGTTTGATCGAATTGTTCTCAACATTCTTTTTATTCTTGAGTTTATTTGATTTTTTCAAGTTATATTTTAAGTTATTGGGAATATTCGGCTAGTTTCTATAAAAATTGCAAGACTGAAATAATATAGTTTCAATGATCTATAAAAAGTCAGTTCTTGTTTATCTGATATTGCGTAGGTAAAGCCTGCAAATTTTAGAATTCGGAATCACCAAGCACCTGATAATTAGATTGAGTTACTGAGCTTGTGTATGATTCCATTGGTGAATGAAACTGCTGGAATGTGGGGAATTATGTACAATCGCACTCTATATACCCCTCAAAAAGGGGCCAAGCCTTTTGGTACCCTGGGTACCAGAGCCTCTGATGATGATGATGGGACATGATAGATTGATGAATATATTTTACTGAGACTAGATTCAATCTATTTTGTTGAGAAAAGCCCATTTCCATGACATATCGCCTGACGATGATCCAGCGGACTCATCAGCACCTGCGACCAATGTCATTGATAGCTTTTTCACTAAAAACTCGACATGGGCACCACCACCAGGTCGACACCACGCTCTGGAGCTATACATCGACCAATGCTGATATGAGATTTCAAAAGTCAACTTTAAGAAAAAGTCTAACAGCTTCAACCTTTCTAAAAACGAATGGAATGCACTCAGATCATTCAAATTCAGACATTGTTTCTCATATCGACATTGTTTTCAAGTCTGCTGACAAAGGGAAACGCATCGTCGTCTGGCGTAAAGATCTCTTTTTGCAAGAAGGACATTCTTAGTTAAACTCTTCATCTTATCAGAAATATCGTACTAAGCCTCGTTATGATCATATCATCAAAACCATTAAAGAAGGAATCAATTCTGATAACCTTCAACCTAATGCTAGCAAACTCTTTTCTCAGCATCCGAAAACATCTCTACTCTAAATGCTTGTTTCTGCTATATCATATCCAACATCTCAAATAGCCACTTATCTCGACTATCCTCTTACAACTCTTATCAAGCAACCACCAGCTTGCTTGTTCTTGCTTGCTTGTTCGTACAACAAACACATTCACGTTCAACAATAAAACATACCTCTGGTTTTACTAAGGGAAGCAAATTGGCACCATCGTACGCCTGTCTTTTCGTTGGAAACCAAGAAGAACTCATTGTCCAAACATATCATGACTCTCTACCTTATCTTCTATTGCGCTACATAGACGATATTGTTGGTTACACTTCACTCACTATCGACGAGTTACAGGACTTCAACAAGTTTGTCAATAAAATCCATCCAGCTCTGGATTTCACTTACATACTCTGGTATTTCTTGACAGTCAACTTTCTATTCCTGGCGACAATATTACCAACTCTCGTCATACAAAGAGACCTATTCTAACTGTGCTACTTTTATTAAACTTCACAACACCCAGCCAGATGCAACGATTCTATACCGTATTTGAAGTCTATGTTCGTAGCAGGATGACTTTGAAACCAAGGCTCAGGAAATAGTCAAGTTTCTACACTCGTTTGTTTATGAACAAGTATCATCAATGACACAAGAAACCGTTTTAAACCCAGCCAGTCAACAAAACACCAATGAACGCACTAATAATCACCCTCACCTTCCATCCACTCAAAAGCAGATCAAACATATTTTATAAGATAATTCTCACCTGCTGACTGATGATCATGATATTTCGGACATTTTTAAACACCCACCCTTCATTGCTTATCAACAGTACAATAATGTTTTGGAACACTTATGGAGCACTTTTGGAAAAATGCCTTGCCACCATATAAAGACCCAATTCGCATGCACCTCTTCCTGCCTTGTTTACTGCGGTAGTTGCACGTGTGACCTTCATTACATTACATTACATTACATTGAATGCCCGTTTTGTGAACATCTAAGCAATGTAGATCCATTCATATTAACAAAGATACCCATACACTGGTCAATCACTGGACTTCCTGACGCACATGATAACAACACTCAACGAAGAAACGAAGAACACTCGAAAACGCATTATTTTTAAAAATGGTACTCTTATTTCAAATGGTCTTAACAAACAACTTTCGTATCTTTCCTAATCCAGCTATTATTATTTCATATCTTCTCCATCTATACGCTTTCTATCCCCCCCCCCTCCTCACATTTCCACCTCGTCTTGTTTTCTTAATCTTATCCCTGCCACGTTCCAAATAGATAATCTTTTGATTCTACTCTTCTACTCACTTTTAACTGTTACTTCTCCTATTCTTTTTGCTTGATGAAAAGTTATGCTCAAAACGTCGAACTGATATTTCTTTCAAATGTATTTCTTCCATGTCGTTATTGGCCGTTATTTAATTTTATTGATTTTGCTCAATATACTTTTGAGTCTCAAGTCGTTTGGTTGCACTGAAATCAAGCATACTTTTGTTAGAAATGCGATCAAGCCTTCATCAATGACATCCAACACAATATAATGTATCAAACTATCCGAAACCCTACCCGTCAGTTTCCTTTTGTGATTAGAGATAAGAACAGGTAAACCCTACCCGTCAGTGATTAGAACAAGTAAATTCGTTTTGTTGAATGGGATTCCCTGCACATAACTCGTTCCCTGCCTTTATTTTATAACGGATTCATATCGGATTAACTCAGCAAAGTGTAGAAAATCGATTTCTAAGTGTCTTCGTTCTAACTTGGTAAAAAATATCTCTAGCAAACTTTCACCGGCAATATGTCATGAAATTGTTGCCATATTTAGGCTGATTTTATGTATTTAAAAGTATTTCTTCTGATGATCTTATAGGCTATGTGATCCAAATTTAAAAATTCTAAAAGTAGATTTTTGTGACGTCATCACTTTGAACTATATTTGGACCCTGGGAATTTTATCGAAAAACCATTGAATTTTGGGATTTTTTGGCTTCGAATTGGAATTTTTGAGGATTTCAATCTGGCAACACTGCTACCCGTTTTGGAAAAACTAGATTAGATTTGGGGAGAGTACGCAAGCTGCCGATGCGATGGCGCATAGAAGTTTCTCCATAAAAACATTCCATAGACAACGAAGATGTCGTCCGGCAACTACTGTCAGGCACATATTTGGACAATATTGTAGTAACTAGAAAACCATTCATTACCTTATTTTGCTGTTCTTATCGAGACTTTAATTTGGAGAGCATTTGCTTTGCTAAAGAAGAATAAATCTGCGTTGTGACTGAGTGTCGTTCGACGACCTATTTCTAGCCGTAGGGCTGGCCATATCGGCCTAGCCCCGCAAGAAACAAGTTTGCAGTGGATGGTGAAGTCTTCCGCTATTATACTGCCTGTTTATACCCGCAAATGACTAAGCCTTTCTTCAAACGTTGGCTCACAGTTGTAGTAACTGTAATTTCCTTTTTGGCCTTGACCGTTTTGGTAATCAGAAAGGTAAGTACATCAGAGTTCCCTCAACTTTATAATGACCACCTTTGAGCGAGATAAGCTCAAGGTCAATTTTTTTAGCATCAAACTTAGACTCATTTCTGAAAATTATCAAGTAATTTATACAACTATAAAATTAACACAACGAGAATGAGAGGGTTACTTTTGTTGCTACATACCTATCAGCACCATTCAGCTATAATCTGTCTGTGGGAGACTGTCTATGTTTGTAGTGTCATCTAAAAGAGCACAGACACATTTCTTTAACCACCTTTGATAGCATTTAAGGTATATAAGAATCTTAAGTATAAAATAGTTAGGGCTAAACTTTATAATATGGGGGGGGGGGGCAGGGATTTTGCATGTCAGGGGTTAAAGTCTGTTTGTCAAGTATCTAGTGTTATATGCAACAGTGATCCTTTTTCTTTCCATGCAACAGATAGTTAGGACAAGGTTAATTTTCTATTGATTGTGATTTGTCCAATTTTGTCTATTTAATGAACTGTTAAATCTGTGATGTACGAACAAGATACAATTTTTCCTTTTGAACAGTCATGTATACAGACAGTGTCAGTGTCATCCCAAAAGACAGAATTAACTTGCCCCTTGATATTATGGAATTATTAAGGCTGGCTTCAGAAGAACACCAATCCTGTTACTGAGTAGTTTAGCTCAGTGGAATGATCATTGACTTATGTTGCAGTAAAGTTTATTTGCAATAATGTGCAGTAAATTTAACTTGGAATCACCCCTATCAAAAAATTTCCTCTAACAGCATTGGCCTAATAGATAAATGTATACTATATTGAAATATTATATATATATAGATTTTCAGGAAAAACATCATTGCCTTGATCAGTAATCTGTCATTCATCATATCTGATTAAATAAAAAAGTCTAATAATTTACGCAAGCGTATTCTTGAGAATCTATTTAATTTTCATTCATGTCTCAAGCAAATAAGAATAAAGTGCAAAAACCCTGACTTTCACATTTGATTTTCTGCAATTTTTTTCTCTATAACTAGCACAAAACTTACTAGCTGATTCTTTTTATCCACTGCCCCTTTTGAAGCAATTTGCAATTACTTTCGTTTCTGTGACAGTTTTGCTTATTGTCTTTCAACATTCTAGGGAGTTTACAATGATGAAGCGCCAGTTGGAAAATACATTCACTGGAAGAATTTTGAATGGCTTGATCTTGAGAATAGATCAACTTTCAAAAAGTGCAGAAATTCAGTTCAAGGACCAAGTTTTCTTGCTGACGAAAAGGGTAAAAAAGTTTACTTTTCAGTTGGTTAACTAAGATTTATTTGAAGGGATGCAACTTGTAAATTTTGGTATGAGACTTGGCATATACAGCAACCCCTTTTTATGAATTAAATGCTGCAAGGTTAATATCAGCGGACCAACAGTAAAACAAATATTTTGTTCAAAGGGGTGCAACCACTCATAAGCAAGAGAATAGGTAGTAGTGGGAAATCGGCAAAAATCTGGGTTTTTTAGTGCTTTTAAATCTAATCTGACATCAAATCTAAGGAAAGATTTCATTGGTAAGGCACTTCTACTGCTTTTGCTGGAAGCAGAGTATTTTCATAATTCTAAAGATAAACAGTGTTTGATTATAATTGAACAAATAGCCTCACCAATGAGGTAGGAGAGTGTTATTGAGCTTAACTTGTTAGTTCTGTTCATGAAAATGGCTGATTGGATCACTATGGCATCTAAACCACCATAAACACTCTTGTTTTGCTATTTTCTTTTTCTTTGTGAATCTAATCTTGATTGTAAGTCTGTTGTTGTTTACCATGCCAAAATTTTATGTGGTTGGATTTTTAAATGATACAGAAAGTTACAACAGTAAGAACCTTTTTGGTCATAAAGACAGTTTTATATCAATAGATATCATGTCAAAAAAAAAAATTAATTGTATATTATGCAGGCCTGGCCGTTTGTATTTTTATAGGCGAGCTGTGAATCGCTCCCCTCATTTGCTGAGGCGAGCTAAATCAGTAACACATAGAATGTACTTTAAAGACAATCCACAGATGACTTAATAAGCCCCTTTAGTATCTGTTGGTTGCCTTAATGTAATTGCCTCAGTCAGGAGTGTGCTGTTTTACTTCTTTCAATTTGTATTTGCTTTAACCGTGACTTAGGCACCCCCTTTACTTGAAGTATTTAAAAGAACAGACTTTTTCAGTTCCATGTAAAGCTGGCACAACACAAAAACAACAATTCTCTTGCAAAACAATCTTTTTGTTGTACAGAATTTGAAAATGGCTTTGAAAATTTTTTTTAAAACAAGCTGAAGTTATACGTCTAGCACTCTTCAGAGAATAAAACGTCAGAACAAAGATGGAAAACTTTACGCTAAAATACCCAGTTTTGGATCGAAATAGGCCAATCAGAAAGCGCGAGCACATGACTGTTGAGGTTGTCCAATCAGTGCCGCTTTCCTATTGAAAATGTTACCAACGGAGTCCTAAGGTGAAAACGAACTCACTTATGTCTACACAAAAGCGGTTGGTCATGTTAATATAGTAGATAGATTCACAAACTGCTAGATGGAACGATGATCAGGCTTTGCCAATAATGCCAAACATTTTGCCGTTATAGTTTTCACCCAATCTGGGTTTTTCAGTAAATGCTGCTGGATAGTGGAATTCCATGTTTTGGTTGTCGTTTTTGATCTGCAAGACAGAGTACCTTGTTCTCTTTGAGGCATAGTTTTGTTTCTATTGCTGGAAGGGACCTGCTGTCTTATTATATCCCCAATCTACAATTCCTACCAATTTCTTCGACTTTCCTTCCAAAAATATTCCTTAAGATTGAAAGGTTCTAATCGCTACAAATGTACCTTTCGGTTAACTATCTTTTTCCAAATAGATCGAAGTTTATGCCTATCATAACAAAAACTGCCCAACAAGCAAAAAGTTAATTGCAAAAAATGCAATGACGGGAGAAATCGCTGTTACAAAAATAAACCAATTAACCCTTGTGCGTTTTCATAATTCTCTGAATAGGAAATTTTAGGGGAGCGATTCTTCCTTCATGTTCTGTTTAGGAGAGCAATTCATAGCTCGCCTCAGGTTGCGAGGGGAGCGTGGAGGCGAGCGCGAGCTATCGCTCGCCTCAAACGGCCAGGACTGATTATGCTGCTATGTTGCTTAAGATTTGTGCACAAAATTCTTTGATGGATGTTCTCAGTCTTTGTAATATGGCACGTGGGATCGCAGGGGCCCAAATTGCCTCCACACATGCCCAAACTGCCTCCACACATACCCAAATTGCCTCCACACATGCCATATTCAAAGGCAGTTCTGTCCTTTTCCAAGGTGTTGTTAAAGTATTCCCATACTGGATTTAACAATGGCCCTACAATGTAGTTGTAACCGTAAATGGCAAAATCGCTTAAGAACATTACAGTTATTTAACCAAGGGGGTGCCAAGGGGGAGTAATATGCAATCAACAGGCTTTATCAACTTTCAAAACTCAGTGATTTAATGTTTTGATCGAAGAGTTGTCTTCATTGTTCACCTGATTATTCTGTTCTTTGGTGTTCATGGCAATTAAGGAAACAAAGTAGAGCTGGCGGCATATATGGGTTGGGGAAAGAAAGGAATTATCAGAAGACTACGAATGCCATACAGTGTTATGGAGATGCAACTTTGTATTGCAATCAATGATAATATATGGACTGACGGAGAAAGATAAATTATCTTGAAAAGAGCAACAGTGCTCTCTCTTTCAAAGAGCAGAAAGCGAAATCTTGATAATGGCATCGGTATATTGAAGAAACCTAAGCTAGAGAAAGAGGAGGTAACTGAAGAAAGCTCTGAGGAAGAAGAGACACTGTTTTTTGATGATTTTAAACTGTTATCAAACGATTTTTAAGATTAAGAACTGTAAAGACTTTTGAGTTCAAAGAAAGTGTGTTTAATTTGACCTTTGTGTCATTTCTCTACCCCTCCCTTCTTATTCGATTGTTTGCTGAATTCCAAATTATTGTGAAAGGAACACCAATCAAATGGTAAAATATTTTTTAAAAATATCTGCTAGGATATCTGCTATGTTAACTGTGATACTGAAGTCAGTGATGCTGCTTGGGAGTTTCTCAACCATGAATTGCAAATGATTGCAAAAATATTCTATTCTTACTTCCTAAAAATATTATTAGCTAATTGAATATAACAACCTTAAAGAAGAACAAGAACAGTTTCTCTGTCAACTTCCTTAGTTTCAGTTCAGTTTGTAACCCAAAAGGTCTTCTTGAAAGCAGCACTCTGTAGTTCTTGACAACAGGAATGAAAAATGATGGATAAAAAGTGGTCCACATCGCAGGCCATAGCACACCATGGCACACGCAAAGTAGTCAAGACGTACAAAATACCAAACATGGCCCATTTTCATATTTCAAAGACTGGTATGTTCTGCATATAATTTTGTCCATTGATAAATATCTTCACAATTAAAATCCTTTTTATTTGATTGGATTTTCTTTTTGAATTCACTCAGGGTATATTTGCTCACATGGAGACTTATCAGTGAATGGCTGTTGCATCCCTGAGAGAAATTCAACTGAACGGTTTAGCTGCAGCACATGCCAAGAAAACCGATGCTGTAAAATCTATGAGCATTGTGTTTCATGCTGTTTGCAACCAGACAAGGTTCTTATACCTTTTTCTTAACAAGGAAGATATATCAATTGAACTGTTGAAGAGCCATGCTTGAAACATTGAAGCAATCAAAAAATTTGCTTTCAAGAAAGTTTATTCTTATATTCACTGGATCGTTTTATGTATAAATTGTAAGAGCAGTCATGCACAAATGATTTCATCTGCTGAATATCATCTGGTACAGCATGAATTAGAACTTTGCATAAAGGTTAACAAATTGGTGTTTATAAACAGGTATAGATTTCTGCTTACCTTTTTACAATTATCAAAAGTCTTATAACATTTCTGATTGTTACTTTAACCACCAACAGACTTGTTCATTAATTGAATTAAGAGCACATACAGTATCAGCTTGGCATAATTTTCATTGCTTTTGATAGGTAGGTATTAAATGTACTAAACTGAGATTTTGCATTTTAATTTTCAGCGACACTTGCTAGAAAATGTGCTTGCAAAAGCAAGAAATAGCAGAAGTCCATTGCTAAGGATAGTGAAAGACACTTTCGAACTATGTTTGGCAAAGTGCCGCACTTCTTCATCTGTGAGTTAATTTAGTTAGATTTTTATAAAAAAAAGATCTTTAACAGTTTTTGCAAAGTTATATCAAATTTTTGAAGTTTTAGTTAAAATTTTTACTTTTATTGTATTCATTTATAGAATAAACAAAGTTTAGGTAATACAATCTGTGATTTCAAAATTTTTGTCTTGCATCTTAAACATCTTACTTTAAAAGGTTTTCTTTTATCTGTTCCCCTGTAGCTTATTTTAAAAAAGCCAGAGCAATATAAAGCTTGAGCTATTATGCAATCTGTTTGTTGATGATACCCAATATGATATACTAGTAGCACTAATGTGCAGCAAAATCTATTTTTCAGAGTGTCCAGCAAGAGAATGTCTACAGAGACAATACATACAAATTTTGCTATGGCCTGGACCCTCCAACATTGCAAGTCAGGAGGTAGCAAGCAGTAGTAGAATTATAGATGAGAAATAGGAATTACTTCTCTGGTTACAACCTAGATGAATTTTAGATATGCAGACCTCTGATGAAGAAAGTCTGGACAAGTTTTGAGCACCAGAAGAAAGACTGAATGCCAGTGTTCTCCAGTGCCAGTCTTATAATAGGAGCAGGATATTGCTCAGACCATCTTCAGCTCCCTTAGGCAAAAAAAATCAAATGCAATTTAGAAGTAACAAAATACTCCCTGTAAATCAGAAAAACTAAGCTTACAAAGATATTGTAAGGCTTTTAAAATTAAAACCTTTCTCTTCTCTCTGTGTGCCGTGAAGCAAGATTCTACTTGTGTTATGAATCTATAATAGGTCTTTTTTAGAAGATATGTATTTGAAAAATAATCTTTAATTTTCCAATAATATTTATTTTTCTTATTAGAAGTAAATAATAAGGCTCTTTTATTTCTGTTCTTGCTTCTTAGTTTTAAGAATGGTTGGGGAAATATGGAGGGTGTTCTTATAATTTTCAGATCTAAAAAGGACCACAAAATCTTGGCATTCTTTTGTTGCAAAAGTAGATCCCTTGAGTCAGTTGTTGGTTGCTTGTGGACTACATTGGTTAAACCTGCTTTACCCTATGCTGTACTTACCCCTTCTTAGAGAAAAATGATACAGCATTCTTTTCTTAATTGTTTTGTGCCACTTGAACTTTTGTTCTGCCTGTTTTACAATTTTGCACACCCACTTTTACTTGCCTTGAATAGTATAGTGACACAAATCTAACCTCCATTCAGTAACCAACGGGTAGTTGCTTCCCAAATTTTCAACTTTTTCAAATCATTCAAAACTATTCATTCTCTTGAATGGAATATGTAGTTAAGTCATGAAAATTACTGTCTACCTTTCTGTCACAGAGTCATAGAGAAGATAGGGCAGAAGTTAAACAACGAAGTTGAGCCTGTCGTCAAGACAAGTCTTTTCTATCAATAAACTTGTCAATTTTCCAACTTTTCGGCTATAGAAGTTTCGGCTATACAATTTTGTAATCTTTGGGGCCCTTCTCTCAACACACCCTCGTCTTTGTAATCTTGTTCTTGTAGAATATACTTTTTTAAAATGTAAAAAAACACCCCCACAGTTTCCGCCACTGCTGCTGCCCCTAAACAATATAGAAATCCATAATTCAGTACTTGCTTCTCCAGTGGTTAAATAAAACATTTTCAATGGATTGGTAGATTCAGGATTCATAAACAATTTCAGTTATACACTACAGTATATTAATTATAAGTAACAATATATCCTTTGATAAATTCATCGACAATCAATAAATTACATCTAAAATACTAATTTACGGACAAAATTCTTCCTTTTGTTTTCCCGAAGAAAAAATCTCAGAAAAAAACTAGCGAAAATTCTTTTGATAGGCCTCGTTACTGTCATGTTGAAAGGAAGACCTTTTTGGGTAGGGAAATGAATATTGAAAAATATCCTTGCACAGAAATATTTGCACTTATTTGCGTGGTTGTACAAACATCTTTCAGATTCACCTTGCAACATGACCGCCACAGGCCCGACGGATTCTTTTACGATTTAAAACCCTTGCGATTTGAAGTACAACTTTATAATTTAATAAACATATTGAATATCATGGAAAACTACATCATCATCTTGCCGACGTTTGATAAAATCGGAATGTTTACATTATCTCCGTCGATAAAATAGAATATAGCTTAGGGAAATATCGCCCGACTGAGATAAAACAAATATTATGTCTAATCGATAAATTGTAAAATTCAAAAAAATATCAGCATGGGCGCTAACGTACCTCTTGGCATGTGGTCACTCAAACGAAACCATACATAAGGTTAGGGTTTGGGTAAAGAAATGCGGTAAAGAGATACTTTAATACATTAGCACCCCAACTAGGCCTATAGGCTGCTATAATTTAGTGGAAATGCAGCATAGAAGATTACTAATTCGAAAGATAATAGTTGAAATGGGAGTTAAGGTAATGCAAGACGAGAATGGCATGCAAGTTAAATTGCAACGAATATGATTTAAGACATATAACCGAATTACCTTGTAGTGGGTAGCAAGCTGTATGAAGGCAGGAACGCAAAACTGGGATTATAGCTGACAAACGACTAAGGCCTGGTAGATTTATGAAGATCTATGGAACGCTATCAACTTGCATTGAGGATGAAATCACTTGCTTTTTTGTGGAATGGTATTAAGGTGTAACTCCCAAGAGAAGCATCGTCCTTTAGTTTAAAGGTATTTCAGAGAATGAACCGCTGAGAATTCCGCTGGGAAAAGGGCCTTTAGACCACGTTGTTTTTAAGAAAGCATAAAGAACAAGCTCTCAGAATACCCCCAAAACTACAGGAACAGTGACGAGATTAACGTTTATGAGCCAATCATGGTATCACCTCAACTTTTGATTATGTTTTCAAATTGCAACCAGCATTCAAAATTCCAACGTGTATCCCATTCTGGCTTACCAAAGAGCTCTTACTTACATAAGACACAAACATTTACAAAACACCGATTGGATCATTCTTCTACATTTTGTATGTTTATAGCAATATCCCTGAAATAGCATATTCATCATTAAATATCAATAAAATACTTATGTTTGCACTTTTGTTTCTTGCAGATCAACTTATGCATCATTCAGCAGAATTAAAAACACGAAGCTAAAAAATTTCATATGCAGCTACAATGAGGGCCTAAAATCTATTAGAAGTGAAAAATACGCCTAAAGATGACACAAGTTGAAAAATAAGCTACCTTCCCTTTCTCAGCCGAGACAAAATGTATTTTTTACTACGAGGATTTACAACATCCTTTTTTCGAAGTCGAAGCTTCGGCTTTTGAAATATTCGCTTTTCCCAGTTCTGAAAATAAATAAGTTAATTTACTGAAAAGTTTTTTACAGCACTTAAAATTTTGGAAAAGGATATAAATTAAGGCGAAGGCATAGGAAAGACAATACGCGTACACGCGTGCTGGATTCAATTTTCAGTGTTAATACTAAACATCTATAAGGGTTAAAATTGAATTTTCGGGCGGATGTGTTTCAGGACGTAAACACAGAAATTCTCCATGAACAAAAAAGATCATTTACCAAACCAGACCTCTGGTCGGTTTGTTGTGTAGAGCAGGATAGTTCTATATTTCTATTACAAATAAAGCAAAACGATATCCATATGTTGCTTGTAACTCACAAATATAAGTGGTTTAATAATCAATTCACAATTTAGATTCTATAATGTGGTTCTAACATGGTGAGTCACGTGAATTTTTGGCCTACAGCTTTACAAACCAAGCAAAATACTGTATTCATACTTAAAATTGATCAAGTTTGCTTAATATGCAATGAATAGCTGTATTCACATTGCAAACATCTGTAATGCTCACAAATAAAATATTACAAATTCGAGCCTTTATTTGCCTTTTCAAATCTTCGGAATAATCCAATTCCCTACCTATTGTTTGAAAGCCTCCTCCAATTTTTTGCTGCTCTGTTTTCTTCTCTTTCTTCTCCAGCTCTTTTAGCATGGCTTGATCAAAGCAGATGGCAGCCACTCTAAGAAATAACTCCTTGATATTCTTTCCTTAAATAGATAAAAACATTTAGGTGTCGGTCATTTGGTCCCTTTTGAAACAGTAAAAGCTAAAAAACTATTCAAATTATTTTCATGATTTATTATTTCATTATTCAGCTATAAAAGCTATAAACTTAAGTAGCTTTAGGAGTTCCTTTGGTAAGTTAGAAACTCCAGTTCAATGATCAACGTCGAAGGCATATTCCATTAGTCTCATTGATACTTATTATAAATATCCCCAGCCTTTGTCGCTAGATTCTATTTATGTCTGTTCGATATAAAGTCTCTCTTGTCATTAGATTTTATTTATTTCACGGTTTAATGAGGAAAGTTCACTACCAACTTTTTGTACAGGGATTCGCAGCCGAATTCTTCACAATCTGACCCATTCCATTGCTAGTTATATCCCAAAATACACAAAAGATAGGTAGATGTCCAGATCTATAATTTCGTTTCTATGGATAGATGCCTTGGTTACAAAATGACCGTAATAAGCTTGTGTAAAGAAGATTTGGGTGCATTTTGAGCAGCTTATAGTATTGGATTGGTACAGTTTAAAAAAAGTTTGGTTCCACGCGCCTGTTGAAACGACCTCTCTGGAGAAAAACTAAAAAGCTTCTGCATCAGAATTAATTTCTTATGATCACCAAACCGTATGCGTATAAATGCATGCTACAAGCATGAAAAGAGCAGTCTAATTGCTCCATAAAACCAAAGTAATCACAGACAAGAGATTCCAGCAACCACGATGTGTCCCTACTCTTTTGACGTGAATCTCACTAAAACTAACCGGATTTTGAAGACACTTCCCAATACTCAGCATTCATTTCTTTTGACATTGCTTTAGCTTCAGAACGAATCTCCTCCAACTGGCTTGATTTCTGGAAATAAAAGTAGAATCGTCAAAGTTGCTGAATCTTAATTTGGCTGCAAGTGACCAGAGATTCAAAATGAGAATTTGTTAAAATAAGGGGCTCGTTAAGTTTTTATGATACATTGATATGTCATAAGCTTAAGGAAAAGACATAAAAAATCATGTTCATATTTTCATAGATGCTCTTGCCTGCAAAAAAATCTTAATATTTGACATAGAAAATGTAGTGCTTTTTTATCTCTTAAAAAGTCTTTTCTGCGTTCAAAAGCTGTTAGGGGTGGTGAGCACCCTCTAAAAATATCCCAGTCACCGCTTAGTTGGAGCCATGGGGAAGCATACCCATATTAAAAATGCAGCACGGCATTGCAACATTGAGGTCCAGGACACTTTAGGAGGGATGGTCAACCGCATTCCCAGAAAGCAGAGAAATGCGGCCAGAGAATGCTGGAAAATTTGAGAAGATAGATACATCTCGAAGTCAGCATTTTGGTGCAAGATTGCGGGTATCATGAAGACTGAATGGAAAGGGGTAAATCCCCAAGACAATTAAAGAGCTGAATGAAATACAAAAATTCAATTCGGAATAGGAACAAAGAGGCTATGGAATAAATTTTCATGCCAATCTTACAAGCTACCTAGATCGGAAGTAATTGGTAAGAGGCAGATACTTACACAGAGGTCCATCTTGCTTCCAACTAGAAATACTTCAGGTACAGTTACTCTGGTATTGTGTAAGGCATCGTCGAGCCAAGACCTGAACAAAGAATAGATCAGAAGAAGAGAGTACAATTTATAATAGTATGTAGGGCTAAATATTCAAGAAATGGAAAAAAATGAAACAGGACCGTAGAGACGAGATTTAGAGAGACAAGCAAGTGACATGACACTGAAATGACCTTTACGATTTTGGGTTCAAAGAAGAGCGGGGACCTGTTTTGTCCATTAAAGGCTCTGTCATGAAGAAAGTTCGATACTGTTAAGAATAGACTCCCGGTTTGAACGAGGTACTAGACAGCATAAAACCACCTGAAAGATGATGCATAGATACAATGAGCGAAGAGGAGATAAGATTGTAGAGAAGAGCTGCGTGTTCAGTTACCTTGTATGATGCAAAGTTACGATTTCTGTTGTGTCAAATACCACAAGAACAGCTGTGAAATAACGAGAAGCAACGTTGATCTCAAATGAAAGTTGTTTTTTTAGCTGTGGAAAAAATTCAGGTTTTATTCTGTTCGCTCCTAAAGCCTCATGAAGATCAAATACCACTCTCCATAACTAAACCAGGACTCAAATGGACCGTTAAAATGCCTCTAGACTGGCTACTAGATCTTAGTCAGTCAGTCCAGTCACTTGTCATGAATCCATTCAAAAGATTTTGCGGCCAACATCATCAGTGAAGTTAGAGAACTGTGATTGGTAAGAATGAAGCGAATAGGACACACCTTTTGGCTTGCTTCTATCTACACCTGGGCATACAGCTAGACTAATAACAAGGTCATCACCCAACTCTTTATCTCCAAGATGTTTGCTGGAAAAAGACTTTTCAACTATGTTAACTATGTTTTTTTTAAAACGCCTCCATAAAAATCTAAGACGTAAATTGCAATAGAAATGCTAAAATGTAAACTCACCATGCGACCCTCTGTAATATGCATTAGTTATAGACTTAAATCTCTCTTCACCTGACGTATCCCATCTGAAAAAAGATAGGGAAAGTCTAACCAGTAACTTCACATGACACTGAAGGAGCATTATAATCTTTTGGAGGGATTTTCGCTTCAAAAAATCCAAAGATTCTCATTCCAGAAACTCAGCACTTTACTTAACAAATACTCGCGCAGATTACTTAACAAATACTCGCGCAGATCAAAATTAATTGACAGTTTCACCTGATTCTAGTCAAAATGTCGAATTTTCGAAGAGGTCAAGCCAATGGTATTGTTGGTACTATAATGAAATCAGCCAAACACACTGATGAAACATTAAACAGCATATCAGAAAACTCAGTACTTACAGTTGTAGATTAACAAGTCGATCTAAAATGCTAAACTTCTTCAATTCATATTCAACTCCAATTGTTGGTTTGTAGTCTTTTTCAAACACGTTATGAGAAAACCTGAAAAACAAATCGATGGAAAACAGATTTTTCTCGCAAGCACGTGCAAGTGCAATATTTTGACTATGTTAATATACAGGCTAGAAACCGGGCACGCAAAAGTGGGGAAGCTTCTGGAGGCTCAAGAACTCGTCTTTTTACAGGTGGGGCAAGGAGACCATAATATTCTTTCCATAGAAGTGCCCTTGCCTGGGTTTTCGTAATTATCAAGAAGATGTATAAGACTTTCTGATTATGGTGAACTTTCCAATCAATATTATATTTTATGATGACAACGTTGACCAAAGCGCGTAAAAAAATCAATGTGCCAGAAGCTAGCTGATATTAAAATTTGGTACAGCAGATCGAATTTTGGCTACTAGTTACGAAGAATAGGCAGAAACTGTGCATCATTATCTCAATGCCTTGGTCCTTAAGCTTGCCCCCTTGCCTAGGGTCGCTCTGGCGACGCTGTACAATAAATGTTCGAAGTGTTGGTCTCAATGAGCGAGAAAGATCATTTGTTGCAAAGATCCTAAACTGCTATGAAACCTCCATATAATGGGCAACTGTGTGACTAGATTTACCGTCTTTTATAGGGCGTTGTCTGTTGTCTTAAGGCTACTTGTACACAATTTTGACCGTTAGGGAAAAGCTTTGGGACAATATTGTTTATTCATCGTCCCGAAGTTGTCATCAACAGGAATTGTCCACCTTCGCTGAGATTTCACTGAACGAATTTCACTGAAAGTAAATTTATCAAAGAACATTCTGACCCCCCCCCCCCACATTACCTAAAAGATCTATACCTCTGTTTCTATGCATTTAATGCACTCACCACATGCTGTATGAAGAATGAGTACAAAAAGAAATCTCTGTAAATCTAAAAGGGCTTAGTATTAAGAAGTTATCCTGGGGTCACAACATCATGAAATCCGCCCCCCCCCCTGCTCAAGGCAGATTTTTCTCTGTACCCAAGCCTGGAATGTGTTAAAACTTGCCAAAATGGTAATGCATCTTTGATCAAAAGCTACAGTCAGTATCTGCGGGAACTAAAATGATTTTGACAGATGTCTCCAACTAAATGGCCAAGTAATTTCAAAAATAAGTGTGGCACTGGGCTTTATCTTGCAACATTTAATCCAATGATCAATTGAGCACATATTAAACAATCTGTTAATTGCTAAAATATGTCAGAACACTTCACCCAGACAATGGCTGCATATGCTCACCATTGGTTTCACCATTTCAATTCAGGAGGTCCTAATATGGATGGAATGATTAACGGCAGCTATATTTTTAAAATTGCTTAGCCACTGTCTTAGCAAAAGACCTTGTGCAATGTTTTAAAGGATAAAAACAATGGAGAAATGTCCTGAGAAAAACTGAGGACTCAATTTTTGTATTTTTGGTTTTATTAAAAGGAGAGGAGAAAAATAAGTGTACAAGGGAACAGCATTTTACAAGGATAATTTCAGTTCCTCTTTTTTAGAATACCAAATTCTATACAATTTGTGAAACCATTAAACATTATAATAATGTCAATTCCATGAAGAAATACCCACTAACTGATTTTTTAAATGGACAAATTGATAAACTGAGCCACAAAAGTCAATATTATCAATCCACAGCAAACCTGTTGATCATACTGGTTTTTCCAACACCAAGATCGCCAACAATGATTATTTTTGAAGTTACACTGCTGTAAGAAATAGGAAATGAAAGTTAATCATTAATTATTTATGTACATATCTGAAAATTTCCCTATACAAACAAATAGAATTTCTATAAAGAAAAAACAAAAATTATTTAGTACAAGATATTTTCACACATAATTCCACTATTTTTTTATTAAAGCATCAAACAATTTTAAAACAGGAAGGAGTTTACATGGTATAAATTGACTTTTTATAAGCCTGGAGTCATAATTAGGAGGCATTTCCAGGAGAGAAACTAACTATTTTCTACATTCAAAAGGCAATTTTAATACTATCCTGAAATCAATGGGGCACCCTAGCCTTACATGGCCAAATGGCACCCTAGCCTTACTTTTTCAGGAATTTTTCCACTTTTTTGACAAAGCACGAATTGCACAATTAGGACTTCCCTAAGCTTTTCATTTAAAAAAAGCTGGGAACATAGTATAACCAAACTATAAAACTGATTATGAATTACATAGACAAAAATTACTTCCTCAATAACTAACTTCCAAAAGGGACATGCATTTGATGCCTTTGGTAAACAGAAATATACTCATTGAATTCTTGCTACTCCACTGATCTGGTTATTTTCAACTTCTCACCTCTTCTATAACATTTTTATTAAATGGACCATGGAATGGGCTTAAGCTCCTTCATTCCTAAAAGCTACTTAATATTATGTACTGAATCATCTTGGTTCTTGGTTTTTGATTCTCATCATGCTAGTCCATGTCAAACATTACTAAATATTTTTCACTTTTGTTAAAAGAATATTGTTTTAAGAATATTTAGGCTTAGAATAATCTAATATTTAAAATTTTTCAGCAGTTGCCTGTCTTGCAAAGTTAACAACAGAGAATTGCATGACCAATATATCTTGAACATTTATAAAACCTGATTGCTATTTGAGGGCAGCCGATGTTCCTCTGAAACCATATAAGAATTGTAAAAAAAATAAGAATACTTTAGAAATAGATCTAGTCTCAAAAAGAAAAATTTCTTAAGAATATCAAAGTTGGACAAAATTTATAGTATTCTTCTAGTGTGTAAAAGCAGAAGGAAATTGCAGCTTTCCCCTTAGCTCTGCCATTTTGAGCTGCCATTTCAAGCCACAAAAATAAATAACAAAATTTCATCAGTAACTTTTATCAGTAACTTTTGCCATGTTTATAATCAGAGACACAGAGAGGTTTGGATTTCCTGGCCAAATTGAAAGATAAAGCCCCATGCAAGCGGAGTGAGCATAACATTTCTGCAACTATGCTTTAGTAACATTAGCTTTAAACGCATTTTAAAATATTTCTTGCAGTTGTTTCTTGCAATCGTTTTAAACATTTTACTTTTTTAGGCATACAGTATAGCCTGCATTCAAAAAATCTCAAACACTTTCACAACAGTTTCCTTAGGGTTCCTTAGCACAATATCACTGTGCTAAATAAGTTTTGATCTTTTCCAGTATAATGAAGTAATTTCCTGCTAGCATTTTATTCAAAACTGCGCCCAACTTCTTGCAAAAAGTAAAAAACAGTTAAATTACTTATATCTATGGTTATATAAATTTTTTAACCATAAATTTCTTTTGACCAATGGTCAGACAGTCCCAGGGAAAATAATACTCTGCAAACCAGAGTGCAAGAAATCACCTTGAAAAATCGTCTTGTTTGCTTTTAAAGGCTGCTGTCACAGAAGGACTAAAATTTGTCTGTCCGGATCTTGGGGATGCATCTTTAAATAACGCCTGATAAAAAACAGCAAGCACAATTCACATTGAGAACAATATGAATAATTAGAAATCTAACCATTTGTTTGAGCAATGAGAAAAAACACAGAAGCAGATAAATTTAAGCAAAGTCTCTACAAAGAATTTACGAATTTTTATTCTTGTCTAGGCATATTTACATATGCTAGATGATATCCTTATTAGCTGAATATTGCTGGACTCAACGAGAATCTGTTTTCCTTTAATTGTAGTGTAACCTCATATAAAGAAAGCATTTAAAATTCTGTTTTAAATATCTGATATATTTAATACCACACTTTTGCCATTTCCCATCACACCATAAGCGTCATGGCCCCCTGTCCTAAATAAGCTACCAAAAAGGGATAAAGAAATCTCGATAGACTCGTTAGTAAATAACGATGAACAGGATTGACTTTAATGAACCCATATACCTAGGCAAAATATTGGTTTATTACCTAGAAATAGAGCGATTGCCATTTTTGAGGAATAGGGAAATTATTAATCTACTTAGTCTCGTGATTTCAGAATGAGTGTTGTCAAGACCATCGGCTTTGGGGTACTTTGATTTCAGTTATCCCCTCCCAAGATTTAGAAACGCTTCTTAGCTCAAAGCAGCCGTATGTATTGTTCTTCAAGGTAAACTTGCGCTTTTCGCTTGAAGAATTGAAATCGAAAGGTATCAAAGCAGAACTGACAGCAGCGAAATCAACTGAATTCCTCCCAAGAAGCCGTTATTTCAGCCCGCAACTTACCTGTGGGAAACGTTGCAGAGTTCCGTCTAGTTCCATACTTGTGAACAAAATAATCTGGGTTCGATTCTTTTTAGAAAAAGTTTACAAAAAAGATCTCAATTCACTTTTATCTTTTTTAACTTCTTTCCTTTCCAACAAGGAAACTTTTACGGATAGCCTCTTCATCAAACTGAGATCACAGAACCTGTAAACTTGTAGTCATGGCTACTGCGAGGAAAATGGAATGAGGTTCTTTCCCTTCAATGCAAACCCAAAGATAAGCAACTGGATTTATAGATATAGACTTACGTGACAAAAGTATTAGGACAATCGCTTTAACGAAAATGTGGTTAACCATATGCTCAAAGAACAAGACACAAAATCGGCGGAACATAACGAGATTGCTGGTTGAGATTTTCGATTGCAATTTTACCCAATTGTAAAGATAAATATAGTCTAAATTTAATAAATTGTAGAAAAATTAACCTTTTAGACAAATACAATTTCTTTATTTTATATTTTGCCGGATGACCTCCAGGAATTTAGGTAGCCGCCATGTTTGCACTGGAACTCACTGAAATGATTTTGCAAAGAAATATATTCGGATACAGAAGAAAATCTCAAGAAAAATTTAAAAGAGCTCATTTTTGGTCTTAGAAGATTCCATTTTTTTATCATTTTTATGAAAACCAGTTGTTTTCAATTACATCAAGGCTTTACTTTGACGGGGTTATTGAGAGACCATGATGTTATTGTTTTTGGAAATTTTTGTCACAATTGCAACATTGTCTTGCTTAAAAGAAATGGTATTTGGAAAGCGTCATATGCATGTCAAACTCAGAACTAATTTCTTGTTCATTTTTGCGGATTTTCTCATTTTTAGAACTACTAAGTTGACATTAGAAATAGTCAAAGGGAAAGAATGAGTGGATGAAAAGCTGTTGTGATTAAACTGGGTAGAACAGTCATTTTGCAAAAGAAATTCCTAAGATTGTTTTTAAAATGATAGCAAAAAGAAAAGGAGAAAAACAGAGAAAGACGATACTCAATTAATTTGTCTAGAAGAAAGAGGAATTAATTTGTGATGCACAAGGTCCTCCAAGCTACTTCAAAAGTTTTTAGTTTAAGCTAAAACAAATTCTATTGATATTCAGAATGCTGAGAAATGAAAAAGTAGCATATGAAATTACATTTTGCTCCTAATGTAAACAGACATTCTGTGATACGCCATTAACTGCCTTCGAATTTGTGGCAATAATTTGTTCATTGTAATGAGACAGTATGAATATCTAGCTATGTATGTAGATTAAAATCCGAGGTTTCTTAAAAACAGTGAATTTCATTCATAGTCCATTTCTACCCTTTTTCTCAAGCCTTTTTAAATCCCTTATAAGATGTTTTTGCTTTTAACCGCAAAGTTAGTTGTTTGCAAAACCCCTCCAGCCAGTGTTCAGCCACTGTTACCAACCCAAAAATTTGAAGTGGCTCTTTCCGGGCAAAGTTTACGTCAGAAGAACAGATGCAGACAATAGCTTCAGTTTAGCCAGAAAAACACGTTGTGTAGAAATACCGGGCATTATGAATGTTTTTATCAATACGATCATTCGTTCTCTAATTCAGCTACCATTCGTACTAGACGCGTTTAATTCCCTCCCTTATATAACGTTTTTAAGTATTACATGTGTCTCTCTATTTATATTCCTTAGCTAGAGCTTCTCTTAGCCGTTTAACCGTACGGATTAGTGCTATCTTCCTTTCATTCAAACCCCTTGCGTCCTTTTCAATTTCCTTCATTGCTCTTCCATCAATCACACCACTGAAATTTTCTTCGTGTTTTTTATTCGATCTTTTTCCCCATACTCCTGGTGGCTGGTTTTCCCTTTTTCGCCAGACACCTGGCGGCTGGCTCTCCTTTTTTCGCCAGACACCGGGTGGCTGGTTATTATCTCTGCGCCAAACGCCTGGTGGCTGATTTTCCTTCTTACGCCAAACGCCTGGTGGCTGATTTTCCTTCTTACGCCAAACGCCTGGGGGCTGATTCTCTTCTTTCGAAACTCTTTTCCCCCATACTCCAGGTGGCTGGTTAGATCTTTTACCCCATACCCCTGGGGGTTGATTCTCCCGCTTTCCCCATACACCAGGTGGCTGGTTTTCTCGCCTCTCGTGCTCTAGAAAATCATTTTCATCTTCTTCGAAGTCATCTCCTTCCTTCGTAAATAGACTTCGTGGTCCTGGTGGCACCGGCTCTAATGAAGCGTCATTGCTATCTTCAGCTGTGGTCAGCAAACAATTGGACATGGAAAGTAGCACTACTATGCCAAGCGTGATCAACCTCATCTTGAGTCTGAAACGAATAGAAGAAAGCCTGTTAAGTTGCAGTTTTAAGACAGTGTACGTGGCCGAGATATATAGAATGCAAAGGTCATACATAGTATGGAGAACACCAGATAATCTATGGCAATTTGCAACATAATTTCCAGAATATCGTTTATGGATAGTTTTACAACTAAGCTTATACGATGCATCAATAGATCTAACAGAAAGATAAATTACTTATTTGAGCATCTGTTGCATGAGTAAACTAAGAAACTTCGCTGATATTCTAGCTGACATATTGAATAGCAAGTGATTAGAATCTATTCACTTGCAATCCCCAGAAATGGCAGAAGAGTGAGAATGACAGGTAAGAAAATAGGTTATATATAAATATCGATGACACTTTTTCTAAGAGGCTACAGAGAAGGCAATAGTAGAAGTCACATGGAGATCACTGTCTACGTTTTCGTTAGCCAACATTTGAAGTCCGAAAATGATTGAAAATGACTCAATTTTTTAAGAATACATATAGCTAGTTTTTTAAGGCATACATCAGTGGATTTTCAAAATTCCGAGTGAAAAACCTAACATTAAAACCTGCTTGTTAGCATTAGGCCCCGGTAATGCTTATCTGACGTGTCATCCTAAATCAAAGCTTTAATACGTTAATGTCATATATTTTATAAGATTGTGTAGAACAGGATGGTTCTAAGTTACCACTCATGTTCATGCTAAATACGTTCATCAGGCAACAGTACAGCTCTTTTTATATGGCATCGAGTACCTTATGACGGGCCGATAAACAGAAAATTCTATTACTATAGCCTATAGATAACTTTCCTTGCCCTTTAGAACTTCACATGATTGTGATATCGCAAAGGAAGGAACATATGGATACAATACAACACCATCTGTTATATTTCAGCATCATTTTTTCTACACGAGCACCCCTTGAAAATCCAGGATCAAACTATATTGCAGAAAGCTGAAACTAATATTGCTCAACTTGTAAAGACTATACTTTAACTCAAAAATCAAATCATCTCCCACTCTAGCATTACAGCTTGTAGTCTAAGAAATGGTCAAAGCTTTATTCTTTGAAGCTACTAAAGATAATTTTGCAATGGGCGCCTCTATTTAAATATTTGATTAAAAATATAAGAAAGCGATGTTAAATATTCACTTGAATAAGAATGAGATATGTCTATGTAAATATTCAGCAAAGATGATGCCGGAAAACGTGGATCTTTAAGAGGCAAGCTCGAACTTTTGATAGTTATTGATGGCGCTGTCTTGCAATGTATCCTATGTCAATTCGATTTAGGTTTTTCTTAAGGAAATCGAGATAGCAAATGGAACTGGATATCGAGAAGAAGCACTCTCCCGTACAAAAGATAGATCATCAAGCCGATTCTATACAGCCTGTCTTAGTCATTAAGGCTAAGACAAGAGACAATTTTCTCAAGAATATTGCATTCAATGCTGTTAGGAATGTTTGCAAAGACTAATTACAGCTATATCTTCATGGGAAAATTGAAATCCGTTCAACGTGTACTAAAGTCTGATAGATAAAGATTTCGAAAGTTTTATAATCAGCTTTAAATTCAATCATCCATTTGTCGCCATAAGACTGGCCAGTAATTTTTGCGTTTGATTTTCAGTTTGAAATAAGTTTACTTTAGGTGGAAGATTATATTGAAAAATTGCAAGACGTGGGTTCTTGTCGTATACATTTTGACGTTCCAAGACGATTCTCTTGAAATTCGTAAATATAAGACTAAAGTCATGCTTAAGCAATGTGAATTGTTCTCAAAATTTGATCTAATGTACTAAGACTTTGACAGGGATTATAGCTTCTAGCAGGGCTTGATGCGAGAAGAAAAATCAAACCTCTCCAACATGTTCAAGAAGAAAACTTTAGAAAACTTGACTTAATCTAATTGATTTAAAAGAAAACTGCCTTACTGATTGCTCAATCAAATTCTAATAGTTTTTAAAGCTTTTTCAGGATTACACTAAAGCCATTTAAGTGGTTGTTAGCTTGATTCTAGAGATTTGTTAGTTTAAGTCGAAAATCTGTAAATATTTTTAACCATGCAAAACACATTTTCTAGTTGGGAATAAAACATGTGATCAAGCTCGTAACATATAATGAAACGAACTTTTTATGAGAGTTAAGAGTTTCCTGCTCTCAAAGTGCGTGCAGGTAGGGTGATAGTAGCAACACCATAAGTGTAAAGGGCTCAGTTTTTGCAGTCAAACGTTGGAGATTATAGTTTCTTGTCTGATTTACCTTTAACACTCCGCGCAAACTAATCGCTTTCTTGAAACACTTTAAATATTTGAAAAACCCGATTGCACTGACAAAGCTTTCGTATGATGTAGCAACATTCCGGACAATTGAGTTGGAAAGGTTTTGCACAGAACCTGATTGCAGTTGGCATAGATTTAATCCAAATTATATAGTTTTAAAAAGGACTATGTTTAGGGTAGATGGCATTAGGATACAAACTTGTTCGTATTTGCGGAAGACCTGAAAACTATAAAAGTTAGACTGCAAAACCGCTGTGTATTACGCAAACTAAATTAAAAAAAGAAGGACAGAAACATTATACTGTTAGCAAGACACTCAGGAGATATTTTTGAATGCATTTATGTGAATACATAGTGGCTGCAATAACAAATTTTACAAAGTTTCCATAAAGTTTCTTTGACAAAAGGGAAGAAGATACGTTTTGTGAGGAACTTGTGGTATAAGCTTCTTTCAAAGATAACTTAATTCATTATAGTTTTCTGCTACCAGAGCTCTTCACCAAAATTTGAAATCTTTGCTAGTATAAAATAATTTTCTTTGGAAAACAAAGTAGTTTTTGTCGAAACCAACAATATTCTTTGCATATATATCAACAATATTCTAATTACACTTGATGTTTAAGCCATCCAATAATTTTAAAACATTGTTTACCAAAAAAATGTAGTCAAACAAGCTAAATAAAACATCGTTACCTTGCTTTGCAGTTCATATCTGTCCTTCTCTAAGCTTAGAACCACAGTAACGTTTCAACTTAACGATGGTGACCTTTATACTGTTAAAAATGAATTTCCTGCATGATTGACAGCTGGTCCCACACGTGAGGGTGAGCTGCGTTGCAAATAGCCTTATGAATTTTAAACATATAGTTGAAAGAAATTGTCTTGGGTCAATTCTGAGTCTCTGGCTATAGTTTCCAATCATTCTATCGGTTAGAGTGATGGTGATGTTAATGATTGTTGATAAGTAACAATGTTTATAAAGATCATAGGTTTGACAATAAGCCTTGAAATTTGAAATGCGGAGTATGAATATAAATATGCCAGAGGATATTATAGCTTTGACCAATGTTCTTTTTTCAAGTAAACGTTATTGTTTATTAGTTTAAAGATAATGGATAATCAGTTGTACCTTACAATACCTCAAGTTAGAAATATGCACGATAAGCATTTTATAATACAGGTTTCGTCTTACCATGCATATAGACCAGAAAAAATAATCATTGAAATACAATTTGATATAAGTTTTGGGAAATCTGTCACACAGTGCATTAAAATTACACGTTAATTTTGTAGACGTCACAATAATAGGTCTTCATTTACATGGCTAAGAAAGAGGAGGTTGATATAAATGCCTATGTAAGTAAGATTATATCTGAGAACTTACCAGGTATAGGTTCAGCTAATAACCAGTAACTGTAGCTGCCACGAATTGTGTTTCACTTCAATCGATTGCCCGATTATATAGTCGCTCCTGCTTGTTTTAACACAGTTATGTAAATATGCTATTGTGAAGGAACGTATTCAGATTCGAGTTACTGTTAAAACAAATATTGTATCCGGTGTTCGATGTAGTTATAAGAGAAAAATTTGCATTGACACTAAAATTGATTGTTTCTTTCAAAATTCTACGATTTATTGCTGCTCCTTAATGTAAAGTTGCTGCAACAGTTCTCATCCCACTCTTTCAATCTATTATAAAGGTTTATTTAGCCAGGGCTGTCATTCAAACCAGGTTCCAAGTCAACCAATGGTAGCTCGCTATGCAAAGTAGAAAAATGAACTTGCAGTTGTCAATCGTATTGTAATCCACTGCAGACGATAATCAGGAAGAACCAATGATATCAATGCATCGTCTTTCTTAAAACATTGCACGACAAAATCATTAGCATTTCTTGTTTGCCTCAACACCTGAGCCGTCTCCAATAACGGGGGTTGCATTGAAAAGTAATCAAGTTGTTGCCTGTCCTCTCTAACAGCAAGAAATTTTTCAACAATAACTGAGCTTAAGCCACAACAGGCAAGACTTGAAGCATTGCTTATCACTGACATCATCGAATTTATGATAGCTGTAGAAAAATAACGAAAGTAAATTAAAAAACAAGATTTTGGATACAAAATAGGTCTAATTAAAGAATTATATGTTTACATAGATCAAATCAAACGACTTAGCTAACGAAATAATTGCGTAGGTTTTATACCTGTGGTTAATAGGAAAGTTTTTTACGGAAAGTCGCAACTTCAGTATCTCTAACCATGAAATATGTTCTAAGCATCTATATAATCCCTACAATCTTATATCTAGAGAAGTATAGCTAAAATACAGCGATCAATCTCCTATCTGTCTCTAGTTTCACTTGTATACTTTCATGCTGTTTTTTGCCCTGAAATATTGAACAGATAACCCACAATTTGCTTATAGTCTGTGTGCAAATTTCCAATTTACTAACAGTAGCAGCCTGGCTCGGCTCAGCTGATCATATAAGAGAAAACTTGCAAACGAATTCTTATCGTTTGTGTCACATATTTACACTCTGCAGAATCTTTCTGCAATTGTTTAGGAAATATTCTTAATCTTTCTAATTTTGCTGTTTATTGATACACATTTCAGCTTGACGTCGTGAAAAATTGGTTTATGTTTTAAGGATAAATTTTGCTACTTTGTTATAAAAAAGAGCGTTGTCAATGTTCATTTGATCAAACTCTGTTCGTAGAACATTCTAGGCAAATAATTTATAGGAATAAAGCTACTTTCTTTAGCATTTTCTTCGGAATTATAGTTAATTAGTTGTGGGCATTTCCAAACAAATGTTTTTTTCCAGAAGTTAAGTGTTTCCTAAACAAGGTTGTTTTTGAAAGGTCTTTAATTTTGCTCATTAATTTGTTGGAAATTGTACAGAAGAGAGCCTGACTAGAACTTTGTTTGGAAGCAGCTTAAAACCGCCTTAAATTGCATTAATTATCATGTTGTGCTGCACAAACTGATTCACATCTCACAGTTTTCTTCATCCAAGCCGCAGCTGCTATGACGCGTAGTAAGCTTTGCCAAATTGTCTTTCTCTGCTCATTCATTAAGCTTGCAGCTTGAAGATGCAAACTCTAAGTGCAAAGATTCACAAGATATTCGTCATTGATTATCTCTCTCATTTCTGAAGCGCTTTTCTACCTTCAAATCGCCACTAAATTAAAATTTCGCGAATCTAAATGAATGGAAATTCGAGCTGTTGTATCATATGGGAGTATAATTCCCGTGAAAACTTGAAGGCTGTCGTGTTATCAAAATGCCAATGAAGGGCGAGTTAGGCACCACGCAGCCTTTGGGCTAACAGGGGATAGCCCCGCCCTTTTTCATTGCAATAATAGGTTAGACAAGTTTTAGACAGTTTTCCCTAACAAGACTTTAGAAAGTTTACTCTAAGGGATCCTTGGTAGAGCAGTTCGTCTTGGCTGGGAACCCCTTTTTTGTAAATTTGTTTGTGTCTGACCTAGTTAAATTTTTACACATAGATCTATCAACTGATAAAGGTTCTCCAAATTTCAATGTTCAGTTAATTTGTTGCAGAAGTTACATATAGCCTTTATTTATATAGGGCTTGTCAGTTATTGACTTTTGGACATTATTCTGTTCAGAGAGATGCAAGAAAGATCTCAGGATCTATTCATGCCATGGAGATAAAGCAACATTTCATTGCATATATTCAAAGATCACCAGATCATGATGATTCGAAGCTCGTTTAATATATGTTCCATAATCTTGAATTTACTTATTAGAAAAGAAAACGTTACGATGCAATCTCTACAGATTCTAAAGAACATTCAAAGAGTCAAATGTTTGGCATAAAAGTATCATGATTGTCCTTATGTAGATCAACAATATCACACCCAAACTTCTGTTGGCGATTGTTGCCATAATTTTGCATTCGAGATAACAGCAAATTTTTTCCAAACAAACCTCTCAAGATATATAGTGTCAAAATAGAAGAAGTTTCTAGACGGGAACAATAGGCCGCTAATCCCGAGAAGGCTTTTTGAAGATTTAATCTGGCTATTTATAATAACTTGAAGGATATTAGCAAAAACACAGTATTGCGGATTGAATTTCAGATGATTTTTAAACTTGTCAATAGGTTTTATTTTCGGTGAATAATTTCGTCGACATCACAACATTTAACAATTAATGAACTATTGTACAGGAAAGGTAGACACCATCCACACGTATTCGTTCACGTTTTTAAAAGTAAAAATTCTATAACCCTAATCCTTCTGTCTTAGGTTGTCTAAAACGCATACTTTCGATAACGATCAATACTTGAATATTTGAAAACGCTGTTTTTACGACTTTGTTTGGATGTTCGCAAACGGATACTTCTGGAAACGGTGACAGAAACGGCTAACGTAGCTTAAAGGTTCAAGACAGACTTTGTTGCTTCCTTTTGCTGGGCTAAGTTTCTTCATTAACTCTCAGCATACGAACAAAAGTTTTCATATAGGGTAAGCGGCACTGGTAGAAAGCCTTAACAGTCATGTGCTCGCGTTTGTGATTGCCATTTTTCGATCCACAAATGGGAATGGTTGTTTTGTGGATCAGAATTTTTGCCTATTATCCTGACATCTTATACTCTGAAAAGTGCTAGCTAAAACGCTTATAGATGTTTAAATCAGTGTGCTGTTTTAATGCCATTTCTAAATTTTGTACCACCAAAAATGATTAGTCACCTATCTTTCAATTCAACTGTTGCAGCCTGCAGGAACGAAAACATGCAGAAATTGGGCCAAACAATGTTATACCCTCTAAACTGAAATCTGATCATTTCGCTTTGTTGGCTTGTTTGCATTCATTTTAGCGTTTACGTGTGGACAGGCTAAACGTCCAGTAAACGATTAAACGGATTAGTTGTTTATTTGCAAAGGTAGAATATCGTAAACGTATTCATTTGGACGGGGCCTTAGATGATTTTCATGCAAAAAGACATGTACGTTGCCTGATGATCTCATTAATTATGAAACTCAGAGTTGCAGTTTAGAACCGTCCTGTTCTTTGCGTCAAAGCGTTTACCGCTCTGCCTATACGGTATCGAACAATTTATGACAGACCAGTATAACATAAATTTCCTGTGATGTGTACCAAGAAACGCCGTTCGTTGCTGTCACATTGTTGCATTATATAGGCAATTAAAATGAAGCTAGGTTTCAAAAACTGTTCCCAAGATGATACAATATGAAAGTTAAACACTTATCCCAACAGCTTTAAAACGAAAACCCAAAGATGCCTGAGGGCATTGAGCATCTCTGAAATGTTATCTCCGTCCGATTTTCAGATTACTGTAAGCGCCGTGGGCAAAAAAAGGGTTTAGAAATATAAAAGAGAAATACCTATTAACACTGAACTAACTAATCAAATTCATTTTCGAATCCCTAGTTAACCATACACCGTATCACGACCACCATAGAATATGATGATACTCTTTCAACATTTGTTGCCTACAAGCAATGTATGTTTTTATAGCACACACAGTAAGATACAGAGTAGGGTATTTCAAAGTCCTCTATTACTGTTACAAAAAAGACTTTTGTAGAAGCATGAATATATGTCGATTGACATACAAATAGGGCATGCCATAGATTGTCATTATGCCTGTTGCTTTTTGCATTCATAAAAGACAGTTAGATTTGCTCTTTTTATATGGTTAGTTTTGGTTCAACTTTGACGTAGGTTTCATTTAAATTCAATGTAAAATACTATGACTATGTCTTTATTGATATAGCTGTAACGTAGAATTGTTGTATCAATGGGCTTTCCTAAGTTTTTAAGTTGTATCAATTGAGTGATTAAAGCTACTGATGTATCAAGAAAACCATCCTATAGTGAGAAGTCCATTGTTAGAAATCTCCTTCAATCTGTCAACTTTATGGTCTAAATAAAAGATGATTATCAACAATTTTGAAGCAAGACCTTTCTGAAAGTGATAGAAACATTTTATTCTTCTTTGTGCAAAACGAGAATATCAGAGATTTTTGTTGATTATTCCATTAACGTATTCACAATTTTCGTCTGCCGTTCTGCCACTCCTAGCCTTTCTTCGATCATAACCAACAATGCTAACCTATATCTGGGTTATCCGGCATTAATATGACAAAAGAACTTAATTTCAATTGATTTTTCAAGAAAACTGGAAAATTAGTGGTCAACTTACGAAGAAAACGGGTTTTGAACAAGGGCATAGTCACAAATTCGATTTGGTTATCCGAAATTTGATTTAATTTTCGTTGATTTTCTTTTGATTTTATAAGCTTTTAGTGTAAACTTCCACTGATAATGTCTTTAGGACAACCATACTCGGAGATGATAAATTGACGATTGTAATTTCCTAGTGCCCACTCAAGGCATCTCAGACAGCATAAATTTCTTGTTTTATCTACGCCAGACATCGACAAACACTTATTCAAAGTGACTAAATAATTATTTTTATTAATATCTGGGCTGCCTTAGTTTTCGATACGCAAAGAACGTAAGTTTTCTGAGAAGACTGATACTTCAAATTGTAATATATTAAAATGTATAAGCAAAACAAAAGTTTTTCTATCTTTCGTAAGATTATAACAAACAGCAGGTAAATATAACTACAGGAATGACTCAACCA